GCAGTTATATGGGCCTGGTTGCTGATATAGCCCTCGCCTGTGACTCTGGCAATTATCAGCGGCCAGGCACTAAGCCAGTTTTAAACCCCATGTTTATATACATATCCGCTCCATCACACTATTCTCCCCTTTATTGAACCCTTTCTCCTCTCATCAGTGCCATCTGAGTGGACCCAACGCCTACGACCACTGGACACCCTGTGGATCCACATCAGAGACCCACCTGGATTGGTCAGGTCTTACCCTGGATGATGATGCAACCTATAGCCTATCAGTCAGAGCCGTCAATCATGCTGGTCTGATCAGCCAAGCTATCACTGGCAACATCACCATAGAGTCTACCAAACCTCCAGGGGGAGGTACGTATACATACACGTAGCTCAATCATTTCTAGAAGATCGAGAATATTTTCCAATTTTAAGAAGAGCACACAAAAGTCTACAGTTTTATTATGCATTGTTAATCAGGGTAAAATGTATTCTATACACTATGATAGAGGCGGCAAAAAAGAGGGGAACCTAACAAACTCTATGCATGTCAACATTCTACTTAAACTCTGGTGACTTGCAATGGCTTATTAACTCCTGAAGCAAAGTGTTTGTTTTCTAAAACAATTACCAAATGTGTGAGGGTCATTACATTTGTTGTTTCCCTCATGACTTCCACACAACTTTGTTTCTACAAGTTCACCTGAGCTCTAATCCAGCAATCCACATTTTGAGAGTTTCCTTCATCTCACAGGTTTCGTATATGATTGTGTCTTTATAGCACTAAGCCTGCTCAGTCATTCCTGGCTTGGAGATGGAAGGGTTGATCTGACCTGGGACGGCTTGTTCTCTACCTCCTCCTCCTCCTCCTTGGTGTATGAGGTATCTCTGGGTACCATCCCAGGAGGTAGTGATATCATGCAGTGGGTGGAGACCATGGAGACAGGTATGCGTGTCTCGCCGCTGGCTCTCTACACTGACTACCACTTGACGTTGACGGCCATCAACGCGGCCGGCTTGTCACAGACAGTCAATAAGATCATCAGTGTGTAAAGAATTCACAGCATAACAGGTTTTAACCAATGTTTTTCTATAGTCTTTCCTTAAAAATGTTTACTCAGAGAGCATTGACATATACACAGACACTTCAGCTGTTTGAGAGTTGTGTGATTTTTTTTTTATAATAGAAACTTACATGTCCCTGATAGGAAATTCTATCACAATGAAATGCTTGAACAACAAGAACAAATTCTTCGAACTATTAAACAAACTTCTGTATATTCTTTCATAGCTAGAGTCTGAATTGAAAATTCCGTCCAGATTAAAGAGTTTTTGAGAAGTGTTCCAAGATCACTCTTGTACACATTTCCTTAAACTTAAAGGGAATATACAACATTTGCAAACAACGAAAAATAAAACTATCAAGTTTTTGCGAAATACCTTAACAGGATGTTGGTAAATGAAAGTCTAAAGCATCCTGTAAAATTATGGCACCTGGTATACTGTCATTTTCAAGAAAAGTGGTATTTTTGTATCAATTTCCAACGCTGATCGGCCGATCAGCGTTGGAAACAACTGGCTTTTTATCAAATACTGGCCCCAATTGACCATTGCACTTGTTTGCAATCGATTACAAACCTATAAACGGGTACGAGCCAGCTAGACTGGTTCCCTGACCTTACAATTCCCCCAATGTATGTAAACTGCTCTGTTTCTTCTTATATGGAGTCAGGGAACCAGACTACAGGAAAATGATCGTTTTTCTTGGTTTTTATAGCATTTTCGAACCCAAAACCTCCAAAAAGTTAGTGTAACTATATTTGCTTTATATTTCCGACCCCCCAATTCCACCCATTTCTGAAAATTACAGCAAAAGCAAATGATGTATATTCCCTTTAAAACAGCAAAAGTTATTAGGATGTGAAGTTATGACCATAAAGCTGCCTATTGGTATATGGGTATGAATTTAGGATCCAGAGTGATCTTGTAATTTACCATTGAACTATCATTATGAATAACCTCGGATGAATTTGTTTGGGCCGTTGGCAGGAATATAATGTTGTTTAGGTAGGTGAATTCATGATCACTCTTGGAGGACAGCTGCATTAAGAAGGGAATACAGAATTATAAAATAAGTAATGTCAGATGTAACAGGGACAGGAAAAAAAATGGACCCCAAATGTATAGAATGACTAATGTGGCTTGGAATTTTCAAACTTGGGTTTACCGTATCATAAGACCCAAGTCATGCTAACAGAAAGGTTATTATTTTTACTGTCAGATTTTGTGTTTCGATTATGAGGGAGGAAGAAGTCTTTTCTGAAATACTGACGGCCATTTTTGTGTTTTCCTTTGCAAATTTTCACCCATTCACAGAGGTGGGGAAACGTTTATGTTTCATTGTATTTGATGGGCATTCATCAGTACGTGGAACGGTAAATGATCAGTGGTGGACAGCTGGATTTTGTGATCTTTTTATTAAAACAGTCACAACTTGGGAATAGAGTGCACGCGCATCGGCATGCACTACTGATTACAGGCACCCATTGGCTAAGCATTTAAGTTGCGTTAACTTGGCGGTTCCATTGGTGCAATGCTACACTGTGTATGGGAAGCATGGCTAAGTTGAGACGACGCCACACTTATGAACCAGATGGTGTGAAGGTTTGTCCTTTTTAGCTAATAGAATAAGTCATGTGCTGGGCTCTGGCCTGGTGCGACTATACCTCATGTCTTGGTTGCGTGTAGAAACATATACAATTCTTGGTCATGTGTTCAGTTGTGTATTTACTCATAGATTGTGAGTAGAGCTAGAGAAGAGAGAGGAATGGAAGGGTCTGCTGAGAACAGACAAGTACCGTTACTAGTCTAGTAAATGCACTTATCGTTGTCAATCATAAAGAAATTACTTATTTTGTCTTGGGTATAATTTGGGATTAATTCGCGTTTGTGTGTGCTGTGGTGTGTTAATGTAATTTTTCTAGGCTTGCTGTGTACATAGCAAAGTTCAGTGCCATATTTTCAAGCAAGCATAGTGCTTATTAGTGCTGGTTGGATCACAGAGTTCAGGGCCGAGAAATAGGATACATAGCGTCCGCGTCTGTACAGAGGGCACCCTCAGAACAGGAACCGATATTTCACACCGATATTTCATAAAAATAGAGCTCAAACTTCCAGAGGTCCAGAAAATAGAGGTTCAACTTCCAGCAAAGCAAGTTTATTATAATTAATACTACCTAATTGTACATCTGTAGATGACGTCTGTGGATAACATTTGTGGATGACTTTTGTGGATAACATCTGTGGATGCGTCTGTAGATGTGTCTGCAGTTGATGACAATTGTGGGTTACATTTGTGGTTGACGTTTGTAGGTTACCAATTAAAACTGTTCTTAGCATGAATAAATAAGTATTAAGATAATAGCCTAGACGTATTGTAGATGTGATTAAGGAAGAGTGATTAAAACAAGCAATACATTGATTGTTCCTGCACAGAAACAGCCTGTCCATTGTCAATTATTGTGTCCTAATTACTGCATGAATCTAAGATGTTAACAATCAACTACAAATCGACTCGTCCTGTACTGAAAGAAACTGGGCACAGTGGATCCCTCTCGTAAACATATGTTAAGCCCAGTTTAAGTTTAACCAGGCCTGCCAATTTTAATGGTTTTGCCACGAAAATGCACGCGGATATTTGTCACAATTGGATCAAACCACTCGCATACGCCACCTCTTTACACGTTTATGCCACGCCCACAAATTAGGCGAAAATATGACTTTTGAAATGCTATAAAGCTATAAATGCTATCATTGCCTGCCTTTATTGCGAAGTCATCTAAAAAAAAAAAAAAAATTGGATTCGTTTTTTTTGGGGGGGGGGGGGGGGCATGGCCCCCTTTGGCCTCCCCCCATCCGCCCTTGTAGGTGATGGAGGGCGTTTGTCTCTTAAAAAGTACTACCGCGGTAAAGGTCAAAGAATGCTGCACAAAATCTGGTGTTATTTCCAGGTCACAAAAGGGGGAATAAACCCCCATCACCCGGGATTTATGCCCGTATACATGTATATCTATACTCGACCTTGAAATCTGCATGTTTTATTCTCACGAAAAAGTAGCGGGGGGGGGGGGGGGGGGGGGGGGGGGGGGGGGGGGGAGATGATTCAATAGCCCATCCCCCGGCATCAAAACGGCGCATTTTGTGTCATTTGCACCAAATCAAAATGACGCCTTGCTGACTCTCCAGAAACTTGAATCATGCATCAATGATGTCAGTGTATGGATGAGTTCTAATTCTCTCAAACTCAACACTGATAAATCTGAACTTATTATGTTTGGGTCAAAGTCACAACTTGCTAAGATCAATGTCCATGGTATCAACATCCAAAATTCACCTGTTAAGTTGTCGGCGACCTGTCGAAATCTTGGAGTCATCTTTGACTCACTTATGTCAATGTCTCATGTTTCTAACACATGTAAATCTGTCAGATTTCAACTTCGTAACTTGGGTTTAATTCGTAAGTATCTAACCCGCTCAGCAACAGAGAAACTTGTTCACGCCCTCATTTCATTTCGGTTGGATTTTTGTAATTCCCTGTTGTATCAGCTACCCCGTAACCAACTTGCTCGCCTACAAAGACTCCAAAATTCTGCCGCTCGAATTGTGACCCTGACACCCTCTAGAACCCATATCACCCCGATTTTGCAGTCTCTGCATTGGCTCCCTGTTGCTGACCGGATTAAATACAAACTGTTACTGCTTGTTTTTCATTGCATTCATGATTCAGCTCCTGAATACAACATAGACCTATTAACTCCATATAATCCATCCAGGCGATTGAGATCTTCTGATGCTTCTTTGCTGGTTGTCCCTCACACTCACAAATCTTGGGGTTGTGAGGGGCCTTCTAGCGGGGACTTCAGGGAAGGGGGGCTCTGGTCTGGTTCTGGAGTAAGGGAAGAGGGGGGCACGCAGGTTCTTTGTTGGAGTGAGTGCTCACACGGAAACTGGATCTCCCTTGCTCTGATTGTTTATTCAAACTGAATCGGCCCAGGTGGGGCCACCTGTAAAGATCGGGCAGGCACTCATAAGTTTCATTTCAAAATACAAACAATGTACATGTGTAACTCATGAAATAATAAGCGTACATGTATTAGAAAGATGTACACACATTACCCAGTTAATTACCAAGAGTGAAAAGCCTATATGCAAGTATGGTGACCGCATCGAGCACCCAAGGATGGAATCACAAACAGACAGGCCGGCCCTGCGCACTGACTGACCAACACTCGCACACACTATCACACACCGCAAGCACCCACATCCGTCCCTAAAATGCACAATATGATCACCAACTTACATGAACTTTCCAAAACTATATGACAGTGACAGTTGTAAGCATTTCTATAAACTGGTCTCCAGACAATTAAGTGCCCAATAATGCAATATAGGCCTACGTCCAAATAAAATCACTCTTAAACCACAAACTACTGTAAGTTACATATCACAATACATGTACTGCTCACGCACGCGCACTGTACATGGTCACACTGTGTGTGCCATCAGTGCAAACATGGGTTGCTAACCCTCGTGCATTTGGTCACAGTGCTCCCTAAATCTTACAGCAAAAATCTCTCCAAAAACTTCATTACATTCTCCAAAACTACCACCATATTAATCTATAATAATTTGCTGATACAATAAAGGGCACATCAGTAATAATCATCTGGATTTTTGGTGAAATAATTGCATTCAAAAATGACCTAAAAAAGTACAATACATTTACCTGTAAAGATCGGGCAGGCACTGCCTAGCCTAGGCCTTGCCGCGACCGCATGGTTTGGGAGCTGTGAATTAACAACGTGCAGTTCACGTCAAGTGAACAATCCACAAAAGTGATCTAAAGCCAAACCTATGATGACAAATAATTTGATAATACACATTTCTAATCAAGATAAGCATAATTCTTCTTTAAAATCTAAACATAATGTTCATTTTCCTTGACTAAGAAATATTCACAAAATACAAGTTCAAAATCACAGCTCCATAAATCAATACTATTTTTGGCTCCACTAGAAAAATCAATACTTTGTATAGCCTTGTCTCGAGTCACACTGAGTAGACTTCCCTCAAGTCACATGAATAAATAACAAGGTAAATGCAAGGTTTGTAGTGAATAAACAACCAGAGAAAGGGGTCATTATAGAAGAACAAGAAATATAATCAACACAACCATTACAGGGTGATCGATCATTTTCTCACGCAGGTCCTCATCTTTGGAACAAACTACCCCTCGCCATTCGCAATATCTCATCGCTTTCTGAATTTAAAGTTGCCCTAAAGACCTATTTGTTTCAGACCACTCAGAATATTCTTGTTTAGTTAAATTTAATTGTTTTGTTATTTCTGATTTGATATATTTTTTGTTTGCGCCATGAGCGTCATTTATGGCGGATAATGGCGCGGTATAAATTTCCGTTATTATTATATTATTATTATTTTAAAAGCTTTCGTTTCTCCACTTTTCAGTGTTATAATATTGAATACATTTTGGTTGTTGGGATGTTCGAAACATACCTCGAAATCCGAAGATTTTTTTTCTCATCACGAAAAAGTGCGAGGATGATTAAATAGCCCATCCCCACCTGGTCAAAAAAGTGTGTGTGGGATATATACCCCCCTCCCATCCCTGCGGAATTGACGCCCCTACTACAGTCTTCATCATGTGTGAACCATCAAAACTAAAAACGTAATCCATTCTAACAAAATCGTAAAATAACAGCAGAACATTTTTAGACAAATACATACATGTATAAACAACACATAAGTTTATTTTAATCAACACATTTGCATACCTTTAATAATGTTGAACCAACACATGCTGTAAAGTGTAAGGGTGAGGTGTTAAGCCCAAAATACTGACAAAGTTCAGACCTATTATTTCAAATCTACTGGAATTATGAACATTTGTCAAGGGAATAAATCGTCACCGGTTTAAGGGACGGGCATGTCAATAAGCCTCTACACTCATGATGTCACACTTTGTTTACGTGTGTGCTTTCCTATGGTGGTGAGTAGACCGTGCACCCCCCGCTGCATCCGTAGGAAAGTGCACATGTAAATAAAGTGTGACGTCATCAGTACAGGGTTTTTGGGGGGAAGAAAAATACCTTTCGAGATAATCGCGAGAAGTTTTCTTATTTTGAAATTGCCAAATGTACCATGCACAATGCATCTTTATACAGTAAATAACAAGCCCAGATGATTCTATTGAGCTTATACCTTTCTATAGTTAACCCACTTATAGTCATTGAAACTGTGATGGACAAAATGACCAGCAAAGACGCATGTCTCTATGTGTAAACAAAAATTCCAGTTGAGCTACTTTTACAATCTACTTGCAGTGTGTTTTGCCACAAGGAAAGGGCGCCCATATTTGCAGGCGCGCGTCTAAAACAAATGGGAGATGTCCATCCCTCCATGAAACAAAAATCTCACTAATTCTACTTTTACGTCCTTTTGTTCAAAGCATTTGTGCGCAGCATGTTAGCGTCTCTTTGTGAAAATGCAAAACGCCATTATGGAAATGTCGGCCTCTTTTTTTCGACAACATTAATGTGAACAAGCAATTAACTAAGCTACCTGTAATGTAAAGTCAGAATGGTTGAGTGCGATGTTTAAAAGCAAAAAACGAACAAACTTGAAATTGAAAAAAAAAGAAGTTATTTTTTACATGCCCGTCCCTGTACTGTATTTTGCTTTAACTACATTTAACTACATGTATCTAACAAACAACCAATGAAAAACTGACTTTGGACAGCCAGGAGAAATACTATTCTATAAGTTATCAAAAAAGGATTTTTAACAATAATTGAAAAGTAGAACAAAGAAATTGACTGGAGCGGTGCTTGAACCTGCGACCTCCGGATAACTGTTCCGGTGCTCTTACCAACTGAGCTATCCAGCCCTATGTTGGCGGTTCCCAAATTAGTCAATACTTATCCTTGTTCAAGGGTTGCTTCGTGGTTCATTTGAAAAGTAGGATTTATTGAGTTATGGAAATAAACTCTTCAAATTGATGAATGTGCATACTTATTTAACCCCAACCATCCCAAATCCTCCAAAATCCTTTTTGCAAATTGGAGGAATTTGCAGGATTGAGGTTACATGGCAAAAGTGCATTGCTGATTTCGGAGGACGCACTGTGTCAAGGTCTTGGGCCGGACCTTGTGTTCTTTATGCTCAGCCTAGCATAAATTTAATCCTTATACTTGACATCCTCCGCACTGCTCCAGGATGTCACTGCCTCTGCCTCAACCTATTGACAGTCATAGCCGGAGGATTTTGCAGGATTCAGGCAGTGGTCACCCCTCCATGGACCATATTCAAGAAATAATGCAGGAATTTGCAGGATTGAGGATATATGCTATTTTTCCATGAGGTCAATTGGAGGATTTTGCAGGATTGAGGCTACATCCTGGCAAAAAGGCCCAGGGAGTTAGGGTTAATGTAGTATTTACAGAAATCTCTGATTTCTCATGACCTCATGCTAGTGTCTCTGGATCTGTAGGTGATGCCTCTGCTTTTGAGATCTCTGATGACCTGATTGGGCAGTCGTCCTGTTACCGAGACGGCATAGCAACCTTTGTGATATCGATCTGTTGGCATGGAAACAACCAATAGTATAGTGTCAGAGACAAACAAGTGGCTCCATTAAAATTTAAATCCAAAAAGTGTTATTGACAAAAAATTTGAAGTTAAAGGGAATATATACAACATTTGCTTTGCTGAAAGTTTCAGGAATGGATGGTTTTTGGGGGTCAGCAGTTTATTGCTTCACTAACTTGTTTGAAGTTTTGTGTTCGTAGATGCTGGAAAAACGAAGAAAAACAAACGTTCTTGTAGTCTGGTTCCCTGACCCCACTTAAGATGAAACAGAGCAATTAATACACGTCGGGGAATTGTAAGGTCAGGGAACCAGTCTAGCTGGCTTGTACCCATTCATGGGTGTGTAATCCAATTGCAAACAAAATGTGCACTCACTAAATATAGTAAATTTGGGGCAGTATTTGGAAAAAAAAGCCAGCTTTTTTCTCCAACGGTGATCGACCGACCAGCGTTGAAAATTGATGCAAAAATACCATGTTTCTTGAAAATGAGAGCACACCAGGTGCCACGATTTCACAGAATGCTTTAGACTGTCATTCGCTAACAGTCCAGTAAGGTATTTCATACTAATTTAGTATGTTTGTTTTTGGATGTTTGCAAATGTTGTATATTCCCTTCAACTAAGAACAATGAGCCCAATAAATTTGGAATCTGATTCAACTGATACAGAAGTGCCATTTATGATCACAGTTACATTCCCGTCATGGATTGCTTACTTATTCTTTGCCACTTTCCAACCCAGCTATCCTCAGGACTTGTAAGGGCAACCAATCTGCAAGTCAAAGCAAAACAAAACACAATGAAAACTACAGGTTATTAGAAAAACACATCATATTTTGACTACAGTTCAGAAATTATCAACCACCCTGTGAACCACGTCTTTTGGCATTTAACCAGGTTGTAAAAAAGTTGACGGGTTCCCAAGTAAAATTTCGCTGTCACTTACGACACCTACATTGTCTGATAAGGTATCTGACGACTGCTTGTCAATCAAAAGCACAGCAGTGCTTAATACCCCTAAGGGTTCCTCAGAACTACCCTGCTACATGTAAATCCAACAGAGTCCAACGGTTACTTCCTGCTCAATCAAAAACAACCCAACTGTGCCTAATTTTTAGTTGTCTGCTGGATCCAACAGAGTCCAACTTGGCGTTATTTATCAGTACCAAACAGAATCTGACTCTGAATATATACATGTATTTGTACAAGGGTTTACTGCTCAATCAAACATGCTCCAACAGGTTAATGATATAGTTGGATCCTGTTGGATTCGGCAGGGTTAGGGTTAATACAAGAGATTTGCTATGGCAGAACTTTGTGCATTGACTGCTATAGTCATACATGTACATGTACGTACATACTGAAATTTGTATCCTTGTGGAGACATTTCTTTGTTCTAATGTAGTAAAGTTTTCAAGTTTGAAAGTGAAGTTTCAAAATGGATCAACCCACCTTGGAAATTCCTAGTTTTTGAGTAAAATCCATTTATCTATTTTGTGAAAACCTTGTGGAGACGTATTCATCTATAGAAATTGCCCTGTGGAGACGTATACAATCTTTTGTTCCCTATTGTGTGCACGTCTCCAGAGGGCACGGTGTAGCAGATCAACGTAACATGACCGAATCTTAGCTCCTCACCCATCAAATGATGTGCTTGTACAGTCGTACACGTTATCCCTGTTGCCCTTCAGTTGAAGATAATCTTCACAGTTATCACAGCCATCCAACTCAAACTGGTCAAGTGTCTGAAAAAGAAAGAGAGAGAGGTCAAATGTACTGTGGAGCAATCCTATGAGAAAGTCGACATGGATAAAAAATTGAATATTTATGAAATCTTCAAAACTGCAAACATCAAAACCTCCAATGTGTCATCAAATTAAAGGGGACAACATGGAATACTGTTCTCCAAAAGCACTATACCAGTACATGTACATCAAAAATACGTGCACAGGATCACACATGGCGTGCCGGCAGCAGCACTCATGTTGCAACATTTTGTGAGCTGTATGCTAAGCACCGTTGATATCAGAATTTTCAATAGGGCCTAATCGGAAATTCAATATCGAGAATATTTGACATCAATTATACCACATTAAAGTTAAAGACCATAAAGATGACACTTGGACTAAAAAAAGAAAGACCACGCGAGTGCAGTGGTGGCACAAGGAGCCAACGAGCTCCGCCACTCACATGGTTTTTTTCATGTCCGGGTTGCCACATGACTTTGCCTCAAATCTACGTGACTGACAGCAGAAACGATCCATCAGCACGTGCTTGATCTTTTCAATGTTGGAATTTAGATACGCAAACGTGTGCAAGAACCGGGAAATTACATGAAAAATAGCTTTAAAGAGGGCGAGTGTGCTTCTAAAGCATAAACTACATGTACAAATAAATTATACATGTGAAAATCAAATCTGACATTTTCGGGTACATCGTACATATTCCAACTTCCAAGTGTGGCCTTTATTTACAGAGGAAGCCCAGTAAATATTACGGAAAGATTCCCATATCTGGCCAATTTTTCGAATTTTCAAAAAACTTGTTTTTTGAATGCATGTGTATGAGTTTGCTGATTAGTGTTGGCCGCTATCTTGTTTGGATGGCACTGTACACTTTGCGCATGCGTAGTATGGGTCTGTACACTTCACACATGCGTAGTACGGCTAGCTCACGTAAACAAAATGGTGGCCAACACAAACTCGACAGAGTTTCTACTTCTACTTCTACATTGATACTTGGCAAAATCCCCACATCAGGATATCACACCAAGGTTGCGCGTAAGACCGATGAATTAGGTAGATTGAGGGTAGTTTTGAATTGGGAAAAGGAAGCAGAGGTGACTGATGCAGGGAGGTTGTTCCAAGTAGGTATTGTTCTTGGAAACGAGGAGTATTTGTAGACATTGGTGCGAGTAGATATGTGGCAATGCTTAATAAGATGATAACCACGTGTTCCTGGGGCTGCTGGAGTTACAAAGTCGTGTGGGCTGAGAGATGGTAGTTGGTTGTGAGAGATCCGGTACATTGATGATAGTCGGGCGTTTCTTCGACGGGTTTCCAGTGACTCCCATTTCAGACCCTTGATCATAGAAGACACGCTTTCAGTGGGGTGATATTTGTTGAGGACGTACATTGCAGCTCGTCTTTGTATGGCTTCTATTTTGTTAATGTTGGTTGTTGTATACGGGTCCCATATACAACTGCAGTATTCCAGACGCTGACGTACTAAGACAGTGTATGCGCGTCCCTTGAGGTCCTTGGAGCAGTGCTTTATTAAAGTTACGGCGAACGAGACCCAAAATCTTACTGGCGTTATTAGTTATTCTGTCAATATGTTTGTTCCATGAAAGCTTTTGTGAGAAGTAGAGGCCCAGATAGGAATGTTCTGCAACAGTTGTCAAAGCATCCAGACCTAGTCTGTAGGTGGACTTGATGTTGTTACGGAGGAGAGATATGGTCATGCGGTGACATTTCTCGACGTTAAACTGCACTTGCCAATTGTCGGCCCCTGACTTTAAACTGTTGAGGTCTTGTTGTAGCATAGCACTATCTTCAGCAGAGGCGATTCTATAGAGTAAACAGTCATCTGCGAAGAGACGAATACTAGACTGAATCGAGTCCGGGAGGTCATTGATGAAGGTGAGGAAGAGGAGGGGCCCGACAACCGTTCCTTGAGGAACTCCTGAACTGACATGGCACCAGTCTGAGGCCTCCCCATCTACCACAACTCTTTGCTGTCTATCAGTAAGAAAGACTTGAAGCCACTTGTGGAGGTGGTTTCGGACACGGTAATGATGGAGCTTGAAGAGGAGTTTCTTATGGGGGACCTTGTCAAAGGCCTTTGAGAAGTCTAGTATGATGTCGTCAACTTGTTTTCGCTGGTCCATGGCAGTAGCGATATCGTTCACTGTCGTGCTTAGTTGGGTTCGCAGGAGTACCCTGGGCGAAAACCGTGTTGAACTGAGTTCACGATGTTATTTTTTTCATAATGATCCATACATGTATAGAAGTGATGAGACTGGTCGGTAATTTGTTTACTCTGTGAAGTACCCGGATGCAATACGCGGCCGTGGATGAAGAGCGCACACAAGAGGGCGCGCTTCACTGCAGTGGGCTTCAAAGATTTTGGAATGACAGGCAACAGCAGCGGTGCGCTTTGCCAAAGTTGACGCACGCTCAGTAGATGACTAAAGCTATTTGTCTGGTTCCCTGACCCAGATTGTACCTCGAACTTCGTTTAAATGCCAGATTACTGATTAGGCGTAAAAGCAGATTGCCACATGATCGAGAAAGCTTGATATTATGAGTACTTATCACACGGTAAAGCAATGTTCAGTTTTTGTCACGGAAGGATGATTTCGCTTGGTTTGAAATGGTACAAGACAAGAGCGTGGCATAGTTTACAAGCCGCGTTCACGGGTCTACATACTCCTAGAACTATGAGGCTCCATGTGGAGCCTCATACTTTCATAGTCATAGTCATACTCATAATACTTAGTTCTAGGAGTAGGGTCTACATTGACGGCCAATTTTGTCGAAACGACACATCCTGAACACGCGGGAAGGCAAATTTAGATTTCTTGGTGAGTACTCAAAATCCATACGAAATTATGTATGGCGGATCGATTTCGCCAGGTTCGAAATGACACAACAACGTGGCGTTGTATATACAACGCCACGTTCACAGGTCTAGACATGCTAGATATCACTTGTCATGCTAGCCCCACTAGTGTGGCCGTCGGTATGCTGCGCTGAACCTCTGGCCACACACCGTGGTACCGCGCGCTACTGAGGACGAAGTTTTCATAAAATCTGCGGACCGTTTCTTACATTCTCAGTTTCTTACTTTCTTATGGTTGTATTCTATGATGTCTCACCTATCACTTCTGGGATGCTTAGGTCTAATGATGTTCCATTTTCCGAGATATTCTTCAATCTTTCTGGAGCCCATATGCACTCGTGAAACGTCTGGTGATGGCAGCCATTTTGAATGTGACAAGAGATGACCTCAAGCTGTGACGTCGCGTTTATGCAAATTTGCGCGCTCGACAAGTAATTTGCATAAACGCGACGTCACAGCTTGAGGTCATCTCTTGTCACATTCAAAATGGCTGCCATCACCAGACGTTTCACGAGTGCATATCAGTCCGGGAAATGTACGAATTCGACAACGTTGTCATATTTAACAACCATTGTCGTATTCGACAACTTCCGGTATACATCACTATTCTGCAAGACTGGATTGGAAAATGAACGCGGTACAGAGATGCAAAGACATGTTACAATCCTTTCATTGTTGATTATAGTTTTATTGATTTACAAAACGATTTAAAACAAATAAATAGATACTTTTAATATAGATTTATGGATATACTTTTGTCATAATTTAAGAAATTTGAAAGGATTTCGACTGATTTATTGCATGCCAAAACCATCACTTCAGTAACATATAGGATTCCTGATTTTACAATATACTTTTGTCATAATTTAAGAAATTTGAAAAGATTTCGATTGATTAATTGCATGCCAAAACAATCATTTCAGTAACATATAGGGTTCCTGATTTTACAATATACTTTTGTCATAATTTAAGAAATTTGAAAAGATTTCGACTGATTAATTGCATGCCAAAACAATCATTTCAGTAACATATAGGGTTCCTGATTTTACAATATACTTTTGTCATAATTTAAGAAATTTGAAAAGATTTCGACTGATTAATGGCATGCCAAAACAATTATTTCAGTAACATATAGGATTCCTGATTTTACAATATACTTTTGGTCATAATTTAAGAAATTTGAAAAGATTTCGACTGATTTATTGCATGCCAAAACAATCACTTTAGTTCCGGATTTTACAAAATTATATTGCATTTTATAGTAATAATTGCAGCAAATAATTGATAACCTGTCGATGTTGGAGGAATAAAGTGGGCATCGATCATGATGAAACTTTGCCTGTTGTTGTATTCACTTTGTCATTATTTGTGCTGTGGTGTACATCTGTTGTTAATTTCCTTAGGGTTACAAATAAAATCACAGTCTTTTAAATAAAAAAGAAAATCACAGTCTTTTAAACTAAAATAAAAATCACAGTCTTAAATTAAAGTAAAATCACAGTTTTCTAAATTAAAAATAAAATCACATTTTTTTGGTGAAGTACTATGCAGCATAAATAAATAATGTACTGAAAACAGGCTAAAACTACGAAAACAACAGAAACTCTTGATGTCTAGATGACTGGGTAGTAGGGCCGGCGTTCCTCAGTAGATCCACAGCCTGTCTTTATCTGTGAGGTGTGGACGGATGCTGTCCGCAATCTCCACCGCATCTCGCTGGCGCACCACCTCCAGGTGGTAGACGGCCACCAGCTTTGGGCCACCTCCGGAGGCAGCGCCGCCGTGTTGGAACTCCCCCGTGAACACACACACGGCCCTTGCGATGGAAAAATCCACGGCAAGGCCAGCGGCCAGCACGTTGCATATTTTGCGGGGCACGTGACCGATGACCTTGCCGGCGACATCAGCTACGGTGGTGCGATTAGGACCAGCTCTGGTTTCGATCCCCTGGACAGCCTCATCAACATCTTCAAGCTGTGGAGCCTTGACCACACATCCCCACTTGTCGTATTTGCTGGATTGGTGAGAACACTGCATGACAAACTGTCGCCCCTGCAGAGGACGGTTGTGGTAGGCATGGTACCTGCAATCATGGAGGAATAAACATCAGTGACAAAACCCAAGGTTCAGAGAAACTCATTGTGAGACGTTAAATAAGGTAAGAACTGAATGTATATTTATGAATGTAACCAATACCCATTGATCGTTGACACAAATGTTAATGCAGCTGTCCCTTCTCGGTGCCACCCCTTCTCTTGACGGAGACATTTCATTTCCTGCAGATAGTCCATTGCAAGAAAATTCAACGTTGAACTTCAGTCTCAGTATACTATTTAAGTCGTGGGAAAGATTTGCAAGATGTGCGCTGTGTGGTGACCCAAAAGCAAGTGTGATACAATGTACTAACAGCATGCATGGGCAGCATGGGCAGCGTTGCCGCGTCTTTGTAAAAACAAGATGACGTCATATCCGGATACTTGGTCATGCAAGACGGCAAACTTTTTGTACTATTCTAGAAACTTGTTTTAAAGGGAGCATACACCATTTGCAGAAACTCAAAATCGGAACTGTCGAATATCACGATGTATAATACTTGAAAGTAAGTAAATAATGGTACCATGGTTGGAGATTTTGGCATTGCTAATGATTATGAGTAACGTGACCAAAAAATAAAATATGGGAGGTTTTTTGGGTCACGTGACTCCGATGACGGATTGAGCTAAATCTTGCACAGGTTTGTTATTTTATGTGTATATTGAATTAGACAAAGTATGAACACTGTCTGCAACACCGTGCCAATATACTCCCTTCAACCTGGGCATTTGTTTTCCTTACCAACAGTGTGCAGTTTCTGTTAAAAACATTTCACAATGGGCAAAACTAAACCAGTTGCTCAGCGGAGAACTCGATCTTCTGCAGGGGATTCGTCGTGGTCACAGTTTACCAAGAGCTGCAAGTGCATCATGCACGATGTTTTCAAAACCTCGGAGTCACCCAAATTATTCAATATCGCTCTGAAATCACATCCTACTCGAAAACTGCAGTGGCTTTTGGATAAAAAGTATTTGAGTCCGCGCGCAAAACACGTTTGTATTGACTGTCTTGACCAGGCGCCATCAACAAGTGGAACTGGAAGTAAACGCGATACAACTGGGAAAAAAGATCCCAGTCAGCTACCTGAGGAGGAAGAGCCCAGTAATTCAGAATCAGCGATAGTCGGAGAAATTTTGAATTTGATAGCAAATCGTAAATTGTCCCAAGAAAGCGTCACGAGGGTCTGCTCCGCTCTTGGCAACCTACTGAGTAGCGATATTCTTCAAGATTCGAAGGCGGTACAGGGATCATACAAGAATTTAGAAAACTTGTTGGACTTAAACTGCGTGGAATATTTAGGGGAAAGACCACCGGCTCTGGTATCATTTTTGAGCAGTATTTCCAATGTAACAATTGATAAGGACCAGCAAAATGCAAAGAAGACCAATGGACTATGCCTGGTAATTGAGAACATTTATGCTTTACGCAATGCTAACTTCGTGGGACCGTTATCATTCAGCCAGGGCTTGGTGAAGTGGTCGATAAATGGCAGCAAAACTACACACGCATTAGACGGAGCAAGCAGTGCAAGCGGGAGCGTGACCTCGTTGAAGAAAGTTCTTCAGAACTCATCTGCCAAATCAAATGTGTGTTTCTCGTCTGGTGATGTAGATGTATTTGCTGATAATACGCAAAGGATAGGTAAAACGGGTCGTGTGCGTACTGGTGGAACGACTCCTGCCAATGTTGTGACGAATGTGGTATTCATACAAAGTCGACCTGCATCGAATTTGCAGACTCAAGGCCAACTTGCACCATCTCACTGGCTTGACAAAACTGAAGACGTAGCTGATAAAATTACAGCGTTTGAAAAAGAGCTCAATGATAATGTGTTCCGACCATACCGACATATGTGCCAGAGTAAATTCATTGAACAGGTAAAAAGTGAATTACATGTTGATGACATCACCGGCGAGTCAAAGGACCACGTTTACTACAGTTGTTCTGCACAAGAGCAAGATTGCGTATGCCCCAAGTGTTGCAAAGTATATGATAAAGTGACAGTTGAGTGTCCGGGATGCGGGTACAATCCAGTAAACGTACCGGATAGAAGCAGTATGTATGGCGATGTACCAAGCTGCCATTCAAAAGAAAAACCAGCTGTTAAGATGGGTGAGATCATTCCTATAAACCCAAATTCCAAGGCTACAATAAAAGAGGTGTTGCTGAATCTGAAACAACAAGCTGGGGTGGGCACTGATCGTTCCTGGATCCGTGTTGGGTTTGATGGTGTTCCATACCGGATTGCAAATCTGCTAATAAAAAACACGATTATGTGTGAAGTGTGCAACGAGCACATTGACATTTCCGTGACACCCTTTGACGCCCACTGTGAGATTAAGCATCCAGGTGTGTACGATATCGGCAGCAAGAAGCTCTTGGATGATATTCTTCTCACTCCTGGTGCCGGTCATGCAGAGATAAACCTTCTGAGGGCAATTTTCTCATTGACTAGAGTCGTATTTATGGAACATATTGCTGGGTGTTTAGGATTCTGCAGCAAGAGAGCCAAAGACTTTGTAATCAGGGGAAGCAATCATCACGTCACATGGCAGATCTTCGACATTGTGTTGAAGGCATTTGCTCTCGAACTATGTTATACATATGTTTCTCAAAATCGCGAGGAGAATGAGAACTTTCTTCCAACAGCAGAGGACTTCGTTATGTGGAAGAATACAAGAGTAATCAATCCAAATTTCAATTTGATATATGATCTCATATTTCACATTTTCCTTGGTGTTAAGTGCTTCAGAAGTGGTATACGCAGAAATAACTCTCAGCACGCTATTGCCGGACGCCAGAAAACTGCTCCCATAATGTATATTGGCAAGCACGGTATTTATCAACCGCTTCTCTTCAGGGACATGCAAGTTAGAGTTGAGGCACCGCCGGACATAAAAAAATATATAGAGGAGAACGAGGCGTTTTCCAGATCTGGGAACAATTTGCGTGGCGAAGGCGGTGACTACGTAACTGAAAACGAAAACAGATCTTTGAAGAGTATCCTTCCACCAGGAGTACCGACTGTAGAAAGATGGCAAATGGCAAGCCGATGTAGCGCTAACCTTCAGAAAAACAGGAAAGCTGTTTTCCAAAGAGCCGGTTTTCAGGATCCTGGCGAACAGAGAGGATCTGTTTTTAACAGAGAGCTGGAAGTTCAAGCTATTAGGAAAGAAATTCGTTTGTCGGGGATGTTGAAAAATCCATACGAGGAAATTCCTTTGAAGTCAATAGAAGGTAAATTGCTACACCAAGATTTTGTCAACGTGTACAACACAGCTCTAGAAAACTATGACGCTTACAAAAAGTCCCCACATGCGCCAAATCTGCAACCAGTATTTGTCACATCAGAAGATGAGCAGATGTATAATGATATGAATAACTGGACTGCAAGAAAACTGACCGAAGAAACGATGAAATTGCTTGAACAATTCAGTGACCAAGATTCTGCAGATATGTACAGGGAGATGCATAGTGACGTTGCAAAGGCAGCAAAGAGTGTCAAGATACAATTTTACCAAGATATCAGTCAGATTCTAAATCTAGAGAGGGAGCTACTAGCTTTCGGAAACGAGGATATTGAACAGAAAGATGACGACATGGAACAAACTGAATGATTGTATTACCTTTTACTTAGTGGTTCTTTTCCTCTTGTGCGCCTTTTGACTTGGTCCATGCTTCGGGCAATAGAAGGGAACCTTTTCCAAGTCACCGTCCCTTTCAAAGTACAGACCGATGCAGTTCTGATGAACCCAATACTGGCAGTCAAGACGTTTGGTCCTCGCGTTCCTGTGATCACACCCTAACCAGGAGGACTTGTTGGCATCGGACCCACAAACCCGACAAGACAGCTTCTTGTTGGGTTCGATCGTATGGACTGGTTCGACAGTGTTTTGATGTTTTCTCGGAGTGATGGTGAGCGATGAGGACGAGGGCTGCTGCACAAGTTCAGGATCAGTTTGTGCCGGTGCCGTGTCGTTCCGTTCGGCCTGTGTGCTGTATCGCCAAGTCTTGCCCCTTCCCCACGTCGGCTTCACATGAACGTCCACTTCACATCTTGTTGATATCACCAATTCCTTAGCCTGCATAATCGGTAAGTTTTGGAAAGAAATGTTAAGGCTCGCAGATGACTTGCATTTTCTATTCCCATTTATCATATATTCCATTGGGTATAAACTGTCCCGAGTGAAAGTTGATGGGCCATGACATATTATTGGGGAGCCGAAGAAAACAAATTAAGTTGGCTTTTTTGTTAAAAAGAAGGTAGGCCTACTCAAGGTTTAACATGAAAAAAAAATGATACAAATAAATAAAGCAAAGCGTCCCTAAGCATGCATCGTTATTCATATTTACAAAGAAAAGTACAGGCCTATAGCTTAAAAATCATCTTATAATACAAAGTAACAAATCAACGGTAAACCTCCCTCTCCCCCCCCCCTCCCCCCAAAAAAAGTCGAAAGAATTCTGACCCGTAAACGAGTGTATTTCAGCTTGTGTACATTAGGTTGGGCCTATACTCACAGCACGCACGAGGCTTTGGGCTCTGCGGTGGTAGGTTGACCGTCTTGTAACCGAGTTATCTATATATTTCACTTTCTTCTTGTATACAACCTTGCTGTTTTCCTTTTCTCTCTCCAAGGATTCTTCTAAAACCTTGTATATGTCGTCTTCCTGGGAGTTGGATGTCATAACGGCAATCAAAGGCTAAGCCGGATAGTGTTGGTCAGACCGCGTCCCTACTGTTTTCATATTTTCCGCGCCCCTCCTGTTTTCATATTTCCCGCGCAATATAGCTAAACATTTTGTCAAAGTCGCACACCTAAAACGTTTTAAAAAAATTGGGAAACGAACAGCTAAATTCTTCTTTAAAAGTTATCGTTACAATAAGAATATTAGCTTTCTCATTGTTATGATTTTTTAATTCCTAGCGTAATATTGTAATAAACAGTAATTGCAATGAACGGGACAAGGATGAAGCGCCATTAAACAAGATGGCGCCCTGGTTCAGACTGGTGGTGTGAAAAGTAAACGGAAATTTCTTCCAATCGCACAGGCGAGTTTTTAATTTACGCAGATAGAAATTTAGTTAGAGGATTGAAAGTCAATATTGTGAAATAAAAAAGTACATGTTTTGCGTAAATTTTACATTTTTTGCGTTTGAAGTTGAAATTGTCGAATACGACAACGGTAATCGTTAAAATTCGACAATGGTTGTTAAATATGACAACGTTGTCGAATTCGTACATTTCCCGGACTGATATGGGCTCCAGAAAGATTGAAGAATATCTCGGAAAATGGAACATCATTAGACCTAAGCATCCCAGAAGTGATAGGTGAGACATCATAGAATACAACCATAAGAAAGTAAGAAACTGAGAATGTAAGAAACGGACCGCAGATTTTATGAAAACTTCGTCCTCAGTAGCGCGCGGTACCACGGTGTGTGGCCAGAGGTTCAGCGCAGCATACCGACGGCCACACTAGTGGGGCTATTGTCATGCTTGTCAGAATGACTTCAGTCCAGAAAGTAAAATTAGGTCTAATGTGATTTAAAAAAGAATAATGAACTTCTACCTTGATCAGGGAACACATGAGACATGCCCGCAAATTTCGCAGCTCCTTTGGTACGATTTCCATACTGTAATGTTTCAAAAAATGTTGCTAAAACGACAGCATAAAGCTCTAATTTTATCAACAGCGTCCGATCAATATTCCTTCTTGCTATAAGATTTGGCGACCTCTCGCGAGCAACTGCAAAGTCAACATCAACCTCGTTCCAACCAATTATGATTGATCTGCACGAAAGCAGGCAAAGGTGTGGAATCGTACAGGAAAAATGATCAAGGCATATGGAAAGATATCCGCAGTATAGTTCCCAAGTGCTACAGACATTATCACCCCTTGGTAGCTGTAGGGTCGCAGACGACCAACGTCATTGCGCCAGTGTTTTATTGCCTATGGTGTTCTATATATGCCATTTTGCATCTCGCAAATGGTGTGGTTTCCCTAGTAATGCCGATTCAATTGTTCTGTAACTAGCACGAAGTTGTGTTTCGATTATCGACCAATATGTAATATCGTCATGTAAAAAAAATCAGCCCGTCATGTAACATCGACCTGTAATATAATAATTTCATCCCGTAATGTAATAACAAGCGCCTGTAGTTATAAAAAAATCCTATACTTTTTAGGCCTAACAAAGAACAAATCTTGATTAACGTTTTTAATATCCGAGATGTAACTGTTAGTCGTCTGACCTTGACTTCCGGAATTACCGGAAGGTCAAAGTCAGGTGCATTTAAGATGCGAACAGAAGCCTTAAAAACAAAGAAATGTCATTTCCCGGCCCCAATCTGTTGCCGAAAAGAAGCCTGAATTAAACCGTACGGTGAACTAGCTTGGTCGTAGAAAGTACATAATTTTGATATATGCCATCATTACATAGATAGTGCTTTATGGTCAAATTTTACACATATATGAACAGTGGCGGCGCCAGGCAAGGAAATGTTTTTTGGAAGCAGTAAAAAAAAACAATCCAGGCTGATGATATCCAAAATCTAAGGGGAAGTAATTAGGAAGAGCCCAATAATAAATGACAACTAAAAGCCTGTGTACGCGCGCCCGTGCCATCGTAATTAATCCGGAAATATTCAGCCACTATCCGGTTCGTTAGTAAAAACGTCATACACGCGCGCACACCACTGATTACTAGCGCCCACTGGCTGCAAACGCTCGAGCTGCGTTAACTTCCGGTTCCAATCGTGCAGAAAGTGCTGGAGGTGACGTCACACTAACGAACCGGATAGAGAAACTTAGAAATGCATGCAGTCGTTTTTATGAGTGAGAAGTGTATCAAACCGCAGTAATGAAGTATAACAAATGTATAACATGTACAAAGACGTTGACTGCGCCCATGCACCCTATCTACGGCTTTATAAATGCATGTGCGGCGCTACCGTAGTACCAATGTTTATACTGCTTTCATTGGCCCAAAATGTGTCCACGGAACCGATATCTGCAACTTGTGTGAATCTAATTAACAGTGACGAAAATAAACACAAATAATCTGTTTGTAAATAAAGCGTTTAGGGAAAACTTGGGGGGGGGGGGGCAAGGAAACAACTGGGGGACGGGGGATTTCCCCACTCCCATGCCCACCGTAGCGCCGCCGCGCCACTAGAACTCACAATGTGACCAATGATTCTTTTTACTGGGGCTTAACTCCACAATGACACATGAATCATGACCGTAATTCCGGAAGTAAAGGTCGCCGGGGCCGCGACTTACATCTCGGTCAATAAAAATGTTAGTCAAGGTGTGATGCTCGAAATTACATGTGAACAAGAGTGTTTACGTTCAATCATTTCTTGAGTTGTAAGAATGTTCATAACTAAACGGTCTAAACCTCGCTAATATGCAATTTCATACCCGTTGACGTCCGATGATGAATACCTAGGGGTCATGGTTGATGTATATAGTCAACATTTGAAGTTCATGCCTTGTAAAAGTCTTGGAGAATTATTTTCCGGGGGAAAATGGGGGGAAACTCGACATTAAACAAACCGGGTGATCGGGAACCTGCCTCCCCACCCAACGGGAATTCGCAAAATAGCAAGTTCCCCGAGTTGTTGCAAATCCGTAGGCCACACGTTACACTATATTCACAGGTTTGCAAATTATTACGGGACGAAACTGTAACATTACGGGTGGTTATTATGATTACGTGTCGATAATTTCCGGTCGTAAGTTCGTATTATAACACCTCACCCACAGATTCTGTGTCTTGATTGGCCGAGAGCGAGTCACATGTTACTTTCTAATTTTGCTATCTTTCTGTGCACGGCCAAAAGTACTATACCCGTAGCAACCAAAGTACTATACCATTGGCAACCAAAGTACTATTTCCACGGCGCGGTATTTGTGTGCAAATGGATGCTTGAGTGCGCGTTGCGCGGTGCGCGTTGCGCGTAGCGCGTATTGTTCCAAAGAGAGCGCGCCGCAGACTTGGGTTCAAACATTTCGTGAAGGGGTAGTAAGAATGGTAAGAATAATTTCATTGGGTGACAGATGAAATGTTCCATTCTTCGCCTCGTGGAATGGAACATTTCATCTGTCACCGAATGAAATTATTCTTTCTATTGCACGAACGTGAAACATTCATTATTTGTTTTATATAACACCTGAATAAATCCTCGTCATCTGATTGGTTGACTTTTAATAGCCAAGTTATTTAAGTTAGAAATTGTTTACAAGTTTGACGAGTTCAGAGTTATCATATTCAATTTTTCTCAATTTAAAACTGTTCCATAAGTTTAGAACTCAAACAGTTCAATAAGTTCAGAACTTTTATTGCCAATTTAAACACCACAGCGCCACCATCGGCAACATGTGCAGTGACAGTGCAATGTTACTTCTAATCACAGTGCAATAGTACTTCCATTGCACTGTGTGCTGCGCGCCACGCGCACGCCGTGCATTGGTACGAATAATTCAATGACATGTGATCAACGATCCACCAATCAGATGACGGGGATTTATTCAGGTGTTGTATAAAAAACAAATATTGAATGCTTTATCTCGTGGTGAAGTAAAACTAGCCTCCCTCGATGATCCATGGACCATTCTATTTTCCCTCGGCTTCGCCTCGGGAAAATAGAATGTTCATGGATCACCTCGGGAGGCTAGTTTTACTACACCACTCAATGCATTCAATATTTGTATATTACAACACCTCACCCACAGATTCTGTGTCTTGATTGGCCGAGAGCGAGTCACATGATACTTTCTATTTTTGCTATCTTTCTGTGCACGACCAAAAGTACTATACCCGTAGCAACCAAAGTACTATACCAATAGCAACCAAAGTACCATATCCACGGCGCGGTATTTGTGTGTAAATGCATGCTGGTGTGCGCGTTGCGCGTTGCGCGCAGCAAAGTTGGGTTCAAACATTTCGTGAAGGGGTAGTTTGGAAGAGATAAATATTTTCCACCAATTTTGTATTGAAATCAGTGAAATTTATTTCAACTGTGTTCAGATTTAAATAATTTAAAATATTAAAACCAAGCAGAATCCGTGGGCGAAGTGTTATGAAACAAATATTGAATGCTTTATCTCGTGGTTAAGTAAAACTAGCCTCCCTCGGTGATCCATGGAGCATTCTATTTTCCCTCGGCTTCGCCTCGGGAAAATAGAATGTCCATGGATCACCGAGGGAGGCTAGTTTTACTCAATATTTGTATGCTAACGCAAGGTCGGGTCACGTACGTTACAGAAGGATATTGGCTATGGGAAACCACACCAGTGCGACATGCGAGATGCGAGATGGCAGATATAGAATACCGTACTAGGGTGATGCGTCAACTCGCCCTGGTTGTACATGTACGTACGGACGACTACACTTGTTGCAGGCAGTATACTATTATTTTGCGCACGCAACGAACAATAAGCTGCATGCAGTGGGTACTGTGTAGCTAGCATGCACACACAGCACAGCAGCACAGCAACTGCGTACGTGCATTATACGAGTACCACCATGGAGCTATGCGTGTACGAATCCAAAGAGCAGCATATTAACAGCCCGGACATGGCTGCCGACAATAAAGCTGAAGCGACTAAGTACGCGCTGGACGTACAGCTGATCAGTGCTGTGCGAGAATTCCCGCTCCTCTACGACCCCACGGCCAGGAATTACCGCGACCCGGAGATAGTGACCGATGCCTGGCGAGAGATCGCCAAAGCAATCGGGGCAAACGAGTGGACGGAATGTAAGGAACGATGGAGGAAACTGAGAGATGCCTACGTCAAGGTGAAGAAAAGCTCGACTTACCAGCCGATTGGAAACAAGAAGCCGATAACATGGGTGCACTACGAAGACATGTCGTTCCTGGCTGACCATATCAAGCACCGGGGGAACGAGAAAAGGGGCACGAAAAGGTCCCTTGATGTTGAAGATGAAATGCAAGATGCGAGGTAGGACCGGAGTTCTGTGGTTGGTTTTGCACAAAGTCTGAAGGGAGTCAGAACATTTTTAATTTAACATGATGGATGCTAATTAACAACAGTAGCATACAGTAATTTGGAATGATTCCCATATCTGGCCATCACTAATTTTTCCCTTCAGTGACCTATCACTTTGAGCCATTAGAAAGTGATAATATGTCCTAAAAAGTCAAATTTAGCAGGGAAAATATTGAAGTAGGCCCTATTTACTGAGTCTGAGAAAACACTTTCAGACCAGTCTCATAATAAATAATATGAGTCATATGGTACGTTTGTGCACAGGGTGACAAGTGATGGCCAGGTATGGGAATCTTTCCCTGTAACGTACGTCTCTCTGCAAAATTCCTAAAGTTGTAAGAAAACTTAAAATGTTTGTAATTCCGAATTTGTACGGTTTTACTGCATGCTTTCTCACAAGTCCATTTCACCCTCCTACTGTTAAAGAGTGTCACGGAAACTAAGAAAGATTCCCATATCTGGCCATCACTAATTTTTTACCTTCAGTGACCTATCAGAAAGTAACAATATGTCCTAAACAGTCAAAATTTGCAGGGACAATATTGAAGTATTTGCTGAGAAATTTTCAGACCAGTCTCATAGGGTTTGTGCACAGGGTGACAAATGATGGCCAGATGGAATCATTCCAAGGTGACAACCGGTCAAAGTTTCCTTGCACTTTATACTTTTAACAAACCAATGGGCCACTTGACCAATATTGACCCAAGTTATGGCTCAGAGTGCATCTCCATAGGACTTATATGAATAAGGAGGGTTAATGATTCAATACAACAGTCAAATCAGACGGTAATCAAACACCAACCTGTCATATATTTAATTTCTTACTGTTGATTCATCAGTTTTTGCACAAATTGCACTGATAACCCTTTTTTTTATTTGCAGCGCTGCAGAGGCTTTGGAGGAGCCTCAAGTTGGCTCCAGCAGAAGAAAGGATGGCAAGAAGGGACGCAAGGTACCACCGTCGGTAGATCCCATGCAGGTGACTATCATGGAAGCCCTGGCCCAAGGTGCAAACACCTCCAAGATGCCTACGGATGTCATCCTGGATGATGAAGAGGGTTTGTTTGGGAGGATGGTAGCAGCCACCTTGAGGCGGTTCCCTCCACGGGCCAAGGCCAGATGCAAGTTCCGCATCCAGGAGATTATCTTCCAGCAAGAGAATGAAAACCTGGGTGGCTCTGTCTAGATTGAGTGCCCATGTCATGTCACAAAGTATGAAAGTCACACCGACAATGGACCCTCTGCTCAACTTATAGGCCCATTGCAAGGCTCCCCAGTCACGTGGGGAAATTCTGGAATTTAAAGCCATCATGGAAAGTCATTTAAAAATCATGGCTTTTGTTGTTTTACAAGGAAATCATGGAAAGTTGATATTCCAACAAACAGTCAAGGAAGATTCATGGATTTCTGCACAACCCATGAGTAATATATGGCTATGGCAGTCTTCCAGTTTGCATTCCAGTTTATTAGGCCTATATACTTCCTCTTTAGGCCCCCCCCCCAAAAAAGTCTTCGGTTTCTGGTATGGAGCTTGCCCAAAAAGTGGTGCGGCGACGCGGCTTTTTTTTTTTTTACCTGATTTTTTTTGCTTCAAATGTCGGCTGATGACTGCAAATGGTGCCCGACTAAACTTAGTGCAAATATATGGGAGTCCAGAGAGGCCACATAAAGCTTATTCTCGACCATAACCCAATCTAAAAACACGTTAAAATTGTGCAGCAGCAGGATTCCAGTCAAACCAGTGAGTTTGGCGGTTTTGAGACATCATCTTTCATTGAAAAAAACCCTTTTTCATTTTGCCGACGCGCATGGCTACGGTGAACCAGAAACCAGAGACTTTTTTTTTGTGGCCTTATGCATGTGTGCTCTATTCTTGTTGCATGTCCAAAGCATACTGTGGTGCTTTTTAAGTAGTCAGTGGTCCGATGTCAAACTGGAATGCTGAAAGGGAGTGGTATTCATTGTCTCATTGTGATGACTGGCCAGTGTTATGTATTGTACATTTGTAAATACATGTAGGATTCTAAGATGCCAAAACAGCGTAGGGATTGCTCATTGATAGCCATGATTCTGTCATAGAAAAGTCATGGAAATTCATTTTACAATTTCTATGGGAACTTGGCCCTTGGTTTGATTAAAACAATTAGTTTTTGCTTGCATAGCCATAGTAATGGAAAAACATGAATAGAACCAAGCACATAGCAACCAAGCGCTAGTTCCTAAGCGCTATCGCTACAGAGCCGCGTTTAATGGGACACTAGGTCCTGGAACAGCCCAATTGGGCTACAAAACGCGCTTTGAACGAGATTATAATTGAACGATGTGTCTTTAGACGCATCGTTGGAAAGGCAGCCTTTCATTGATTTCTTCAATGAAATTTCTTCATTTACTTGCCAGAAAGAACAATTTCACCGGGAGTTTAGTCCCATTACTATCTTTAAACCAAGTACATGTATGCTTTTCAATAATAACTAGAAATGAGTTTGTGGACAAACACAAGCTGTTTCGGATATTCGAAATACTCTGTGCACGTCATGAATAATCAGTGACGTCACTAAAAATGTCATCTATAACAGCACATTATATGTACATGTCAAGTTATAACCAAATCGAACATGTAGGTCTGTAAATATAGGCCTATAAAGAACAAAATGCCCCTTTAAGGGACGTCACATGACATTTGATGATGACATCACATGAATTTGTCTATAACCCATCTTGGCATTGGTACGATCACGAATTTCTTCTAGGACCATCTGTGGGTGGTAGTCTAAGTGTGTACCAGGTCTAACGTCGATCGCATAATTTACAAAAGTGCCAAAGTAGAGTGTTTTAAAACGTGTACAAACCCTATGGGGAAAAATGCATCTTTAATGTGATGTAACCAAACACCTGATGACGTCACGATCACGAATTTCTTCTAGGACCATCTGTGGGTGGTGGTCTAAGTATGTATCAAGACTGAGGTCGATCGGATTTACGAAGGTGCCAAAGTGGAGTGTTTTAAAATGTGTACAAAACATATAGGGAAAAACGCATCTTTAATGTGACGTAACCCAACACCTGATGACGCCATGATCACAATGGACCATCTGTGGGTGGTGGTCTAAGTATGTATTAAGTCTGAGGTCGATCGCATTTATGAAGGTGCCAAGGTGGTGTGTTTTAAAACGTGTACAAAACATATAGGGAAAATGTGCATCTTTAATGTGAAGTAACGTGACACCTGATGACGTCACGATCACGAATTTCTTCAAGAACCATCTGTGGGTGATGGTCTAAGTGTGTACCAAGTGTAACGTCGATCAGATTTACGAAAGTGCCGAAATGGAGCGTTTTAATACATGTACAAACCCTATGGGGAAAAATGCATCTTTAATGTGACGTAACCTGACACTTGATGACGTCATGATCACGAATTTCGTCTAGAACCATCTGTGGGTGGTGGTCTAAGTATGAATTAAGTTTAAAGTCGATCGGATTGACGAAGATGCCAAACTGGAGTGTTTTAAAACGTGTACAAAACATATGGGGAAAAATGCATCTTTAATGTGATGTAACCTGACACCTGATGACGTCACGATCACAAATTTCTTCTAGGACCATCTGTGGGTGGTGGTCTAAGTATGTACCAAGTTTGAAATCAATCGGATTTCAAAAAGTGGCAAAGTGGAGTGGTAGAAGAAACGTGTGTTAAACCTATGGAGAAAAAGTCTGAAAAAGGAGAAGAAAAAAAACTAGAAATGTGTTTGTGGACAAACACAAGCTGTTTCGACTGTTACATTATTTGACAAGGACATGAGATTATGACGACTATTAGTGCATGCAAAGTTTCAACCGAATCGGACGAATAGTTGCGGAGATAAAGGGCTTTAAAAGGTGCAAGGTTAGGGCGCCCTCACATGACGACAACAGAAGTGATACTGTCGCCACCGATATTTTCACATTAACACTTCCCAATATGAGGGCATTCAAAGTTTCAACGCAATGGGACCCATGCTTACAAAGATATAGGGCTGCAAATGATGCTATGTTAGGGCGCCCTCACATGACGACCGAAGACGTCACCTTGACTTAACCTATATTCTGATGTATAACGGATTCAAGTTTGTGTGAATGCAAAGCTTCAACCAAATCGGATGCATACTCGTGAGGATATGGAAATTATGCATCATTAGGGCGCCCTCACATGACAGCTAATGACGTTGCGATGATGTCACCTATATTGCTACGTACATGAAACACACCCCAATGTGAGGGCATGCAAAGTTTCAACGAAATCGGACCCATACTTGCAAAGTTACAGGGCTGCAACAAATGCAAAGTTAGGGCGCCCTCACATGACACCTGATGACGTCAACTTGACGAAAACCTTATAGGACCATCTGCGCTTGGTGATATGCGTGTCTGCCAAGTCTGAAGTCAATCAGATCTATGAAAGTGCCAAAATGTACTGATTGAAGGAAAACGTGTACAAAACCTATGGAGTAAAAATGCACCTTTAATGTTACGTAACCCGACACTTGATGACGTCACGATGGCGAATTTCTTCTAGGACCATTTGTGGGTAGTGATCTAATTATGTACCAAGTCTGAAGTCGATCGGATTTACGAAAATGCCCAAAGTGGAGTGTTTCAAAACGTGTACAAAACATATGGGGAAAAATGCATCTTTAATGTGACGTAACCCGACACCTGATGACGTCACGATCAGGAATTTCATCTAGGACCATCTGTGGGTGGTGGTCTGAGTATGTACCAAGTCAGAAGTTGATCAGATTTACGAAAGTGCCAAAGTTTATGGGTAGAAGAAACGTGTGCAAAACCTATGGAGAAAAAGTCTGAAAAAGGAGAAGCAAAAAAAAAAGAAAAAAAAAGAAAAAAAAAAATCTTAACGAAAACAAGAGCTGTTTCGGTGTGTACACCGAAACAGCTAACTAGAGATCTATGTCTGTTTGCAACAGAACATAGGGCTTTTCCGCATTATGATTTTTTTTAATCAATAATACGTCTCTGACTATGCATGAACATAAAGTCTGTCAAAGTTAGCCGAAAATCGGCTAAAACAGTCACTGTGATCAGCATTTGAACTCAGCAACACGTGCCCTGCGGGCTTACTGACATACGATGTATGTGCGTATGTATGGTGGCCCTGAAGGGACATCGCATATGTGCGAATATGTGCGCACACGTATGCGTTGTTGCGAAATTTATCGCGAATATGTGCGCACACGTATGCGATGTCGCAAAATTTATCGCGAATATGTGCGCACACGTATGCGATGTCGTGAAACAATTCGCGAATATGTGCGCACACGTATGCGAATTTGTTTGCAATGTCGTGAATTTTATTGCATACCTTGTCGCATACCTTTCAGTGAAATTCCTAATGAACTGGGGAGTTGTAGCAGCTAGTCTGGAATTTAGACGTACTGTTTGATATAAATAGGGTCTGACTAATAAACCTTCGCGCGCACGCTGTTCCTCGTGCAATCGTTACTACTAGTACTGTCGAGCGCAAACTTGCTACTTGCGCAAGTTTGAAACTTGCGCGGGCAAATTTCAAAGTTGCGCAAGTAGCAAGTTTGCACCTCCTCAATTTTGTTTACCAAAGAGCACCAAGGAATGGGAAATTGTACCAAGGCAAATGATCGAAAGCACCAAGGCAAATTATGGAGGACACCAATGTACATGAGGACACCAAAAAAGCATAATAGTACCCCACCTTGTCTGTACAATCCAAGCTTAAAGAGAAAAAAAAAAGCAAAAAAAACAAAAATAAGCCGTGTGGCCGCGTCAATTCCGGAACTTTGGTCTGACCAGAGACCGAATATTTTTTTTTTTTGGCCTAAGATATATCAGTTTTGTATAGGGAAAGACTTGTGGAGAAAGCTGTGTACAAAGTCTATGAGAAAAATTAATTATTCATAAATCCATAATAAATCACTTGATGACGTCACCATGACCTCACTCTTCGGGACACATCTTGGCTACAGGAACTATGCTTATGCCAACTTTCAATGATATCTGGCAAAGATTAATGCCAAAAGTGCTATAATACGTTACTGTCTATGCGCATGCATGAACATAAAATCTGTCAAAGTTAGCCGAAAATCGGCTAAAACGGTCACTGTGGACAGGATTTGACCTCAGCAACACGTGCGCTGCAGGCTGACTGACATACGATGTATGTGCCTATGTACATGTACAACGTACGTGCATGTACATGTACATGTACATTGTGGACGTCCTGTCCTGTGCATGTTTTGAAGCAGAGGTATTGTCAACGTGAAGTTTTAAGCGTGCGCAGGGTATGTTCGAGTTCGCTTATTGCCTCGAAACTTTAAAATGTTTTAGACCTACCCTTCAATCAACAATTAAAGTAAAAACTAATATAAAAACTGCCATGGTTGATTTTTCAGGAATTTTCTAAGGAAAAAGGGTCTTTTCATTATAACTTCCGGTCTGATGACGTCATTCGCCTAAAACTTCGCACACGTCTTAAGGTGGTCAAGGTCATTATATACACCAATATTTAGGCGATTCCGACAAACTTCGCCACAGACATCAATTCAAAATACATTTTTGCTAATTTTCAACCTGTCGCTAGAGGGCGCTCGAAGATTGCATGACGTCATCGGTAGATGATTTGAAGAATACTATCAGCCAAGAGACTAACACCGTTAAAAGCAAGTTCATATCTATTACCACTTTTAAATAATAAGCCACTTCCGGTTTGGGCCTTTTTCGACCGGAAGCAAGGGTCACGTGATTGCACGCACATTAGATGAAATAAAGACCTCAACCTACTCTACCACTTGCCGGCAACAGAATGCTGCGGACGCGTACGGTTGATTTCTTATGCATTTTTAAATATTAAAAGTGTCACAATTTAATTGCCTATAAATAAACACATGATGACGTCATCATGACGTCATCATTCCACAATGTTGTTTGAATTAGGGTCTTTGCTTGGACAAAGAGTGGTGTAAATGAATAACTGGCAAAGAGTCGAAAATGCCCTTTGAAAAGCGACAATTTTTTTTAAATTTCTGTGTACAAAGTCTATGGGAAAAATTAATTATTCAAAAATCCATAATAAATCACTTGATGACGTCACCATGACGTCACTCTTCGGGGCACATCTATGCTATAAGGACTAAGCCTATGCTGACTTTGAACGATGTATGACAAAGATGAATGGCAAAAGTGTGGGGCAGAAGAAACGTGTACAATGTCTATGGGATTTGCCGGGGAATAAAAAGAAGAAGAAGCAAGAAAAAAAATGAGAACAAAAAGAAAGGCTTTTCCGCAACTATGCGGAAAAGCCAAAAAAAAAAAAAAAAAAAAGAAAAAAGAAAAAAAAAAATCTTAACGAAAACAAGAGCTGTTTCGGTGTGTAACCGAAACAGCTAATTACGTCAGTTACTTTTTGGATAGCTGCAAATGATGAAATGTACCTTTAATGTAATGTGTCCAGTTGATAGACCCACATGTAATTGATCATGTACAAAATGTAGGTTCGTAAATACATAATTGTAGGCCAATTGTATTGTATTAAAATTCTATTATGGCGTACATGTACAGCACATGCACATGTATGTGTTTTGAAGGTTTTAAAGGGTAGCGTTTTGTTATAAATAAAGAGAAAATGATAATTAATTCCGACTAACTACCCCTTTTTCAAAGTAATAGAATGGCAAAGCATGATCAACATTGGTTACTTTAATTCCCGTTAATTGTAAAGTATGGGAGATACCATAAATTGCTTGTACATTGCATTAAGTTTACTTTGGAAAAACAACTCTTGCATGTTGGGTACATGTATGTAACTTTGTAACAGCAAAAGCAGAAATTGATTGTATTGTTCTCTGAGGTAAACAATGAATTATGCATGCATCACATTTATGATAAAGACAAGATAAAGATGAGGACTACATGTACAACATTCTTTGGATTGCTTTATTTTCAGCTTAATTTAAAGATATTTAGATACAGTATGTGTGAAATCTATTAAGTTTAGATTTACAACTTATCTTTCTTATATAGATTTTATAGCAATTTCGCATTTTAATAGCATATAACATTGTACCATAAAACAAGAAAGAAATGAAGGCCGTCCTAATAGAGAAATTCAGAACAGTTTTAAATTTTCTCTTTTCTTTGGAAAAATTTTACTTGAGGAAAAAAAAAAGCAAAGGTAAGGCCAAAAAAAAAAAATACTCGGTCTCTGGTCAGCGCGCGCGTCGATTTTAATCATGCGTGCAACCTTTTTTTTCCCTTCAAATTAACACGGAAGCTACAACAGTGCCCTCTATTGCCATGCCTCCTCAAATTTTTGTACCAAGGAGCACCAAGGAATGGGGAAATTGCACCGAGGCAAATGATAAAGGGCACCAAGGCAAATTATGGAGGACACCAATGTATAATGAGGACACAAAAAAGCAAAACAGTACCCACCTTGTCTGTACAATACAAGCTTGAAAAAAAAAAAAGCCACGAAAAAAAAAAAACCGCGTCACCGCATCAATTCCGGAACTTCGATCTGACCAGAGACCGACAATTCTTTTTTTTTTTGGCCTAACTTTTAAAGGGAATATACAACATTTGCAAACATCGAAAAATAAAACTACCAAGTTTTTGCGAAATACCTTAATAGGATGTTGGTAAATGACAGTCTAAAGCATCCTGTAAAATTATGGCACCTGGTATACTGTCATTTTCAAGAAAAGTGGTATTTTTGTATCAATTTCCAACGCTGATCGGCCGATCAGCGTTGGAAACAACTGGCTTTTTTTTCAAATACTGGCCCCAATTGACCATCGCACTTGTTTACAATCGATTACAAACCTATGAACGGGTACGAGCCAGCTAGACTGGTTCCCTAACCTTACAATTCCCCAATGTATGTAAACTGCTCTGTTTCTTCTTATATGGAGTCAGGGAACCAGACTACAGGAAAATGATCGTTTTTCTTGGTTTTTATAGCATTTTCGAACCCAAAACCTCCAAAAAGTCAGTGTAACTATATTTGCTTTATATTTCCAACCCCCCAATTCCAACCATTTCTGAAAATTACAGCAAAAGCAAATGATGTATATTCCCTTTCAATATTATCTACAATGCAGAAATATAACAACTTGTTAATATCAACTTGCTTTGGATAGATGCTTTCATAACATTCCTAAGACAGTTAACCTGTTCCTATTAGTTGAGAGCATCATGTGGGTGGTTTGAACTGCTGTTTTAACCCTCTCAGCTTTTTTACACGCTGATGTCAATAACTGATGGCGAGACCGTGCTACATGCCACATGCAGGCAGAACATGCCAGCCTCAACTCAGCGCACAGCATAGAAATGGCCCAAAGATGGAAAACAGCTAAACAAAATCATTGAAAATTTGTCAACCTTTTGACTTTTTATGGTTTTTGGCCAAAAGGTATCGAGCAGTTACGTACATGTATATTTAAACGTGATGTTTAAAACCACTCATTTATAACTGCTCCATCACACTATGGAGTACCGAAGTGAATACATCACGCACACAAAATGCGTGTGAAAGACATTAGCGCGCGTGATTCAGCCCGTGAATCAAAACGTGCGTACTCCATTCGTTTGCGCTACACTGTCTGGTTCCAAATGATGTCACACTTCGGTACTCACTATCCTCGTATTAAATAACATACTTTTGCATCTGCATACACTAAATACAGGAGTTAAGTTTGCAAATAATTCTTTAAGCAAAGAAACCAAAGCCCATTACCAAAAATATCTTCTTCTTTTTTCATGACACCAGCAAAGGCATTAATTACTCGTGTTTCAGCAAGAAGAGTACATTCTTACACACTTTACGTTTCAGATTTAGATAAAGCACATGTAAGAAAGCCTGTTTTACAATTTGATTGCTTTTAAGCATTCCCTTGCAATACAATAGTAGAACACTCTTTTTAAGTGTGGTGATCATAATGGAAAATCACATCCTCTGTTATCTCCAAATGGCAAACCATAATATAATGTTCATGGTACAAATGCAACTCGAGAGGATTTGTTTCTACAATATTACTATAATTTTTATTTTTTATTGAAGCTCCCAATATATTATTATAACTTGTGTCTAGCTGCCATTCTTTCAAATAAGGGACAACAAAAAAGCAATAATTCCAGTGGGAAATCAACCAATTTGTTATCAAACTTCTTGCCGAAAAATCAGTAAAACTTGTAAACAGCTACATGTATTTTGATATCAAACATTGTGGAAAACCACAAATGTCCAAATGAAAGAATGAAAGCCATGAAGCAACTTCATTTAAAATCTATACATCAGAAGTTTTCTTTTAGCCTGCTCACAGAAGCTACATATATGAAACAGCAGCTCCATCTTGTTGCCACTTTTGTTTATGGCATTATACCTTGTGTCTGCCGTGTCATTTTGTACTGCCCCTCAGTAGCCACTTTCACACCCATGTTTATTTCCCTTCCCTGCGCCAATTTACAAACTAACTCTTAAAGACAAGATTTGATGTCTTTAAGGTCTCATTTGAAACGTGGGCCAGCTGTGGAAAAGAGCAGTTGTTTCTTCTTTCCTTTCTTGCCTCGCTTGGAAGAGCCAGGAGATGAAGTCACATCATCATCTGCAGCAAACACACAAGCAAGAGAGGCATGTCACGTAAGCAGAGACAGAGAGGCATAGGAATAATACTGGTAGAGCACACAGCAGACTAAAATGGCCCAAGTGCCAGTCTAGAGATAAGGACTTCGACTGACCAAAAGAAGATGTATCGTGACCTTATTGATGTACTGTCTGCGCTAATGCTATTGTCTTAGTTTCACCATAGAGCAAGGACCCAAGGAGTCAGAACTCTTGGGCGATTTACATTTTGACCATTAACATACCAATCCCTCGGGAATGTCTCTAGCTACAGCACTGTGACCGCAAGCCTCGACCATTCAAAGCGTGAATGCCAGCGGCCTTTGAACACGATGATCGTCACCGCCTTTTTAGTTGGTAACAACAACCTCCCTATATGCTGCATAATAAGTCATGTCACGTCGCTGCTCTTTTTTGAAAAATATATTTTACGACAAGATAGGTTTTTACAACTGCGCAGTTGTTAGATGTGAGTTATGAACTCAAGTTAGCAATGTGCAGTTGTTGGTGCTTAAAAGCGTTATCTGTCCCTGTAATTTGGAGATAAATTGGATTTCTTTCACATAAGTTTTCATGTATTTTCAGACATTTTAATTGGCAATATATCATTGATGAAATGTGTTTTTTTGGAAAATTTCACAAGTTTTCACACTAAAGGTACAGAGCATTTTGTTCTTCATGAAATGATTGTTTCAGTGATGTTGACCACATTGTTAGCCAGTATTAGCCAACTCCGAACAAACACTTCAAAATCATTCATTTTTAGCGATGTATGACAACTGCGCATGCGTATTTACCATGGTACTGTCTACGAAGCCAGGCAAACTCCTTTTTTTGGCATTAGTGAGCGCGGATCTCTATTGTGTCGAGATTAGCGTGGTGAGCAACTGAGCAAGCTGGCGCCAGGTGCTTTCTATTGTAGCTTTCGAGCGCGGCGACCATCATTTTACTTTTGAAGTCTTGGAGTACGAACTCCTTGGGTCCTTGCTCTATGGTTTCACCCTGAAAGTCCAGTTTCTTTTGCAACTGCTATTTTTTCTAGCAAAGTTATTTACTTTTGTACGAGACTTCCAATGAAAAAAATCCATCCATGTTTAGATATGGAAAAATGTATTCGTTAATTTGAATTTATTTGATGCTTGTTGACAATTCAGGAGCATCTCTTGGCCATTAAGGCACAGAAGCAAAAAGAACAAATTGAAGGAAAAAACCTTGTGTAGTCATAAAAGGTTTGTTTGAAGACCTGTAAATCAAAAAGTTGACAAGAAAGTTGACTTCTGACAGCAGAAATCATGCAAATCCATGCCATTTTGAGACATAGTCCTTAAAAAAAGCAAAACAAAAGCCACCTTCAATCGACAACGGAAAATGTGAAATAGGGGATGGGACAATGTATTTCAAATGGGTCAAATCTCGCAGACTAAAATTTTACATATATACACAGAGGTATTTGTTTTTAAACCTTCATCCAAAACTGAGACGATGACCTGACTTCTCAAAAAGTTAGGACAGTTGGCATGGAATGGCCAAATTGCCACGGGAAGGAAGCAGGAATAAAGACTTTGCATTTGAGATTTTCATGGATTCAAACATTAGATCCTCTTACTAATGAGCGCAACATAACACGGCACCAGTTTGCAGAAGCCTTTTATATGTTTTTAGCTATATTTCAGCGATGAAACTTTTCCGATTTTAATTGGAAGTCTGATTTTCAAAATCAAATTTCAACGAATGTGATGAAAATGGCACAACATCTGTATTGCAAGCGCAATTTTAATCTGTTCTACTAGTGGTCAGTGCACAGACTGTATGATAGATGCACGTAAGTTAGCCCGGATTGGAGTAGTTTACAGCTGGAAATAAGTTCGACTGCAATCCTATCCACAGGTTGACCGATTTTTTTCGGAGGTTTCAGATTTAGTTGTACAAAATGCAATGCATTAAAAATCACGAGGATCTTGAGGATGGCGAAGAGAGCATAAGTGATACATTTCAATAGTGTCCGATTTTCCCCCTTGTACGTTAGTAGTGGAGTTGTGTGGTTGAATGGACATGATTGTATGTTATGAATGGTGCACTTGTCTTTCGGACTTTTTCATCAACTTTCTAAAGTAAGAAGAAAACTTCTTTGTTTTTGAAGGAAACACTGAAAATTTTTCTCAACGTAAAATTTCGTGTGGATCTAAAATAAAACAGGAGGGAGGTGGTGTCCAGAAATTTGGCATGAAGTGCATTGTACATACGTACATGTGTAACTGCAGCTCGGCCCAGATTCCGGACACACAGTTTTGTTCGGCCTAGTTTCCGAGTTTTTTCCAATAGGCCAGTTTCATTTCTGATATTTTTAGCTAAAATGTTTATACTTTTTTTTAAATCATTTTTTTCCAATTGTTCACCTTGAAGATTTGGAATCATGTCATATGAGCATGGGTGGGCAGATTGTTCACATACTGACCTGTCTTATGACTAGCTGCCTGTATGGCAGCCTTGTCCAATGCAGCTTGTATAGCATCACTGAATGCATCTTTGTATTGAGGAATTGGGACATAGTCTTCATTAGAGCTGTCGTCACTACCATCGGGGCCTGTATTAAAGAACAAAGTTCATTTGGTTTCATCAAATAACCTACAATTGGGGAATGTCTAGGAGCGCTTTTACTCAATATTAGATAGAACTAAGAAATTGACTGACACAAGATTGAAACTTGCAATCTCCTGAAACACTATACAGGCATGCAACTGGGAAATCACAAAAAAAGAGGAAATTCAAATTTTTCCCAGACTTTGTACAGTGTTTTTCTATTTTCAATGGCACACATGGGAAGTACAAAAAGAGGAAATCAGCTGATCCGAGGAAAAGTTGCATGCCTGACTATACCTATTGTAGGAGACCACCACCATTGGGCTGGGCGTGGTATAGTGTTCCAAATGTTGCAGATTCGAATCAAACTCCAGCCACTCTTCCGTAAAGTATAAAGCGATCAAAAACATGTTTGTTGTTGCCATTTTTCAACCATTTGCATTTAAAAAAGTGGCCTCAGTAACAGTTGAAAATCGTTGGAGCTCAAGATAACATTCTATGTTTTACATTCTGAAGCTCACTGTAAGTTTTCCCCTCGTGGCATGAAACAGCATTTTACTTCTAGTTGTAAGAGAGAGGCAGGTGGGGTGAAGTAACTCGCCCAAGGACACGGCACACCGTTAGCAGCTGGATTCAAATCCCTGACCTTCTAATTACTCTTCACCAAACACTATACCATACTTCCAGCAGCACAATAAAGGAACGTCTCAAAAGTTGGAATGCTTGGAACGTTCCAACATGGAACATCACCTGTTCCAATAAGCCAGTTCGGTATTTCAACTGCGCATGTGCACAATGATATGGGTTACAGGTCATTCGGGATAATTGAATGTTTGAAAGGCGCATTACCGCTTGCCAGCAGAATGGGCGTGCGCGTAACATTGTGTAACATTACGTAACATCACATCAGTGATGTTATCCCGAATGACCTCGAGTCATTGAAATACCGAACTGGATCATTGGGAACACGCCTTGTTTCCACTGGGAACACGCCTTGTTTCCACTGGGAACACGCCTTGTTTCCACTGGGAACACGCCTTGTTTCCACTGGGAACACGCCTTGTTTCCACTGGGAACACGCCTTGTTTCCACTGGGAACACGCCTTGTTTCCACTGGGAACACGCCTTGTTCCACTGGGAACACGCCTTGTTTCCACTGGGAACACGCCTTGTTTCCACTGGGAACACGCCTTGTTTCCACTGGGAACACGCCTTGTTTCCACTGGGAACACGCCTTGTTTCCACTGGGAACACGCCTTGTTTCCACTGGGAACACGCCTTGTTTCCACTGGGAACACGCCTTGTTTCCACTGGGAACACGCCTTGTTTCCACTGGGAACACGCCTTGTTTCCACTGGGAACAGCCCAACGCAATGTGTTTTCGCCAGGGAAGGTTGCGCTATGCGCGTGCATGTTTACTCCGGAATAGCCTGTTCCAGTTTGGAACATGCTGGGAATGCACAGTGTTCCTTAACCCTAACCTAACCTTACAGAGTGTTTTGGCTAGAAACCCTGCGAAACGCAGCAACATGCAACACTTGTCTAAAGTGACAAGCCTGCCCAGTGCAGCAAGATCCATCAGGCCCAAAGTCTCGAGGCCAAACTTTCTCAGAGTCCGTGGTCCCCCAACGCAGCAGGATACAACTGAGGCATTGTTCAATGGGACTAGCTCTCATTGTCTCAGAAGTGGCTGTTTATGCACTGGTGTTGATAGGTGAATGCATCAAAGTGCTCCAGACTTTTCCACCTGATGCACTGTGTTGCGTCTGGCAGGGTCAGGGTTAAAGGAACGTTTCATACGGAACAGGAACGTTCTGACTTTTGTGATGTTCCATAAGAATGGATTAAAGTGCTCTACCTGGGCCTGATGCTTTTCTGATCTCTCCTGGTGGCTTGTCAGTCAGGCTTCTGGCTCCCCCTGCCTTTTCCATCTTAGGCCAGTTACTAGTCTCTGCTCGAGTTTTACCTTCACGCAACATCTGTGAAAATAAATCAGACTCCTATAACACTGAACACGAATGTTTTACATAACAGATTGATAAACCAGAATCTTGCTATGCTTAGCCAGAGTCCTTCAGTACTGCTTTTGCATTTGGATCTGGGAATGAAATCTAGCTGATCAAAATTTAAACCTCAGAATTGAGGTATTTATAGCATCGGCATTACCAAGATAACCAGCATAATTTGTTGAATAACTGGCAAACTTTCTCAAATTGGCTGATAGCTGTAACCGTCGTCACATTAAGGTAACCAAACCACAAAGTTTAGACCAAGGAATGAGCATACAATCTTTAATAGGTGGTCGAGGCTGATGATGCTACTCATTCTTCTTGGCAGTTACTGCTTAATTCTAACCCTCCTGGATCCTTCAAATTCCCCCAAGAAGCTATGGGAGATTTTGAAGGATGAAAGAAGAAAAGTCTCAGCGACAATTACTTCACATGGGGCTGATGCCCCTTGAAAGTGAAAGTGGAGGTTTTGGGTAGATTAACCCTAACTCCCTAGCATAATTTACTAGGAACCATACCTATCCAGGCAAATTCCAACACCCACATGGGAAATCATACACACACACTGTTGGACTTAGTTTCTGGACGTACGCCAAACACAATGTAAAAGACCATCTGTTTAGGGGTACTGTACCATTCTAACAGATTTTAACAACACCTGCCATTGGACTTTGATCATGTTGATGGGTTGAGTTCGGTTAGGGTTAAGGAAGGTTCCAAGAAATGTCTATAGGAGTTAGGGTTTTTCTTTCTTACAGACAAATCTTTCCATTTTGGGGCTTGAAATCTCCTCGACTGTGAGATCTGTACCTGTGCAAACGATGGACAGGAGGCTGTGTGCTCCTCTGCACTGGCAGCTGATGCCCAGCTTCCAATGACAGGCGATGGACCACCTGTACTATCTGAGCCAAGTCCACAATGCCCAGATGCTGAAAAGAAGCCATAGAAACGTGATGTTAATATCCATGACTACTGCAAGTAGAGGGTTTGTGGTTAATACAGTGGAGTCCAAATGCAAACATCTGTAACCTGACCAATTCAGGTTCTCTTGTTAGACTTGTAAGATCATGTCAGCTTTAATTCCTGTGGCACATTCTTCATTTGCCTGGTGCTGGACGGTACTGCCTCGCATCCTGATGGTTTGCTGCAGCCAGATCAAATTACATCTTTGGCTCAAGATTGCAGCAGTTTCAGCAGTTTCAGCAAGCTTGTGGTTACCTGCTGTGCAGTCAACAGATGATGGTATACAAATAATGAATGTTTGTGAGTGCAATGGTAAGAATAATTTCATGAGGTGACAGATGAAATGTTCCATTCCACGAGGCGAAGCCGAGTGGAATGGAACAATTCATCTGTCACCGAATGAAATTATTCTTTCATTGCACGAACGTGAAACAATCATTATTTGTTTTATATAACAACTGAATAAATCCTTGTCATCTGATTGGTTGACTTTTAATAGCCAATTTATTCAGGTTGAAAACTGTTTAAAAGTTCGACAAGTTCATCAAGTTTATATAAATGCAAACTGTTCAACAGGTTGAGAACAATCATATTCAATTTATCTCGATTTAAAACAGCGCCACCACCAGCAGCAGTGACACCATGCAATTGAAGTTCTATTCACCGTGCAATAGAACTTCCATTGCACTGTGCGCTGCGCGCCACGTGCGCGTTGGTACGAATAATTCAATGACATGTGATCAACGATCCACTAATCAGATGACGGGGATTTATTCAGGTGTTGTATAATGGAAAATAAGCCAGTTTGGTATTCCAAAATAGTCTGGTGCACAACATGATGCAAAGATTTTTATTTCGGGATAAATGCAGCAGAAAAATGCACACAAGGCTTTGGGGGTCGTGGTTACCGAATCTGCACTCTATGTAATTTTTCGTGCAATCCAAAAGAGATGGAAACATTCGTTCGCTCAAAAGTTTGGACACACAAGACACTTAAAAACACTTTGCTGTCCAAATATTGTTCGCAAATTGTTACTTCAGAACACGACAAGAAAAATCGTCAAATCTTGATGTGCACATGCACAGTTGAAATACCGAACTGGATTATTGGATTATTTATACCTTGGGCCAGACTTCCATATGCAGTCTCCTCCTGGCTAAGACTTGTGGGTGAACCAACTGACGAAGATGCTGGCGAGTCTAGTGAGGTTACACTGGATGATGTCTCAGAGATGACGTAAGAAACATCCCCTGGTACAGAGTCTACACCAAAGGAGGGGAACTGGATGCTGCTTTGCAAGGAGAACTTTGGAGGAACATCTGTGGGGATGAGAAAGGTCAATTCAATTCAATATTTTATTTCATCGCAATGAAAAAACTTTAAAAGTGAAATTCATCTTCCCAATGTCCACATACAAAAGAGTATACATGTATTGAAACACATGAAGAATTTACATTAAAGTGACAAGACAATTTTTAAAAAAAAACCAAAGATTAAAACAAAATAATACCCTACTTTGGGAATGTGAAGTGTAAAAAAAGAAAAACAAACAAAATAGGTAAGAATCTATAAAAAAAAACTTTCTGAAGCCCGGTTCATACTCGGCGCGAAAGCGAAAGCGAATTTGTGACGTCATGGCAAGTATTCGCGCTGCAAATTCGTACAAGTTGAACATATTTCAACTCGGGCGAAGTTCGCTGCGAACAAGCCATGATGTCAAATTCGCTTCGCATTCGCATTCGCGTGAAGTATGAACCGGGCTTTATTGAAAAAAAAAACCAACAACTCAAATCTGCAAACCAATATGCTAAGTTTTATTTTTAAAAAGAACTCATCTAATTTATAAAAACATTGCAAACAGTATTTATCTGATAAAATTACAATTGTAGAGATGAATAGCACTAGGTAGACAAGGAAATGTGAACCAGTTTGTGTGAGTGGGGAGTGCATGAAATCTTCCTTTTGCCCTTCAACGTCGGTGAAGGGCAAAACCTAATTTGAAATCTTCCTGATCGGAGTATGTGTACAGATGAAAATGGAGAGGCAGTTTCGTTCTCCGGTTTTTACTTCCAAACCAATTATCTGTCTTGCATTTTTTGTGATCCGTTCAATTTTCTTCCGGTTATTTACAGTTAAGTTATTGTACCATACTATGCAACTAAAAGAAATGATTGACTGAACAACACTCTGGTAGAATAGATGCAATATTGAATCACGGACATTGAAAGAATTTAACCTCTTGAGAAAATAGAGCCTCAGGTTGGCCATGGCACATATTCTCTGCTAATTTTTGTTCCAATTTATTATCAAGGACTGTCCCAAGATACTTGTACTCGGTGACATTTTCCACTTGTTCATTTCTTATACCAACAGGCCCAGCATTAGCATTCAGCGTTATTGAGACTAGTGCAGTGCCCGTTCAAAACGTCCCCGTTTGGAACTGGGAAATTGCTTGGCGTTTGGTAGACCTACAAACGTGGCAGCAAAGAGTGCAGAGACCAAATAACAGTGCGACGTATCTATACCTCACCGATGTGTGATCGTGCCCTTCAAAAATTGGTGGAGGCCCAACTCACCATTAGGCGATATTCCCCTTGCAAGAAATGATTGAGCCCATACAGCCAACCACCATTTGCATGTGTTAACCCGGCCGTACCCGTGGCGCAGTATAGAGTGCAGCGCCCGTTCAAAATGTGCAGCAGTGCGTGGCGCTGTCTGTCTAGGTCTCGTTCAAATGACGTCATTTCCTACAGGCCGTCCAAGCGCATCAGCATTTTGAGCATCAACTTGCATAACTCACATCGGCTGCTTCGTATTTTGAACACATTTCGAGCAACAAGTGCGCGTGTTTGGAACATTTTCAACACTGCGCAATGCGCGCTTGTGTAAAATACGCAGTTGCAGTTCTCCTACAGAGATGGCCGTCAGTGAGCGAGCCCTACACGTTTGTATGGTCTGGGCCTCTGGTATTTTGAGAACCGTTCATCCAAACAATTTCAAACTTAACACTGCACATTCTGGGGTCCTGAGCAATACAGCTGATGGTTTTCAACAAAGGTTCTAGAGACATTCGAAATACAGACAGACACACAGAGATTCCTGGAATTATAGTTGAAAATGTCTTCAGATTCAAACCTGTAATTTTAAACTGCTGATGCACATGTTTTCGTTGGTTTTGGTTCTGTTTTGTTCAACAGGAGTATCCTGGCCTGGACACAGACAACGCCACAATATCCTACCACAGAAAAGCTTCTGGATTTCAAATCAGGCGCTTTCGTAAAGTTACTCACATTTGCCGTTTCTCTTGTTCTCCTTGAGTTGCATCTTGCGCTCTTGTTTCTTCTCATTGCGGACTTTCCTCTCCCGTGCTTTTTTCCTTTGCTGGAAATCTCCTGTTGAGCAAAGATAAACATCTTCTTTAGCCGCATGATAATGAGTCTTACCATAATGCTGGTTTGATTTATGTCACATCTAATAACGGCTCTAGTTTGCCCTTTTTTTAAACATTAGAATATCGGTAAAATTCTTCAACACTTAATGCATTAAAAAACTTTAAGATTGGATAACATGTATTCTTTTTTTATTGACTGGTACTAAGTATATGTTTCGTATTTGGAATACAAACCAAAAACTCTCTGAAGAATTATGATGTCAATATGGTGTTACTTTTTCTTGTCTTTAGTAATCAGAATCACTTTTGTAACTGATCTTGCAAAGGTGTACATCAAAGATGCTTTAAAGGTCTTTATTAAACCCTAACCTTCCCAAATCCTCCCAAATCCTCTTTGCAAAATGGATGATTTTGAAGGATTGAGGTTATATGGCAAAAATGTGTGGCTGATTTTGGAGGATGCACTGTGTCAAGGTCTTGGGCCGGACCTTGTGTTGTTTATGCTCAGCTGTGCATAAATGTAGGCCTATATTATACTTGAAATCGTACGCACTGCTCCAGGATGTCACTGGCTCTGCCTCAAGATACAGACAGTGATTACCAGAGGATTTTGCAGGATTGGGGCAGTGGTCACCCCTCCAAGGACCACATTCAAGAAATAACAGGAGGATTTTGGAGGATTGAGGCTGCATGCAATTTTTACATGGAGGCAGTTGGAAGATTTTGCAGGATTGAGGCTGCAGCCAAACAAAAATGCGTAGGGAGTTAGGGTTAATGACGTTGCTTTATTTACATACCTGCAAAGTATTGCAGGGTTGCCTTGGAAACCAACGGTGGTTTGAATTCCAGCTCACAAATTCCAAAGTCACAGGTCAGTGGAAGGTGGAAAAGATAACGCAGACGGCGACGGAGTGCCTGGGGACAAACATATATCGGAAATGATTAACAACCTTGCAATAAACCATCTCTACATGCGTAAGACTTGAAACTTTGCATGGTGGTGGTAATGGTGTGAACTACTGAAGGTTTGCGGTAAACCATGTACATGTAGAAATCTCTTTTGGGAAGATGTGTGGTTCTGGAAAGAACCGGTGGGTTGTAAAACTTGACATTCCGATCATTATGCTCTGATCGTCTTCAGGAGATCTGAAGACAAATCAGAGAATACTAATTCTGTAAATAACTACATTTATTGTGTGTCATTTTAGAAGGCCATTTTTCCAGAAAAAAAAAAATCTTTTACTTCTTTTTAAAGTTTAAGCTGATTTTTAACAGTTTATTTTAGTTTAAATGTATTTTTAATTGACAACCTGTTTGGAAAGCAGTCTGACTAAACCGGACTGCCCTAAAATAGATGACACTAAATAGTCGTGTGCCTGGCAGAAGGGCATATGCATGTACACCCTTATGCAATAGCACGTAATGACCAAAATTTTCCCAGCAAAAGGGCATATGCAGAAAACACCATCTACTTTGATGAAATTTAATCATTTTGTGTCAGAAATTAACGCAAGTTGTTCCCAAACTCATGATTCATACGTGTGACAAATTCGTACGATTTATAATACGCGCCGGGGAACATTACACTTTTCAATGCAATTTTCTTCAAAATGATTTTTGCGTCAGAACAATCATATGCCCTTCTGCCGGGCACCCCGTGAAATCAAATAAATGAAAGGCGTAAACATTCTCCAAATGTGTGGAATATACAATTGAAGGATTTACTTTTCTAAAATGTAATTTAGATTGTTGGAAACAAACGCTAATGAGTGCATAGAAAGGGAGTCAGAACACTGAAATCTGAATAATGTGTGTAAAAGTTTTAAATTTCAAGCACCTCATTCATTGACATGTGTTCCACCTCTACAATCTTAGCTGTGATTCTCTCTGGGCACTGAGCAAAGCTTCCATGCTCGCGGATCAAGCAGCGAACATTCAGTGAGTGTAGATACAGATGCTGGCCATCTTCAGCTGATGGGGAGAAGAAAAAAAACAATATGTGCAACAATATCCAACTGAATTCAAATAAGAACCCTGCTAAAAGCAACAAACTACAACAGTGGATTCTGTTGCATTGTGCAGTGAACCCAGTGCATACCAGCCTTGGCACCACGCAGTAACCCTGCTAAATGCAACAAACTGCAACAGTGGATTATGTTGCATTGTGCAGTGAACCCAGTGCCTACCAGCCTTGGCATTACGCAGTAACTCTGCTAAATGCAACAAACTGCAACAGTGGATTATGTTGCATTGTGCAGTTAACCCAGCGCATACCAGCCTTGGCATCACGCAGTAACCCTGCTAAATGCAACAAATTGCAACAGTGGATTATGTTGCATTGTGCAGTGAACCCAGTGCATGCCAGCCTTGGCACCAAGCAGTTACCCTGCTAAATGCAACCAAATGTAACAGTGGATACTCTTGTATCGCCTTGGCACTATGAGCAGTTACAAATGAAATAATAACCCTGCTAAATGCAACAAATTGCAACAGTGGATTCTGTGGCATTGTGCAGTGAACCCAGTGCATACCGGCCTTGGCACCACGCAGTAACCCTGCTAAATGCAACAAATTGCAACAGTGGATTATGTTGCATTGTGCAGTGAACCCAGTGCATACCAGCCTTGGCACCACGCAGTAACCCTGCTAAATGCAACAAATTGCAACAGTGAATACTCTTGTACCGCCTTGGCACTATAAGCAATTACCCTGCTAAATGCAACAAGATGCAAGTTGCAACAAAGCATGGGGACTTAAGTTGCCAGCTAAATACATGAGTATGCAACAACTTTGTACCTTTGTTGCTTTCTGTTGCATTTTAATTTAGCAGGGTTAGGGTTACCACAATCCTCCAGGGCATTTTGTCTATGAAACCCTGCCCAACAGAACAACATCCAACAGTTGTCAAGCTAGAAGTGTAACAGGATCCAACACATCAAAAACCCAAAGGCCAAACTACCTTAGAGTCTGTGGTTGGCAACAGTAACAGGATACAACAGTAGCAATTGTCCAACTGGACTAGCTCCTAATGTGTCACAATTGTCAGTTAAACTGACAACTGAACTGAATTATTGTTAATAACTATGAGTGGATTTTTTTCTTTCGATGGATCATTTCGTTTCATTTATATTTCTAGAAAAATTACAATTGATTTTCATCTGCAATTTCATCAGTTTTTAAGTCGGCAATTTCATCTGCAATTTCATCAGTTTTTAAGTCAGCTGATTGTCTGCTAGTTCATTGCTCCCACTCATGTGTGAAAACATGTTGAAAATAGCATAGGTACCAACGATACAAGCGTTTTACACCGTACGTACCGTACGTACAAAGTCATAGCACACTCCCTGTGGGATATCACGTATGTGATATCCCACAGGGAGTGTGCCATGACTTTTTATAAACTTAACGTGTGATCATTCTAGGCCAATGAAAATACAGTATTCAAGACAGAGGTATAACAATGATGTTTACGCACAGCAACTTCAACCAAACAGAAACAATAACCCATATATTATTGTCAGGGAATACTGACAGGTACAAACCTTGATAGAAGTAGTAGACATGATCCTTGCCGTTAGCACTGCCTCCTGTTGCTCTGGCTTGATCCTCTGGGCTAGATGAGGCAGAGGTGTAATGCTCCTCACCAACCTTCTCAGTGTCCTCCTCAGAACCTCCTTCAGTCACGCCCATCTCCTCAGCGATCAGGCCTGGTGACTGATGCCTTGCCACGGCTTCACCAGCTGCATTGATGGCCTCATCCTTCCCAGAATCCTGTTTGGGAGCAGGGGACACTGCGATGTCCTCAAACGGCTCCTCAACCGTGAATCCTTGACTTTGACGATTCGGATCATGATCTTCTGCCAGATCCAACTCTTCATCAGAGAAGGCAGAGGAATAATGCTTGTAATTCTGGAAAGATCAATTATGAAACAATTTAGCCAGTGCTGTTCAATATTACTCTGGAAAATTCACACATACATAAATATAGATCCAGTTATAGTGGCCACTTCACACTTAAAGGTACAGTCCATCATTTGTAATTTGTGCATTTTGTTTGTTTGAAGCAAAAAAGTGCTCAAAATCTAAAGAAGGGTGCTGAACAACTAACCTGATGAAGTTTCAGCTGCATATTTCAAGAAAAACAACATTCTAGAATCACAATTTAAAATCAAAAGTTGCTGAATCATGTTTTGAATTGGGCCTGACTTCAGCATCCGAGACACATTCTCACTAGCCGATTGTCGCTTCATGATGTCGCGCACTGATCTGATGAAATATAGAGGGCGCGCGCGTGTGTGCGTCATGTCAATGCTTGCGCGCGCTTCGCCCGATAAAAAAAACGAACTACTAACGGAAATTTCCAACAATGTGTCTTGGCCTTCTTTTGTTGATTTCTTCAAAATGACAGCATACCAGAAAGGACAATTTCACAGGGAGTTTAGTTCCCTTACTATCTTTCAACCAAGTATGTTTTTCAACAATAATTACATAGTTACTTTTTGGATAGCTGCAAATGATGGACTGTAGCTTTAACACCAATATTTATTGCAAAATGAATGTGTTGTCAAACATCACGACTAAAGTTCAATTGTTGATGTCAAGAGATTGGCTTTTGCTTTGCTTTCACTTGAATATGAACTGGTTATCCTTTGAGACTGCGTACCTTACAAGATGGCGACATCATAGGTACTGGCTCATCAACATCCTGCCTTTCAGTATCGTCTTTCAGATTCAGACCTTACAAACGAAGCAGTTACCAATGTTAACAAAGTGTGTCTGTTAATTAATGAATACAAAAGCATGTTCTCTCTGACAGTCTTCCCGGCCCAATTTCTTGGCTCTGCTAACCACAGAATTCTGCGCTTACGGCAACAAATTTTGTGCTAAGCAGAAAAATTCTGTGCTGACCTGTAAGCGCAGAATCCTTAGTTACGGGATCTACGCATGCACAGAAGCAAAAATTCCTTGCTAACGCGTGAAATACGCTTACCGTAAGCACTGAATTCTCTGATATAGAAAGCAGGGATTTTTCGGTAACGGTAAGCAGAGCCAAGAAATTGGGCCCTGCAGCTGTACACAAGGCCAAACTTGTTACAAAAAATCACATGATGTGGTCATATGAAACAGACGTTTACAGGCAAAAAGGCAAATCGATCTTTTAATTTTTTATTTCTTAATTCATTGTTATGTTTTGTAACGCAACCTGTTTCCCGCATCTATGGTCAACATGACAAATACCGCTAGTCAGCAATCACATCTCATGAAAAAAAGAACAGCTAATCGATTGGATATCAATCAGCCAGTTCAGTATCTCGATAAAGTAGTCCATGTCAAAGGTCATTCTGGAACAAATTGTTGACGTGATGACGCCCAATGCTACGCAGACGCCCATACTGTTGTTATTAACACGCAAGCGTCATGCGCCCAACTTTGTGCGCATTCATGCGCCTCCAATGAGCATTCGATTATCCTGAATGGCCCGTGAAATACCGAACTGACTTATTGACATCTACAGCCTGTCTCCAAAAAAATGGTACAATCGATATTAAATCTCAACATTAGTAAGTCGTTTTGAGCATCACAGTAAAGAAAAAAGACCAGGCTTTCCAATACTTTTTGTTTCATCTCATTTGTTTTTGTCAATCCAGAGATAACTCCAGTTTACTGCGGAACACAAAAATCGAGTATGTTTCTTTTGCCAACTTGCAATCTTTTGTGAGCTTCAAGACAGCATGGCACAGTACTCGAAACAACTCTGCCCATGCATAAAAGTGGCACAAAATCGATTTTGGTGTATCGCACTAAATTGATTATATCTCTGAATTGACAAAAGCAAATAAGATCAAACAAACACTATTGGAAAGCCCAGGCTTTGTTCTTTAATATTATGCCAAGTAAGAATGACTTATTTTGAAATTTCATATTTAACCAATTTTTTTTCTGATTGTACCATTTTTTTTTAGACAGGCTGTAGTTACCGTATAAATTTCAGAAAACAGTGACACGATCTGTAGAGTACAACTGATCTTTGATTTGACAATCAAATCGTGAGATTTTGAAAATCGGAAAGAGTTATTATGTCAGTAGAAAACTTACCAACAATATGAGAAGCCAATGCCTCAATCTTGTGCACTTTGTAAATACTTTCCTCTCTTTCCTGAGGGAAAAGAAGAGCGCAAACAATTGAATACAACTGAATCAAGGTGGACATATATGATGATACAAAAAGTGTGTTCTTCATGAGAAACACCGTTTTTAACCCTTTGGTGCACAGAATATTTGGATAAGATGCACAGATCAAAACGTTTCTTGGGCAGTAGCTAACAACAGCCCTGTGCACATAAGGGTTAAAACAACTGAAATCTGGGACACATTTTTTGGAGTTAGACAGTTGAGGTCAAGATTGAAAGAGACACAAATCACAAATTACGACTTCCTGAATGTGCCAAAGCTATTAGCCACAGCGTCTTCACGCGAGCGTCAGGCATTGTTGGCGTTCGAATATGTTCGAATTTAACTTGCGATGGTCTCCAAGACTCTTCCCTGCTCCCAATAACTTTGGATCATTCGAAATATGCAGTGGACAGACGGGGAAACAGTCTAGGTCTCCCCCAACTCTCCTTTTCTGGCCGTTGAAGGAGTACTTGTGCACGAAGCCCATAGCTTTAAATTAATGAGTACTACAATAGGTCCAAAATGGTACTCTACCTTGATCATCCTCAGAGCTGCTTCAGTGAAACTATCTTCTAGTTCCTGCAGAAGACATGAGTTGAAAATTGACAAAATATTTCAAAACCCAACTTTATCTTTTAAACAACTGGGAGAAACACAGCAATACTTTCTCATCCCAATGCCCCACCCCTTATCATCGCGTCAGTGCAACAAGGTTGAAACTCGATTCTGCAACAAAGTCGTATCGCGCGAATACCCTCCATGCAACGAGGTCGTATCTCGTGCACGTGACGCCCACTGACTGTGTGTGTACATCTGGGCTAGTTTAAGCGAGATACGACCTTTTGACATTCAAAACTCGTGTTTCACGTACATGACGTCACACACCATTTTAGAAGATGTGACCTTGTTGCACGGACACAACTTTACGTTTGTATTTGTCACAAGTCCCTAGGACAAGAACTTTGGTCTTTTTTGCAGTGCAATTGAAACTGGCTGCCACACTTTTAGACAAGGGTGCCCCATGGGTAGGGATTCAGTCACTCTGACAAAGACAATCCCCATTTCTAGGCCAGGGAGGTAGGGAACAATTGATGTTAAAAACTAATATTTCAAGACTTGAGTAGAGATGGTATTTCAAAGCATAAGATCCTCTCACACTACACTGCCACACAGTTATGAATGAGCTATTACACTGTGTAAGTTTCAATGCTGAATCATATAACTTATAACAAACATAAGATTAACCCTAACTTTCCCAAATCCTCCACAATCCTCTTTGCAAAATGGAGGATTTTGCAGGTTTGAGGCTACATGGCAAAAGTGTGTGGCTGATTTCGGAGAATGCACCGTGTCAAGGTCTTAGGCCAGACTTTGTGTTGTTTATGCTCGACGTGCATACATTTAGGACTACATTATAATTGAAATCCTCTGCACTGCTCCAGGATGTTACTGGCTCTGTCTCGACATATCGACAGTGATTGCTGGAGGATTTTGCAGGAGTAAGGCAGTGGTCACCCCTCCAAGGACCACCCCTCAACTAAGAAATAACGGAGGATTCTGCAGGATTGAGGGTTCATCCTAGCAAATATGCCTAGGGAGTTAAGGTTAAATAGCATTCTTGCAAGGGCAAAATTTCAAGAACCGCAACACTTGGAATTCTGCACTGTAGACCGCTATTCATGCTTACTGCAAGCATTGAATCCTTAGTTACATTCACCCAAGTGGAAAGTCCTTGCTAACACGTGCAATACGCTTACCACTTGCACAGATTCACCATTTTTATAGTAAGCAGAGTCATGAAATTAGGCAAGATGTCAATTCAGTACACATTGTCAGTTGCTGATGCCACTTTTTTGTTAATGGCTCACAGATATCAATGCAAGTGTGTGAAATAAAGAAGCCACAGCCATAAGCCTTGTGCATGAATACTAACCCCGTTCCTTTCCTGCAGTTGAGCCTCTAATGCTGCCCTCTCCGGTTCAATTATCTAAAACAGAAAACAATCAAACAAACCTCTGAGAAGCAAACACAGGAGTATATTTTATTTATTTTTTATTTTAACTGGGTAGCCCATTCAGTGGAATCCACTGATCTCCCATGGGCCCCAGTAAAGAGAAGACAATGTGAAGAAATTACAGTTTAAGATGTGGGAGGAAAAGCCCAGAAGAATGTTCTGAGGAAAACCCACGGAATCAGGTCAGGACTGAAAACCCAATCCACATATTGACCCAGGCGGGATTCGAACCCAGGTCACAGCGGTGGAAGGCGAGGAAAGTACCGCTACGCCAACCTGACTCCCCAACGCCAACCTGACTCCCCACTTTGTCATGACAACATAACAAGCACTTTAGTAGTTTTGGTTTTATTTTAAGTACAGTATTGAATACACGAACAAGCAACAAAGGATTTCTACTGAATGTGAATGATATAGTGGAAACTTAAAAGCGCTTAATGTGAATATCTGAAGGAAGTTGAAGGGGTCTTGGACTAATTCAAGGATGAAGGCCATAGAGCTATATTAAATTACTAGAGCGCTAACTCATGTACAAAAGTGATGCCTGCTGGGCGCATCCATGCTTGTACACAAACCTATGGAGAACTAGAAATTTTGTACATACTTTGTACGTCTATTTGCATATCTGTGTTTGTATTCCATACCGGTGCGTTATCGAAGCCGATACGCCCAAAACCGACACGCACGATCAGCAAATGAGCATGTTATTTTGCTCTACGCAAACAGCGCAACGTGTGCGCGTCCCTCCTCTGCAGATGCTTTTCGCCGTGATGTTTTTTGAACCGTCATGACACGCTCAAGTTGTTTGCGTATCTTCTACTTGCACGATGCATTTAGAGTACACTTTTAAAATTCAATCCATCTATTTTGATTGTGTTCTACAAACATGCACATGAATTCAAAATGTCTGTACCCACAGCGGCTTCAAAGCGTCTCCGCGCGCAAGAATGAGGAGTAAGCGCTCTAGAAATTTATTATAGCTCTATGACTATGACCTATAGATGTCAAACCTTTACCTTCTCTCGGACTTGCTCTGGTGAAGCTAACAATAACTTGACCATGCACGTGACAGTCGGATCATCTACAGGTGAAGAAAATACCAACTTCTTCTTTAAAAGAAATCTCAATTTCCATTTAAGATGTAGTGTCTCTGATGTTTTTTATTTTTACCCCGAACACTATTTTTCTAACAATACAAAAGTAATTTACTTTTGAATGAGACATCAACAACAAGCGCCGATGTTAAATTTATGAATCGTTACTCGACTCGAACCCACAACCTGCAGAAGTGCCCACAGATCTTGAATTTGATACTCCAGACCGCAAGCCACAGCACTACATGCTAAACGCATCAACATGTAACACTTGTCAAAACAAGAAGCCTGTCCAGTGTAACAAGAGCCATCAGTCTTCAGACTGTAAGGTTGCCAGATGCAGCAGGGACAACATTGGCATTGTTCAATGGAACAATCTCTCATTGACTAAGAATTGGCAGTTTAAGACCAGGTGTTAAAGGGGCACTAGGTCCTGAAATCCCCGAAAATTTCATATTTTGGATTGTTTACTTAGCCTATTTCAAACATCTGGTTGAAAGGAAACCAACCTAATGTCTTACCGTTCCCGAGAAAAGACGAAAAAACCTTGGTTGTTTACGTCGGACACAATGGAGTACGAATACATTTTTCGTGTCGTTCTCAGTGTACAATATACACGTTGTGTGTCTCGGGAACAGCGGTGACCAATCACCAATGCAAAAAAATATGGTTTCTTCAACGTCCACAAAAGGCGAACACTTTACGAATGAAATCACAACTAGCATCAAAACAGCTCGAATTTATGGGGTCGCAAAAGTGGACCCCGAAATTCGTTTACGCACGCATAATACAGGAATAACACAAAAAAGGCCCAGTTTTTAATAGTTGTGTGGATGTTTATATCCTACTTTTAAATGTTCTTTCCGATTAACATCATCTCATTCAAAGCGCGTTTTGTAGCCCAATTGGGCTGTTCCAGGACCTAGTGTCCCTTTAATGGCGCAATGCAACAAGGACTGACAGATTTTCACATCCGTTGCAGTGTGTTACATCCAGTAGCCTTTAGGATTAAGGAAAGAAAAAAGGGTGTTTTACCCACCTTCAATGGTGAATAGCTTGCCATACTCTCTGGTAGAGTGTGGCTGTGTGATGACTGAGCCCTTCTCTCGTTTCATGAGACGAAACGTTATCTCATCACCCCGACTGTAACCATGGGTTTCCTTGGCAACAACACTGGAGAAAGAAAGAAAAAGCACACACTTATGGCTCCTTATACACTTTACATGGAGAAATTAAGAAGATTTAAAGGGAATGTACAACATTTGCTTTTGCTGCAATTTTCAGAAATAAATGGATTTAGAGGATTAGTTTGTTATAGCAAATATTGTTAAACTGACTTGTTTCACGTTTTGGGCTTGTAGATGCTGGAAAAACCAAGAAAACCAATCATGTACTTGTAGTCTGGTTCCCTGACCCCACTAAAGATTAAATGGAGCAATTTACAGACTTTGGGGAATTATAAGGTCAGAGAATCAGTCTAACAGGCTTGTACCCCTTCACAGGTGTGTAATCAATTGCCGAGAAAATGCGGAATAACTAATTATGAAAAATTAGGAGCAGTTTTTAAAGAAAAAAAAACATTTTTCCCCAATGCTGGTCGGCCGAATTCTGGAATATGGTCCGTGGAGGGGTGATCACTGCCTGAATCCTGCAAAATCCTGCGGCAGTGACTGTCAATATGTTGAGGCTTGGCCAGTGACATCCTGGAGCAGTACGGAGGATTTCAAGCATAATCCAGGCCTATATTTATGCATGGCTGAGCACAAAACAACACAAGGTCCAGCCCAAGACCTTGACAAAGTGCATCCTACGAAATCAGTAACGCACTTTTGTCATGTAACCTCAATCCGCCAAATTCCTCCACTTTGGCAAAGAGGATTTTGAAGGATTCAGGGCGGTTAGGGTTAATAGAAATTTAGTGAGATATAGACATAAACATTTTAAACATTCAATAAAATGTACCTTTTCAGATCTTTTTGATGCACTGCTTCGTAACAGATGGGGCACTTTCTCCAAGTCTTCTCACCGAGTTCCAAGTAATGCAGCATGCAGGTCCAGCAGTAAATATGGCCACAACGGGTGATCTTGGCTAGGGATATCCAAAATAAACAAGTCAATTCCATCCTTGAATCCAACTGGTACGGTACTTATAAGAACAAATACAAACAGTTATATAGAAATAGTTACAAGGGTGTTCATTTTAGTATCTTGAAGTTATACATTATGAAGTTTGTACTCTTCACATAGAGCTAATACTAGAGCGCTAATTTCGTGTACAAAGTAATGCCTGCTGGGCGCATCCATGTTTGCGCACAAACCTATGGAGACCTTGAAATTTTGTACGGCTTTTGTACGGTTATTTGCATATCTGCGTTTGTATTCCAAACCGGTGCGTAATCGAAGCCAATACGCCCAAAACCGAAACGCACGATCAGCAAATGATCGTGTTGTTTTGCTCTACGTAAACAGAGCAACGCGTGCGCGTATTTGCTGCAGTTGCTTTTTGCAGTTGCTTTTTTGAACCGTCAATGACGCGCTTAAGTTGTTTGCGTATGTTCTACTTGCGCGTTGCATGTAGAGCACACTTTCAAAATTCAATCCATCTAATTTCATTATGTTCTACGAACAGGCACACGAATTCAATACATCTGCGCCCAGAGCGGCTTCAAAGCGTCTCCGCGCATAGAATGAGGAGTAAGTGCTCTAGTAATTTAATATAGCTCTATGACTCTTCATGACTTTTTGCAGCCTCTAAATCTTTTAGATGCTGGTGGATTGTGCATTTTTTAGACACCTACAGCAAAGGGATTATTACGTATAATGAGTTGATTTAATGCCCTTTGAAAGCTCAAAGAATGTGTCTTACTGCCTGCACTGTGGCTGGGTTTCTCTCAAAAACAAGCACAGAATTATCTCGGAAGCTGGGGCCCAACTGTAGACCAACTGTAGACCTGCTGTAGCCTATAAGTCATGTATATGATGTAAAAGTCTGTTCTTATAATGCACAACTACTCACGTGGTTGTGACTGTCAATTAAAAAGGATTCCCATTATTTTGTTGACCGTCAGTTGGTGCATGGAGCGTTTTATAGCATGTGGAACACCCGATTTGTGTTTAGTATAGTGCTAGCCCCAATGCGAAATGAGTGACCTCGTGACCCAATTTTGCACAACGGCAATAAATTGGTAGAGCTGGTCAGTGGAGACCTGAAGCATGTGTTGTTGCGAGGGCCTAAGTGACAAGGTGATTGATTGCCAAAAAAAGCATTTGCTGATGTATATTGCAAACCAACGGAGAGTCACGGTCATTCCTTGGAGGGGGAGGGGGGAACTCACCTGCAGTTGGTGGGTACAGGCAAATAGGACAGGACGGTACCTCCGGACTCAGAATCCTCTGAAATGTATATAAGTCAAACACGTTATTGAGAACAGTCTACATGCTTAACAAATCAAAACATTAAGGATATGTGAGGAAACATCCAAGAGAATGGCCGACATGTCAGATATAGACCAGCAAGGTTCTTCAATGTTTCCTCTGATAATGAACTTTGACACAGACCTTTAAAACGAGGTTATTCAATCTCAAGAAGGACATTTTGGGCAAAATCTGGATGACTAGCATCTTTAAGACTTCATGAACTTGGCATACATATAGCTGCTCAATGTTTCAAGTAATCTAAGCATCTTGGTTGATTGCCACACCTTAGCCTTCATGACCATAGCTTGTGTGTATTATTTTGTACCAGTAGCAAAAACAATTGCATCACATCCACAATTTTGAAAACAGTTTTATCAGATTGACTTTCATTTGGTACAAGAATCATTCAATCCACTCATGCACTTTTCAAGTTACGGAATTTTGAACACAAACACCGTTTTAAAGTTCTGTCCACGGAACACAAAAAAGTAAGAGTTCTTTCAGCAAAACGAAAACTATTCTCTGACATATTTGCTTACCACTTGCTCAATAAGATCCCACTCGACCAACTTATCCGAGTCCACACACTGCAGAGTGTAATCATTAGCAGCCTTGACCACAAACTGACAACTGTGAGAAGGGCAAGACAAAGAACCCTGGGATTAATTAGGCTTTCGTTATCAATAAACAAGACATGTTTATATTGTTACCATGAACCCATCAAAATGCACTCCAAGATTTTGTAGTGCCTTGAGTCCCCTTGACATCTAAATAATAATATGCAATTCGCTGTCACAATATTTGCATGCTTGTTTGTCTGGGCTTATTCTCGGAAGTTGCAGATCGTGCTGCGCTGAAACTCCGTGGGTGGGTGACGCTTGGTCCACCTCAGATTTGTTCAACCTTTGTCAAGCGATTGCGGCCCCAGGGGCCTCTCACAGGGGTCCTCTCTCTTACGTACGGACGTACATACAGCGTGTGTATGTGTAAACGTGTAAACATTCACGCACGTAAACTACGGGCCAAGTCGTGAAGTCACTCGGAGGTCAACTCGGTGTAGCCATAGTTACCGTACCACGTACAGTGTACTGTACACCCAACGTCTACACAATACACGTACACACGCTGTGATTGCATCTGACAGGGGAAGTCCCAAGCGACATGTTAATATGACTTTACAAGTTACTGTTCATATGGGTCAACAGGTCGCTGTTCATATGGGTCTGTAGCACTGATTTCGGGGCGGTTTTGGGTTGCAACAGTGAGTAATAGGCCGGGCGCTTTCCAGCGCAACAGAGACTAACAGTAACACATCCATCAACTGTATGTGTCCGACAAACCGCCAAAGCCGGGTAACCGCCTAGTATGCAGGATTGTACCATCAGGCTGGAATATTGCTCAATTCTAAAATTGAGCATAGTTCATTTCCTTTCACTAATTCCTTTACACCATTTCTTTACACCAATTCTAATTTCTCAATACTCAATTTCAAGCGATACGTGGTCTAATTTCAAGTTTATTTACAACAGAAGGTTTTGCCACCCATCAATAACTTTGGGCATCCAAATGTTGGTTTCTCCTGCTAAAACTACCTTCCTAAAAATGTTGGCACTCACTTTTGTTTAGGAACGTGATCGATAATACACTGAAAACAAACAACTGAAAATTAACCTTAACATCCTAGCCATTACTTTGGGATAAAGAACTGAGTACTACAGAATACTATGTATAATAATTATGTATGCGGGCACCATGTACCAAAAAATACTATGTGTTTTGTGCCCACTTACATGCTGAAGTACTGCATACTACAGTTTACTACTAGTACTTTTGTAGCTTTAGGTGAGGTTAGGGTTAGTGAACGAAGACTTGGTTATACAGCAACTCACTTTGCCTGCAGAAACTGCTCCTTGTTATACTTGGGGTAGCGATGTGCCCATTTATTGCGGCCTCTCCAACCCCCTGGCCCTCTGTTGTCCATGGAGGACTCTCTAGGTGCCATGGTGAAATTGATGAGATGATTCAGGTTCATCTTCTTAGGCCCACCTGACAGGGCAGAGCCAAACTCTGCCCTCTGGGACTTTGTCACCTGCAAAATCATTACAAGAAATCAACTGTGAATTGTGTTGCCTACAATCTTTGCTCTTTCAATGTAATTTTGCCTGCCAGTCAGATGTATGTAAGGAATGTGTAGATTCTATAGATGGTTGGCTCTCCAGGAATCATTGGTGTCTAACAATTAAACCTAACTCCCTCGGCCTTTTTGCTAGAATGTAGCCTCAATCCTGCAAAATCCACCAATTGGCCTCATGGAAAAATAGCGTATAGCCTCAATCCTGCAAATTCCACCATTATTTCTTGAATATGGTCTGTGGAGGGGTGACCACTGCCTGAATCCTGCAAAAACTGTCAATATGTTGAGGCTTGGCCAGTGACATCCTGGAGCAGTACGGAGGGTTTCAAGCATAACCCAGGCCTATATTTATGCATGGCTGAGCAAAAACAAAACACAAGGTCCGGCCCAAGACCTTGACAAAGTGCATCCTACAAAATCAGTAACGCACTTCTGTCATGTAACCTCAATCCTCCAAATTCCTCCACTTTGGCAAAGAGGATTTTGAAGGATTCAGGGCGGTTAGGGTTAATGGGTAGTCGGGTACATACATGTACATCAGATTCCCATCAGCAAGCTCGGTGATCGAGTGGTTAAAGATGTCTGCACTAGAAAGCAGGTCCTGGGTTCGCGTCAAACCCAAGTAAATTTTTCCAATTTTCACTTGGGAGGCAACACATTGAATAGACAGTTTATACGTCGGTGAAGGGTAACACCCGGACGCAAATCTCATCTTATGAATACCTTAACCCTTACTCTCTGAGGGTAGTTTACTGCATATCAGTTGGTTATGCCAATGCCCTCCAGCTGCAGTTTATTGGAGGATACTTTGATGTAGCAGTGAAGGCTCCAATTGGCAGGAGTTGGAGGCCCTGGAGGGTGCCTGATACTGACCAGCTGGGGGCACTCACTTTGTTATCAGAGGACTCTCATTGTTCTCTGTGGCATGTATTGGAGTGCCTGTCCAGTTACCCTTGAAATGACATGGCAGATATTGGAGGGCCATGCAAAAAACATAGGAGATTTTCTTGAGGCACATATTGGCATGCGTTGGAGGGTCTAGTAGGGTAAGGGTTAATTGCGGAACCCGTTGCTACATGTACATCAGATTTGAATCAGCCAACCAATCCTGAAAGCTCTGTGATCGAGTGGTAAGACATCTGCACTAGAATGCAGCAGGTCATGGGTTCAAGTCCCACCCGAGTGACTTTTTTCCAACTTTCACTCGGGAGGTAACACACTGAGAATACAGTGTTTATATGTCGGTGAAGGGCAAAATCTAATCTTCACTTATGTAATGTAATAATTTTGAATTTTTTTGGGGGGGGAATGGGCTAAGGTTAGATTGACTCGTAACACAAACCTCATCACGTCTGCCTGTCCAGCTGCCATCCTTGCTGCTTCGAGGTCTCTTATCAGTGAAGCCTCTGGACCTCTGTGGGTTGCTCTTACGCTGGACACCAGCATCAGGGCCCGCCTTAGACAATGAAGATTCTCTCTTCTTGTGAAAGGATTGCCCATTTCCATTACCACGGCCATTGTCTGAAATGGAAATTTACAGTATTTTAAGATTTAATTGCAGAGTCAGAAAAGTAAAAAAACTTTTAAGTTATTGGGCCTGTTTGAATTTCAGTGTAAAACACATTTTTAAAATGGAATAGGGAATGAAATTGCCTTACTTTTGTTTCTACAAATGTACAAACCATTACTCTATCTTCCCTACTTTCTATGATTTACAAATTACAATGACAATGTTTACACGTACATGTACTTAAATACATTTTCTGTAAGCCCAGCTTAGCAGACCCCACCTCTAATGATAGGAAACTCTACAAAATACTTTACATGGATATGCATGTTGCAGCTACATGTATATCCGGGGTTTAAACTTTCCATCTTGTTACGTTTCATTCCAATTTGGCCTTTTTCTCCACATATTCACAACGGGTCAAGATAAAAAGTCATCATGTGCAGCAGTCGTTCATGAAAACAAAGAAATCGACAATGAATAAAAAAGACATTTACAATCCAACTTCCAAGAAACAGAGTCCCCATCAGTGGGTTTGTAATGCTTTGTTGTACAGGTTTGAGTGAGAGCTTTACCTTAACTCCCTAGCATGATTTACTAGGATCTAGGAACCACACCCATCCTGGCAAAGTCCAACACCATATGGGAAACTGCACATACATATTTCTGACTTTGATTCTGGAGGTGTGCCAACCCAATGTAAAAGACTGTCAGTTTAGGGGTACTGTACCCATCCTGACAGACTCCAACAAAACATGCCATTGGGCTTTGATGAGTTGAGTTCTGTTAGGGTTTAAGGGACCAAGAATCATACAGTATGACTATGAGGGTGCCCTGCTATTGGCCTTAAATCTAACATCTGATGTGGTCGTGGTAAAACATGCCAAATAACATCATGCAGATTACACATATCAATACAGGATCCAGGAACTTCTGTAATTTTTTAAAAATTAAATTATTAATTAAAAACTTGTACACGACCAACTCGTACACATGACAACTCATAGGCGGACCAACTTGTATGCAAACCAACTCGTACGCGTGAGTACTACATGTATAGACTAGCATAGTGCGAGTACAAATGTACATCGTACTAAAACTTTTGGTTCGGGTCACATGGATACAACGAAATCAGGGTCGGTCGGTCGGCATACATTTTTTTTCTGCAGGGGAGTATTTTGCGTTACTGAGGGTCCCATTTTTGATTTTTAAATCAGATTTTTATTGCTCATTACAATTGTCCTGGAAAGACACAAAATGACACGTGCATGCTATACCAGAAGACAATTCCACTCGTAGTGAGAATTTAAATCGTATATGTCTGCTGCATCTGTAGACTTCCAACAATACACTGCTAACTAGTCAGTGCATCGTGCCATGTATTACTAGTATAATTCTCCACACTGACTAGTCGCGTGGTTTGACGTGCTTGTTGCTCAACTCCGAGTCTGACACAGTCGCAAAATTATATTTAAAATCAAAACTTTTGAACTTGTACATTGTTGCATATAGAATTGAAATTGTTGAAAATACATTTGGCAACAACGGTATCAATCATGCAGTCATACAATAAATCACACAGTAATTTTGTGGGGGGTTTGGGGTAAACTTTTTGCGATCATGTACTGTTCGGACTACTAGTACTACAGCCTACAGTACCATGAGTACAGAAGGTGGATATTTTGGCGATCGTGTAGTGTAGGGCCCGGTTTCTATAAGGGAACAAAATCCACTTTAAAATTATTGGACCTGCCAAACTAGTTGGCGACATTCTCAATAAACAGGTATGTCATAGCATGGAGGTAGACCTACCTCCATGGTCATTCCTAGATAGTTAGAGGGCAGGGTTTTGATATTTTGAGAGAAATTTTGGGGTAAAATGACGATGACAGCGCGGCGACAACACGCAACCCGAAAATAAAGATGGCGATCACAGCGCGATGTACCGTGAGCACGCACGGCGCACTGAATCGCAAGGCACAAACCGGGCAGGAAAATCGTGATTTCTACCCCAAGAATCTGAATCAAAACAGGTGTCATTAGACATGTTATTGTTAGAATTGAGAAAAGCCTGCTTTTGATTGTAAAGCTAAAGGTGATTTTTCAATTTTTTTGGGCAATAAAAAACATGTTTGACTCTAATTTGATCAAAACAAAACAGGGGCCCTACACTTCTCGATCACCGATATCTTGACAAATTCTCCCAAGTCTAAAACTTTAATATTTAACTGAAAGGGTGCCGATAAAATTAAATGTGTTCAACAAATCATGACTCTGTCCAAGTCCAATCTGGAAACGCACTATCGTTCAAATTGGCTAATTTCAGCCCACGTAAGGGTTGGCCCGCATACGACTTGGGTTGTCCTGCGTACGAGTTGGTTCGCATACGAGTTGTCCTGTTTCCATCCAAAAATACGTTACTTGAATTGCACACCTTTTTTCGGCTCAGATGGAATTTTGGACACACCACAGGCAGAACGATTCAAAGCAATATTCTTCTCCATCTCTTTCGGTTCTGACATCCACAACGGATGCAGACAATGTTGAGCTTACTGTCGGCACAGCAACTCCAAAAGGAGGTAAAACTTGGTGGACAATCACTAGATGAGACATGGCGAAGCTGATCAGCACTCCATGTTGCAATCAAAAATAAACAAACCGATCTGCTAGATTCTGACCGATTTTTTAATACAATTTTTTAAACGAAGTATTCGCAAAACTGAGCCTGGAATAGGCTCAAAGTGTGCTATGTAGCACTTGCAACGTTCGGTTTGCCTCTGGTTGACCCCCAAATTGGTCTTTGCAGACCAAATTTGGCGATGTTTGCGCAACTTTTCGTAAGAGTTCTTCCCACACTGGCGACAATTGCGCCGAAAACGAGGCTATATCCACCCGGTGATGAGGTCAAAGGTCGACTTTTTGCGGCAAATCGCTGGTACTCTGCTCTGCTGTAAGACATTTGCATGCTAGCTGCATGCAAAACGACGTCACGCATCGTAACGTAAAACGTACACATATACATGACACATACAGCGGGTACGTCGCGCCGCGTATTTTGAAAACAAACTTGACTGCTTGATCGATCGGGTACAACTTACCGCTTGCATGTGGGAATTTTTATGCCTTCATAAGTCCGTGTGAACGTGTGTAAGTAGGGCCTATACTGGGTTTACTTGATTGTGAAAAATGAATGAATGGAAAATGAGGAGTATGCTTATATCGGCATTCATTCATTCATTCATTCATTCTTTATTATTTTTACCACATCTCATTTCAAAGTGACAAGGCATAAATACATACATTATTACATGTAGTTTTGGGTAATATAAAGTTCGAGCTTGTTTTACAAAATATATTTATACACTTTGGACGCATTATTTTCTAATTGGAGATGGCGGAAGGGGATCCCCAAAAAGCAGAGCTTGTCGAGTAGAGATCCCCTTTAACATGGATTAATACAAACATTTAATGAAAAACAAATGAAAAACAATTGAACGTATAAATTTTAAATTGTACATAACACACGAAAAAACAATATTGCTGATCGAAAAAAAAAGAAATACAGAGTAGCAATACAGAGTAGTAACCCAGTAAGAAGATTAATCTGAGCTATAGTATTATAATTTGATAGTAAATTCGATTTAAGTTTAGATTTAAATAATGGAAGGCTACGAGTGCCCTGGAGTGATTTATGTAAGGACTTCCAGTACTTGGGGCCTTCATGCCTAATTGTCTTTTTATAAACAGTTGTTCTTGCAAATAGTTTCGTTTCTACAGAACATTTGTGCAATGGGATTTGGAAGTAAATTATTATTCAAACGATGCATGAAGGCTCCAAGCTGAAGTGAATAAATGTCATTGACCTTGAGTGTTTTATGCTTACAGAAGAGAGGATTTGAATGTTCAAGTCTGTCGACAGAATTAATAACTCTCAATGCCCGTTTTTGTAGGTTAAGAATTCTATTCACATTCCATGATTCATGTATCGTCAGCCCTATTTCGACGCACTCACAACATTCAATTTGCGTTGGACGTTGCGTTGCGTTGGGCTTCAATACCTGCCATGCCTGCTGCGCCGATTTGTGACTCGAGGATACATGACCACAACTTAAAGGGGCACTGCGTCCTGAAATTCCCGAAAAAGTTCACGATTTGGATTGGGTACAATTAATTGCAGTTAGTATCGTCGAGTCACCATAATCATGATAATCGGTGCAGGTGAGGTAAACGCTTGCAACGCATGCGCGTTGTCCAACGCAAATTGAATGCGAGTGCTTTGAAATAGATCCTCGTCATGGAAAAAATTCCGTACTGGGCCACCACTTTTTTCAATTAGTTTTCAAGTGCCAAAAGTTGCATCCTTTATTATTTGGCAGTGCCATTGGATATTTAGTCGGAGACGGCAAACCAAGTTTAGTAAGATTACGTTAGCTTGCCGGATATGCACTGACATGACTGAACATGCGCAGTTACTTTTTTTTGTGCTTAGACATTTTCCGGTGACAAATTTTAGTCTGGCTCCATGCCAACATTTTCGTTGTAACTTCGTATTCAGAAAATGGGAATCAAACCATTTTACAATTTCAGACTTTATTTCCCTTTAAAAAAAATCCAGTATGGATTTTTTTCCCTCGTGAATTCAGGTGGACAGATGATAATATGCCATGTACATGTACATGTAGTTGGAAAAAAAACAGGATAAAAGGTTGCAACCTGATGCCACTTTTTTCTTCATAGGCCTATAATGAAGGTCATTTTTTGCAAAAATGGAGATAAAACATGAATCTGGGACTGAAAACATGGAGAAACATTTCCAATTTTGTTAGGAAATCTACTTAGAAAATTGTCTTGACTCGATCTCCATAGACTTTGTACACAATCGCGGAAGTGGCATCAGGTTGCAACATTTCTTCCAAAAAACCCTAATCATTGATCATGCTAATTCTTACCGTTCCCGAGACTGAGTCATTTCTTTAAAATGACTCGACTCGAGTTACAAAAAACAGTGACTCCTGTACTACATGAACTAGTACTAGTAGACCCGGGGCTAGGCTGAAGTGCTGGTCCAGAGACTGGACAATGATTTTGTCATTGGTTGGTCGTACTAGCTCAACGGACCATAGACAAAAGTAAAAACAAAGGACTTCTAGGTCCCCAGTAATTGGTTCTTCTTAGTAGTAGGCTAATCTTGATTGACTGTCCAAAAAGTTGAATGAAAGCTATATATATATTTTCTCCTGATTGCGTGACCCGATGGTTTTAGTTTGAGATATTAATTCTTTATTTTTTCATTAATTTTTTTTCTTCAGATGATGGAGTCGTACAGTGAATATGATGAACCAAAGGCCATGGTTCATACGTATTGCCAACAGATTGCCCCAGCACAGTATGAAAAGCATGGGGCTATCGAGACGGAAAAAGCGTTGAGGGTGAGAATTACTCATCACAGCAAAACAGAAATATATAAAACCCATTTTCTAAGAAGTTTACATGTATCAGAGGTATGACATCATGACTATGTTTGAGATGAGTATGAATTAGGCACACAACATACTCCTTCTATGATGACACAGACAGAGAACTACATTCAATTCAACTCAATGCGATAGGCCTATGGTTTATTAAAACAAATGAAGTCTTGCAGTTGAACACTGAATTTGTGGGATTCAGTTGATAGAGCGAAATCACTTATTTTCGACCCACAAAGACATTGTGGGTTTAATAGATAAAATATTAATTTGTCAGAAAAACCAGTGCGTGCATGCGTTTGAACCCAAATACTGGAACACTCACATTCAAAAGTACCTTTTAAAGCTATAGTCCATCATTTGTAATTAGTGCATTTTGTTCGTTTGAAGCAACAAAAGTGCTCAAAATCTAATGAAGGATACTGAGCAACTAACCTGATGAAGTTTCAGCTAAGCTTCAGCTGTATATTCCGAGAAAAACAGCATTCTAGGATCTCAATTTCAGATTGTTGCTGAATCATCAGAAGTTGCTGAATCATGTTTTGAATTGGGCCTGAATTCAGCGTCCCAGACACGTTCTCACTGAGCCGATTGCAACTACACGATGTCGCGCACTGATCCGACGAATTATAGCAACTGCGCGAGCGTGTGCGTCGTGCCAATGCTTGAATAACAAAACGAACTACTAATTTAAATTTCCTACGGTGTGTCTTAAGAAGCACTGTTGGAAAGGCCTTCTTTCGTTGATTACTTCAAAATGACAGCTTGCCAGAAAGAATAATTTCACAGGGAGTTTAGTCCCCTTACTATCTTTCAAGCAAGTATGTTTTTCAACAATAATTACGCCAGTTACTTTTTGGATAGCTGCAAATGATGGACTATAGCTTTAACTCACAAATGGGGATATGTCAATTGGGTGCATTCCAGGACACAGTGTCCCTTTAATGTTCCTGCATGGGGTTTGTACACCATACAAATTTTAAAAATTTCAATGATGTCTTCAATGATGAAATAAAAACATTAGTATACATGAACATGTATGCTAAGTGCATATTACTTTATAATCAGAATGTGTGATGGTTTCTCTTTTAGGACTTAATGGACTATTTGGAGATGAACCCATCTGCCTACAAGAAAGTCTTAGTGCGACAAAAACAGGAAGAAGCCGAGAATGCTGGAATCTTTTCTTATGTGAAAGTAAGCAACCTACATATGACTGTGTACAGGTTCTAGTTATTTGGGTTTAGGACATGGTAGCATGTTGGGTTTCCTCACTCTATTGATATGTTTGGGGAGTTAGGCGGGCATAGAGGTACCTTCTTTACCTTCCAGGCGACCTGGGGCCGCTTTCACGAAACTCGTCTTATCTTGCGACCCATCTTAGGACTTAAGATGAGTGCCCGCTCTAAGATCGATCTAAAGACATGTCCTATAGACAGATTTCACAAACCCATCTTAAGCAAGACGCATCAAAACTACCAATTCGATGGCTGTTTTTATTTTTTACCACTTGACGAAACAGCTGTTGAAAGAAAAGTGCAAAACCAGGTTACCGCGAGCGCACATGCACTAGAACACACTTTAGCCAGAGAATATTACACTACTCAATAAATTTCACATGCAAAGTAGTTATGCAAGAGTGACTTTCGTGCTCCCCATTTCATCAATCTATTTTTAAAAGTCGACTAGTTGTTGCCGTAACGGCCATACATGTATAATTAAATTTGTCAATAAGTTATTTTTATTTAACCTACCCACATATCAGAATTCTTTTCAAATATGTTTCTACAGCATTTTTCTTCCTCGAAACTATAATTCTAGGCCAACATTCGTCTTTAACGAGAAGATATTGCAATGATTATCAGACGATTATACAAATTAACGCACACATTCATGAGATAAGACGACCCTAAGACTCATCTTACATTGTAAGTTGAGACGAGTTTAGCCATGTTGCTAAGGAAGTTAGGACGTGTTGAACGCATCTTAAGTTTGGTGAAATAGATCATACAGGACGAGTCGCGAGTTACATGTAAGACGAGAAACCTTTCTAAGACGCTTCTTAGAGTTTTGTGAAACGGCCCCTGGGTTGGAATCCCAGACACACTTATATGTGGATTGGATTATGAGCACCTACCTATCTCTGTGGGTTCAACCAATAATATTGGCATGTGCCTTCCACCACTCAAACTAAACATGTCTCCACTGTTTGCAGGCTTTTTTTTCAGCCTTTAAAGGTGGTATGACTTGGGTGCTTCAGAACAGTCCTTTGTTTCATTACCAGTATACAATCCATGGGCGTTTTCGAATCCCTGTTCTTGACAACACGCGTGTAACACGAGAACGTGTTCTCGAGCTGGTTGTTACGAACGAGCGGGTGCGTGTCGCATCGATATAAAGCAATGCAAAATGGCCGACAATCGTCTGAATTTGTACTTAGGCCTATTCCAAATGAACGAGGACGACTGTTGCAAAACCGGACATGCGGGGATGAAATTGCAGACCTGCACTATAATGGTATTCTTATTCCAATCATTAGGGTATTAGCCACAAAAAAACCCCACAAAACAAATTACGAATCTGCACAGTCCGCCATTTTGTTCAAGCTGCACCTCGCCGAACCCTCCATCAACCGGGGAGTGAAAAAATCGATCCGCGAACGCCCTCTCGGGTCTGTTCGTCACGTTCGAGACCGCTGTTCTCGTGTCAGGTTAACCCGAGTGTTGTCAAGAACAGGGATTCGAAAACGCCCATTGAGGGGCTCAGAGTGGAATGGGGGGAACATTATCACAAGGTTAAATCTGGCGAAGCCAAGTGAAATGGAAAAGTCCAGATTTTACCGAGCGATAAACTTCCTCTAATTTCACGATTTAAAGCCACTCAATATTTGTTGTACTGAGCGATCCTTGTCGTTTGATATACAGTTAAAATGAACTTCTATTTTAATACAAAATTTGTGGAAAATGCATCTCTCTCTCCCAAACCACCCCTTCACAAAATGTTTGAACCCAACTCTGTAGCTATTGGCTCTTGGGAACAATACGCGCAAGGCTCAACGCGCACACTAGCATTCATTTGTACACAAATACCACGCCATGAAATAAGGATGATCCTAACTGTTGAATAGTAAATCCCATTCACCATGGGCAAATAGGACTTTTTGAGCCCCAGCGTGAATGGGAGCAATAATGAATGTCATTTGATGTGAGTTCCACTAATCAAATGACAAGGATCTGTATGTCAGTATATAAAACTAAATACATATTCAACGTTTCTGTAACATCTGCCTTGACTTTCCCCAACCCAGCTTTAGTAAATTTCCCATGCTTGGAGTATTTCTGTGTGCAATGCATCTCTCATTTTCTTGATTTCCTTTTCTCTTTTTTGAAGTGCAAATTTCTCGCCACAGTGAGGGGGCCAGACTATATGGAAGATGCAGTGTCTAATGATGAAACACTGTTTAAGATTGGTCAGTTGCAGCACGAACTTGCCAAAGTGTATGATTATGGACAAGGTGAGAATCAACACGATTCCCTGTGAATTGTTCTGTCATACCATTCAATCATTTTGCTTGTTGCACCTCTGAAGATGGTAAGACCTTAATTGTTGAAACCCTTTCTTTCTGAATCATTCTTCTAAAAATCACCTCAAACCTCACAAGAATTTTAGAGTTCTTCAGGAATCTAGTATATTGACCAGAATGTCCAATCGAGTAATTGTCCAGTATTTTTTGTTGTTGAATTGTACATGTATAGTGTTGCATAGTATACAATATTGACTGCTTCGAGTTGCGTAAAAACTAGTCTCCCTCGGTGATCCATGAAGCATTCTATTTGTCCTGAGGTGAAGCGAAGCCGAGGGAAAATAGAATGCTCCATGGAACACCGAGGGAGGCTAGTTTTACTATACCACAAGATAAAGCAGTCAATATGTGTTTTATACTGTCCCACAGATTCTGCTTGATTTTAAGTGATAACTGAATAATTTAATCTAAGTAGATATGTATTTCAATTTCAATCCGAATTTATTGAAAATTTACTTGCACTTTTCCAAACTACCCCTTCATGTAATGTTTGAACCCAGTTTTTAGCGCTAGCACTTGGAAACATTACTCGCAGCACGTACACGTTTGCACACAATACCGGTTCTTATGCATAGTACTCTGGTTGCTAGGGGGGTATAGTTCTTTGGTTGCTACGGGTATAGTACTTTTTGCCGTGCACAGCAAGATAGCAAAAATAGTGAATGCCATGTGACTGGCTCTCGGCCAGTCAAGACTCAGAATCTGTGGATGAGCTGTTATAATACATATTATGACACTAACCAACAGATTCTGTATCTTTACTGGCCGAGAGCTCGTCACATGGCATGCATGGCATTCCCTGTTTTTGCTATCTTGCTGTGCACAGCCAAACTTACTATACCTGTAACAATCAAAGTACTATACCTGTAGCAACGGTACAATACGCATAGCATCAGCATTGTTTGCAAAGCATACAGGCGCAGGAACAATACAGGAACAATACGCGCAGTGCACATCACACATGCCTATGTGTGATGTGCACTGCGCGTATTGTTCCCAAGTGCTTGCGCTACAGAGCTGGATTAAAACATGATTATTTTGATTGCTACTGTATAGATATGACACACTGGTCATAAATTTATAGTGGCCTTTAATTCATGTCTGCTTTACAGAAGCCAACAAAAGCAAGAAGAGATTTTCTCGGCGCATCGCTGCCAAGAAAGCTGCTGCGAGGAACAAAGAGAACACCACGCCAGCAAACTTCAAGAGACCCAACAAGGTTTCGTCTAGCTCCAAGCGTACAGCTCCCCCTCCCCCAGCCTATCCCCCACCACCCGTCTCATCCCCTGCGACCTCTGGTGACGATGACGTGTTTGTCAAGTCGGTTCTGGCAATTACTCCATGCCGCCGTCCCCCTATTCATCCACCTTCTAGTACTCCATCTGTTGACTGCAGTATTCCGCCCCCACCCCCTCCCCCACCAGCAAATGTGAACCGCACTGGGCCACTGAAAGAAAGGATTAATAATCAGGTGAGCATCATCAGGTGTAAGTGCTTCTAGCAGCTTTCTGAGTTAGGGAAGGAAAAAGAATACAGTACTTCTAGCAGTACACTCTTGTCTTGTTAATCCCTTTGTCAACAAACTGGCCCCTGTTATCAGATACTGTTGCTAATCCCCTGCAGTTGTCAATATCAGCTGTGTGACAGCACATGTGGCTTGCATGATTACACCAAGTGTTAGGGATTATAAAGCCACTGTTTGGACGAAGGATTAAGATAGATTAGAGGGCTGGCCAGTTTACAGTTAGATTCTCTGTTTTCTCTAATAGAAGTTTCTAGGGGAGGTTACTCGCAATGTTAGGTTGCTATACAATTTCAGTAGTTATACAATTTACCTATCACCAAGAAAACACCACACCCCTTAGACCACCCTATGGAATTCTGTTTGTCACGAGTTTTGTTTGTCTCAGATTTTGCGCGTTCTGCGTCCAATATTTCACAAGCTGTGTTGATGCAATTCTACCATGATAGGTTAATTACAAAGATCAGAGAGTAAAATTAGACTTCCAAAACGTCTTTGCAAAGAAAAAAAACTTCCTAGGATGCACAATTATGTTTGACTGAGCATATTCATGATTATTCAAACTTAGTAAAATGGCATATATGCTACAATGTACAAATAAATTACCTCTGCGTTGTATGCGTGTAGGGCTTTAAGAGGGATATGATGCAGAAATGTTCCGTGTTGGAGTTGGGAGCTATCAGACAGGGACTGACAACCCAACGCTATTAGAAAGTAGCCTGGGTGGAATTTGGACCTGGATTACACAGGCTGAAGGCAACGACAGTACAACTGTATCATCCTGCATTTTGTTTGATCCAGTGGGTTTAGGATTGTCTTTAAGAATGTTGGTTTGTCATGATTCACTCAAACAAAGGAAATTCCAGCCATGGATGTTTTGTCTGAAAGATTCTTATATTGTGGTTTTTGATTGTAGGTCAGTTTGGAAAGTCCAACGTACAAGTCCACACCTATTAAGCCAGGAGCGACACCCAACACTCCACGGACACCAGGAATCCACTCCGAGCTGAAACGCTACGGGTAACAATATCAATCTAGTGACTGTTTGAACTTCTTCAGCACCCGATTTCACGAAGCCCTGCGACGCGTCACAACTCGAGTTACGACGTGTAACACGTCGCAACTTGCGACGCGTCGTATAATCCATTTCACGAAACTTGCAATGAGTTGAACGCGTCGTAAGTTCCTTGACAACGGCTTAAAACGCGTCGCAAGTTACGGCGTGTTTAGTCATCGCAAAATAAGAAGAGTCCTTTTCTTAGCCAGTTTTATGCTATAAACATTTAAACGAGATTATACCAAGGCAATGCGTGTAAACTTGTAAATAAAAAAATCATTGAATAATTATGAATTAGCCTGAGGTATTGCAGTTGAAATTTCAAATTAGCTATACAGTCCACTGAAAGCTTGTTTTCCCTTAAAATTGCATCACACGGCCGCCATTTTGTTTTACGTTTTAACAAATTTGGAGCGGAGATCCGACGACTCTTTGTTGAATATCAGATGACGATTGACTTTACGCTGATTAAATACATAAAACAGTCACCGAGCTGTGCTACACCTACGACGCGTCACACTTACGACGTGTTTTGTGAAATGGATCGCAGGACGCGTCGCAGCTGCAACGCATCGTAGGGATACGACGTGTCGCAGCGCTGCGATGCATACAATGAGTTTCATGAAATTGGGTGCAGTGTCTACAGAAGGGCACCATTAATATTGACGCGATTAATATGCCAGCTGTTGAGTACTTGTTTTCTTCTTTCATGATGATTCAAATTGACTCGTACAGTGATTACCATATACATCTACATGATCTCAGTGTTTTCCCTGCCCATTCAAACGTGAGGCGGCCCTCCTTGCTACTTTCAGTGCCCACCTCGCTCAATTTTTTGCCAATATCACCACCTCGCTGTGAAGATTTACAATAAAGGAAATATCAATTGAAGAATTTCATTTTGTGTAATTTACATACATGTATATGAGCGTTTTCCTTGACCTCCGTGTATCAAGAACTCACCATATATGGATGTGTTTTTGGAATCGCGCAATTTTGTGAGCACTGCATACTTTTCAGTTTGCAGATTGTAAATTTTGTTTCAATCAACAATTTGAATTGTTACCACCTCGCTCAGTTCATTAGCCAGGAGAAACACTGCATGATCTGGCCTATGTATGTTTAAGGCATAGCAGAGGAAATATATTTAACTTTTGACTTTCTCTGACTGTTCAAACAGATGGAAGATTAATTTTGTGTAGTGCCATATATTTACTACTTAAAAACCAGCATTCCCTTCTATTATTAAACAAGAGATTCGAAACCATAAGAACGTGGAGAACGTCTTCAAGACAGAACTGTCTGTCAAAGTGGAATTTGAAAAAGAAAAAAAAAAACCCCAAAACCACACACACACACACAAACGTGTGTTCACCGGCGATCGTGGACGTCCTATTGTCCCTCTTTTGTTCTCTGGTATTTTTCGTCCACGGTTTGAAAAGGTGAACACGTACACACACGTTTGTTTATGGTGTAAACCAAGGATTTTCTTTTGTTCCTTTTTCCCTTTTCCTTTGTTTGTACTTTTTCGCAACAGCTCCCATTGGTTTTGTACATGTTTTCTAATCGAGGTCGTCCTCAATTTGGTTCCTGTCCTCGATTCACCGATGATGTTGCACATGTGTGTACTCGATTTACACCATAAACAAATGCCTAAAACACATGCTTCTATCAACACAACTCACCTTGTGTCCTTAATTAAAATACGTAAGCAGTGTACTTTAGAATAGACATAGAGAATACAATTTGAAAACTTTTCTTGTACTTTTTGCAGGTCATCGACTTCACTGAGCTCGATTGCCAGTGTCCACGATGAACTCCGCTCATTCGACAAGACCAGATTGAAGTCTGTATCCACAAAGACGTCAAAGAGGTAAAGAAAACTTGTTGAAATTTGTAAACTAAGCAACTGGTACAAAGATGTACTTGCCATCCATGTGTTATGCCTATGTTTGTTAATATCATGCGAAAACAGCTATGCATTGGTGCAGATCACATTTAAAAATCACAGGTGTGTGGAAAAAGGCACACCTGGATTTTTCTAGGCGTGTGATTTTTCTAGGCGTGTGATTTTTCTAGGCGTGTGATTTTTCTAGGCGTGTGGTTTTTCTAGGCGTGTGGTTTTTCTAGGCGTGTGGTTTTTCTAGGCGTGTGGTTTTTCTAGGCGTGTGGTTTTTCTAGGCGTGTGGTTTTTCTAGGCGTGTGATTCTGTGGTCCAAGCTGGGACTGAACAATCTTTTCTTTTCTTCATAATATTCATCTTGGTTTAAAATAAAGCTGTTTTCTCTTCACTGACGTACCTTATTTTTCACGAAAAGATTCCCATATGTGGCCATCACTTGTCACCCTGTGCACAAACTGTATGAGACTGGTCTGAACATTTCTAAGTGTTTTCTCAGTAAATACTGCAATATTTTCCCTGCTAAATTTGACTTTTTTAGGACATATCACCTTCTGATGGCTTAAAGGTCACTGAAGGGAAAAATTAGTGATGGCCAGATATGGGAATCTTTCCTTTTTCACAAATTATGAAGTACAATTATGCCGTAAATGTATGCCGAGGTGTGCGGTACTGGTGGATTCAGGCGTGCGATTATTCGCACTTCTCAGGAAGCATTTAGGCGTGTGATGGCGTGGGGGTGTGATCGCACGCCTCAAAACAGAAGGAATGCTAAGACAGTTTACCCATTCCCATTGGTCGAGAGCCCATCATGTGGCCGGTTTTAAACGGTTGATAAAATACCGGCTGGCTGGTCTTAAACACTTTACCAGTGTCACATGAAATTTGGACTCCTTTGAAATCCGATCCCTTTTACCCTTTTATTGGTTGAACGTTCACAATCCTCACGTAGGCATGCGCAATACTACCAATGAGTCACTATTTCATTGTCCTAAGTTAACACTACACCGTTACAGCTGCATTCTGCGCCACATTACGATCAGTACGCCAATCGCCATATAAGGAGATGTTTATGACTACTCGCGAAAGGCACATATCATAACATAGCTAGAGGAGTGTTTAAAAAAATCATGAAGTAAAATTGTTAAACTAAATTGTTGGAAACCTTTTTTTTTTTTTGCTCTTTGACCAAAAACAACATGAATGAGAATAAATATGTGCTTGGCCAGCATTAAAAACCCTAACCCCCTAGGCCCTTTTTGCTTAGAACCATCCTCAATCCTCCAAAATCCTCAAAAATTTTGCAACTCCGCCTAAATTTTTCAAAATTGTCAGACAGTCCTGCCTCAAAATGCATTCATCGTCAATCCTCCAAAATCCTCCTCATCCCAAAATTTTGCACTCGTGTTTAAATGCAGGATAACCCAACGCCAAATCCTTCAAAATCATCAGACAGTCCTGCCTCATAATGCATTCATCCTCAATCCTCCAAAATCCTCATGTGCTTCAATCACCATTCATCCTCAATCCTCCAGAATCCTCATTTGATTCAATCACCATTCATCCTCAATCCTCTAGAATCCTCCAAAACCACCAGGAGGATTTTGGAGGAGTGAGGTGGGTTAGGGTTAATTAAACAAGTCCATTTAAGACCAGCTGGGGGCCTGGTCATCGATAATATCCATCGTCTTCAGTTCGGGCTGTTATCAGCGTCCATTCCCTCAGCCAGTCTTAACCAGTTTGCGTCAGAGGACATGATAACACGCACTGGCTGTTTTTGTACACAGGCACGGCTGACGGGTTAAGATGTCAAGATTGCCTCGACTTGCCTCTGGGTGAGGTCTAAACACGCTAATCCCTCATGCTTTTTGTACACACACACAAAGTCCGTGAAGTCGGTTGAAGCGGACCGTGTGTTGATCTTGAATTGGCCGCTGTGCACGGCCTGTTGTTGTACAATTTATGCTTCAGTGCACACCCTGGTGTATTGAAACATATGAGGTTTCGGCAAGAAATATCGTACAAATACTGTTGAAATGACTCTTGCGAATCAGTCTTTGTGGCGTTTGGCTGTACATCAGAAGTTGGCTGGAAAATTTTGCCTTTTGCGAAAATAAAAATTTTCGGCAAAATTAATCCCGTAGCGAAGTGGTTTAACGGACTTGTTTAAGACTGGCCAAGCACATATTTATTCCCTTAGTGAAAGAGGGTTTTGAATGTTCAACCAATGAAATGTTAAAAGGCACCAGAATTCATGGGAGTCCACATTTCATGTGACACTGGAAAAGTGTTTAAGACCAGCTAGCCATGTCTTAATCATCCGTTTAAGACCGGCCATGTGACGGGCTCTCGACCAATAAGAATGGGTAAACTGTATTAGGTATTTAAGAATAAGGGAATAAATGTGTGTTTGGGAGGTATTATAACACTCTCTTTCAGACCGGTGGGAGTCTGGATTGGTGATAATTACCCGAGGCAAAGCCAAGGGTAATTATCACCCATCCAGACTCAAACCGGTCTTAAACACGTTTATTCTCATTCATAAATACCTTTTTGGTAAAAAAATAAATGCTTTTCCGTCCAAAAATCTAAACAAGTCAAAAACTAGACATTGCTAACCATTTTGCTCAACAAGTTGTATCAAACACCCCTCTGACTATAATATGGAATGTCCCTCTACAGTTAGTTACCTTATAAGGAGATTGGCGCGCGCGTCGCGCATACTGCGCGATGTTGCACAGAATGCACCTGGGGCGTTGCGTTGTGAATTTAGGACTTTAAAATACTGACTCACTGGTAGTATTGCGCATGCCTACGTGAGTATTATGAATGTCATCAAAAATCCAGTGAGAGGCACTGGATTTTTTTGGAGTCCAATCACACCAAACCGCAGCTCATATTAAATGGTGAGTTACTTTCCACTGTAGGAAGTCTGTTGTCATAATGCACTCCCGTCTGAGCTTGAACCATGGAAGGAAAGAGCTGGGGGTCACTTTTAAGTTGGGGGGTTTCTTTTAAGTTTAATTTCTTTTCCAATTCTGTCATCAGATCCCCAAGAAGCAAATCTCTGAAGACCCCACTGACGGCCAGGAAGCGTGTCCTCTCAGCAAGCATTGTCAGGGCTTCCATAACTGACGTCTGTGGTATCTCTACCATCAGTGCCTTTAATCAACAGATGGTGGACAAGTTTCGCAACGCACGCAGCCCAGTGACAGCCGTCAACAGTCCTGCTAGTTCTTTCAACAGCCCAACAGGCTTCACGCCATGAAGACATTTCACGCAGTAGGTTGGGACAAATAAGGTATACATGTAGTGTATATTTTTGTTGTAAATTGTCTTTAGGGCCGTCCATACAGTACATACGCACGAAAAGGGGGAGGGGGTTGTTAACATTGCGGACACCATACATGCCTCCCCCCCCCCTCCCCCGTATGCAGAACGATAATTTGCTTTTAATAACTTGTCATAAACTCAATGTCCTTTTTACCAGGACCAGGTTTTATGCATCGAAAATCTTTATCACACTTTACCTTGACCCCACTCTAGATTTCTTCCCAGTGCCACTGGCAGCCAACGCCTCCGAGGTCATTAAATTTCAGAGAACACAAAATGATAACAAGACAATTGTGATACGGGCCCCTCTTTAGTTTTAGTCAAGTTGTTGGAGTCGAGCTTTTTTTTTTATTATTCTAAATCAACTTCTGTAACTCAATGCTGACTTCTTTTAAATCGAACAGCAATATTTTTTTGAAATTTGAACAGTAGAAAACGTGATTTTTGTACGCATTTTACAGTTCATGTATTGAACGTGGTTTTGCGCATTCAGTTTCACAGAGCGTCGCAATGATCCCCATCTTTAGTTTTGTATTTTGTCGTCTTTGTCATCATTTTACCCCAATATTTCCCACAAGAAATCAAAAACCTGCCCTCTATCCATGACACTTGTTGGTTTTTAAATGTTGCTAACTTATTTGGTAAGTTCAATAAACTAACTACTTCACAATCGCCAATAAAAAGACTGCTTCAATGGTCTAAGACCTGATGACGTCACGCTTTGTTTATGCGCTTTCTGAGGAAAGCGGATATATAAACAAAGCATGACGTCTTAGGTCTATTAGCTGGCAAGCATAGTGCATTCGTATGCTTTGTAATGTACATACAGTACATGTTTATTGTACACCGGAATGCGTATGCGTACAGGGAGAGGGGGGGGGGCCTAAAAAGCTGGAATTTCGTGCGTACATGTATACTTTTTGGATTGCCCCTTTTGGAGAAAAATCTAAATTTGTCATAGATGGGGAAAAATACTCTTCATTAACGATCCAACTTCGTTGTATTAAGTATTATTTTCAGGCAAGGAAATGCTTTGATGCAAGTTCATTGTACATGTACATGAAACTAAAGACGCCCTGTTGTTGACTAAAGATTTGCTTGCGCCACGACGGAACCATCCAGGTCAAGCAGATAAACAATGCTTAGATCACAAAGCCATGCTCGTCAACCATGATGCGACAATCCCACAGCATATATAGACAGTCATGTGATTTTTTTCACAATAAGCATGTTTAACCGCACGCTGATTGGCTACACTACTGCAATTGACTACCTGTCGGGAACACATTGCAGAAATTAAAAATTTTCTACCGTTGGGACTGTTTATTTGTGCTTAGCATTGCTTTTGAAAAGTCGGTCACCGACTGTTGTGTGTCTACACTGCAAAGTCAGCCTGAGGGAACCTTAAACACGACTATTGTGTCTGTCATGAAATAGTACAAAAGGTACTTTTGAGAGCTGTTTTTCAGGTCCTGTTTCGACCCGAACGTGCAATTTGTGTAAAAGTCGTCGTTGGGGCAGCAAATAAAACATAGTAAATCGTGACGTAATAAACAGGACTCCCGATGCAGCAAAGTATAAACGAGTCCTGTTTATTACGTCACGATTTACTATGTTTTGTTTGCTGCCCCCAACAACGACTTTTACACAAATTGCACGTTCGGGTCGAAACAGGACCTGAAAAACAGCTCTCAAAAGTACCTTTTGTACTCATTTCATGACAGACAAAATAGTCGTTTTTATTTCATCACACCTTAGGCTACATATTCCCGAAAAATGACGGAAATGTCTTCGAGCATTCCACAACCTCTTTAATGTTTCCTTGATGGACAGACCCTGTGACTAATGCCAAAAAAAAGTCAGTCTCTGGTCAGAATTGATGCAGCATTTTTTTTTTTTCAAGCTTGGATTTTACAGACAAGGTCAAGATTGGTACTATTTTGCTTTTTTTTTGTGGTCTCATATACATTGGTGTCCTCCATAATTTGCCTTGGTGCCCTCCATCACTTGGAGTTGAGCTGCCCATGAAAATTTGAGGCGGTGGGGCAATAGAGGGGGCTGTTGTAGCTACCACGGAAAATTCAAAGAAAAGAAACAGTTGACGCGCATGATCAACATCGACGCGCGCTGACCTGAGAAGGACATTTATTTTATTTTTTGGCCTCGGGGTGTATGTATATTTGCTTTCGATTTGTATCAAAAATTCTTGTGGAGAAGTATACTCAACACATGTACATGTATTCCTTTTTTTCTAGGTATGGGATCTGTTAGTCTTTGGTCTGAAATAAGACTTTTTGAATCTAAAGCAGTTGTATATATCTTTGCATACAATGTCATTTATGAGTGTACAAAGTAACATAACACGTATTTTCAAACCTTATCCATGTTATCACCGTGTTTCTTTTTGAATTACTAGTGCTTTACTTGTATTTTTATCTTTGTACTTGATTACATCTAGTTAAAAGACGCAAATGTGTCTACGAGTAACAAGCTGAAAGTCAAAATAAAGATTCAATATGTGCCTTCTTTTGATATGTAACAAATCAAGTTTGCTGTTTGCTTAAAAATGCAATGTATTAATTTATGCTTGGCGTGCACATTTTTTGCAGATAAAGCTAATTTCCTTTTTCTGGGAGCTTCTACATGGCTTTAAATACATGTATAAAGAAAAAAACACAACAAAAAAAACACTCTGAGTCTTTTAAAGTTTGCAATTCCCTCCTTTTTTGTCATTTTCAAGTTGCATATCTTATGTTTTATTTCAAAATATTGAATATCTTTAAAAAAAAAAAAAAAATTCCCAGGATGTGATCAAGTACTGACAATGCTTCTTATCATGCTTTGTAAATTACATATGTTTGCAAGCATGGTTAGTTTTACGGTAAAATAAAACTGGAAGGCGACAACAGATCACGTTGTTAGGTCCTTGTTTAAACATTTGGGGAAATTTGTAAAATGATTTCAAACTGTTTCCGTTTAAACATGTAAATAAAAGCCACATCCTCAACCTGAAGTTGAATGATGCCAATGGATTAAGATACATTCTTAATATTTCTTTCACCTTATAATTATAAGTCTGTAAACTTTAATAAATAAATAATATTGTTAACAATGTACATTGTATATTAGATAAAATTTACAAAAAAAACCTGTACAGTAGATTAAAATACTTGGATGTAAGGTGTACAGCCAGCCAATCGTGTTCCAGAATTGTAAAGTCTAAGAAGAAATCACGCAAAAAGAAACTGATATAGATGCTGTTTAAAACAAAAGGATGTTAGAGAAAATAAATGCATGTATTTATAGCTAAAACATGTCCCACTGTCTTTGTATTGCACTCATTAGATTGTTTGTGTTCTGATAAATTTGGACAATTTCCAAAACACTGTGTTCATTTTGGAATGAACTTCAATACTGGGTTGCGCCCGTCAGCAACACAAGATGTCTTTGTTAATCTATGACTAAAAAGCCACTGACTAAAGAAAATGGATTATACTATGTACCCATTATGAGAAAAAAAAACACAATACAACTCCTTTCTTACTAACAGCTTATTAACAGGCCCAAAGTTAATGCCTTCAGTAGTAATAAGTCAAACTAAATTCTACATGAATGATTTTTTTTGTAAATACAATGTCTTGGTTTTATCGAAGGAAATTCTCACCCATTTCGACATATTTGGTCATAGTCTAAGACTCCCAGTGCTGGCCTTTGTGAGCCGATCTGTAGGAAAAGCAAAACAAAAGTGTGCATATAATGAAAAAAGTTTTGAATATTTTTTTTTACTTGGGAGAAAAACTTGAATTTGAAATACTGTTGGAGTGAAATAGTTGAAACAATTTAAGGTAAAATAACCATTCTACTGAAAACAAGTACTACTTTCTATTTGAATACATATTATTCAATTTAATGGCAAACAACATTTGAATAAAGATAAATTGATAAAGTTGTCTAAAATAAGAGAAGTTTGACTTACCAACGATGTTCATCTTGCAGAGTGGGCAGGTGCGTTTGTTAATCAGCCAGAAATCAACACACTTGCAGTGGAACTGATGATAACAGGGCAAAATGCGAATCATCTGCAAAGATTTCACATCAAATAAAACCAAACAGAATCACTGATTTGTAAACATATTTATTGCCCGCCCATCACCACAATATACATGTACAGTGGCTCAGAGTGGAATGGGAGGAATACTACCGCAAGGTAAACTCTGGACTTTTCCATTTCATGAGGCGAAGCTAAGTGAAGTGGAAAAGTCCAGATTTTACTGAGCGATAATATTCCTCCCATTTCACAATTTAAAGCCACTCAATATTTGTTTTATATAGATGACATATAGATCCTTGTCCTTTGATATATTTGAACTTTCAATTCAATATAAAATTGGTGTAAAATGTATTTTTCTCTTCCAAACCACCCCTGCATAATATTTGACCCAAGCTCTGTAGCGCTGGCTCTTTGGAACAGTACACGCTATGCGCAACGCTCAATGTCCATCCTTGCATGCATTTGCACACAAATACTGCGACATGGAACAAGGATGATCCTAACTGTTGAATAGTAAATCCCATTCACTATGGGCGAATGGAACTCTTTGAGCCCCGGCGTGAATAGGAGCAATAATGAATGTCATGTGATACGAGTTCACCAATCAAATGACAAGGATCTGTATGCAGTTTTATAACAATGATCACAATCCAGTTTAGTACGAAAACATTTAACCACAAAGACAATGTTCTCAACAACACCAGGCATATTTTAAATTCATTGCAAACCATATGGCCTTTTAGTGCTGACAAGACAAACTTTGTTTCTTAAAAAAAAAAACTTTACTTAAAAGCCCTACATAACCAACTAAATTGATTTTACAATCCTTTCTGCACGCAATTCTGCCACACCATTCGGTCTTGCTCTTCCTAACTCCCACAGAATCCTATAAACACTGTAGGTTTCATGCATACCTTCCCAGGTATAAACTCTTCTAAGCAGATAGCACAGCATTCCTTGTCCCTGCTTAGCACATAGCGTTTCCTTTTGTATTTCCTAGCTGGCATCTTGGAGAGGGAAGATTTGGCAAGTCGCTGTAAGCAACTCTGCTTGACAGGAAAACAAACAATGATGATGCACTTAATTAATATCAGTATGAAGCCCAATCATCACTATACACTCCTTCAGTTTCCAGAGACGCCTCAGGGTCTGCTTGAAAAAAAAAACGGAAAAGGGTCTGCTTGAAAAAACCGGAACGGCTGCTTGAAAAAAACGGAACTTTTTGTGTGTGAAAAAACCACTCTGAGTCCGACACAAAGTCCCCATTGTCATCTTTATTTTGTGGCCAAGCCCAGTTCCATTTATTTGTTATTTTTGCTTCTATGGCCTTTAAGCTGTCTGTTCGTTCAATCACTTTGACTTTTTCTATTTTCCTAATATTTATTCTGCCTATCTGAATTTCCAACGTACTAATATTCGACATGGAACATTCACGATTCCAAAACCCTGTCACTGTACATGACCTTTGCACAACGTGATGCCCATGACAAAAACATGGTTGTTGGTTCCTGGCGTTTTTTGTATTCACATATAACACTGCGATCGGAAACCACCGATAACTGAAATAATAGACTTGATTTCCAGGCTTAATGCTTTGTGTGCTTCCAGTAGGTAAAACTACTGGAAGAGACTTAAGAAATGAAGTATGAACATATATAACCTGCCATACAGGGTGAGTTTAAACAACAAATGTCAGGACCATTGTTTTAGTGAAGTTCTGCATGTAGCACTTCCAAAATCTAGGATATGAAAGCCCAATTCATAAGCTTTTTTTTTAGTACAACAATCATTCAAATCACTTATGTACTTTTCAAGTTACGGACTTTTAAACACAACCACCGTTTTAAAGTTCTGTCCACGATCACAAAAAGGTAAGTGTTCTTTCAGCAAAACGGAAACAAATCACACAGGGATGTGGTGATTTGTTTTTGATTTGCTGAACGAACACTTACTTTTCATGTTCTTTGTGGTTCAGTAAAGGAAAGGGTAAAAAGATAACCAACAAAATTTGAAATTGTTATTTTTAAGAATTTTTTGTTGGAAGATTGCATTAGAGACGAAACATTCAGTGTTGAGGGTAAACATCGTCTCTAACGCAATCTTCCAACAAAAAATTCTTAAATAATTTCATGTTTTGTTGATTATGTTTTTACCCTTTCCTTTACTGAACCTCAAAGTACATGAAAAGTAAGCAGTAAAGGAAAGCATGAAAAGATTTTAAGAAATCAATTTTAAGAACCCCCTTTTGTTGGAAGATTGCGTCAGAGACGAAATGTTCACACTGAACTTGCACGTATACAAAAGTGCAACTTTTTTCGATATCATTTGTCATAAATTGCATCATTTCATACACATTATCACTGTTTTGGGCCAAATAAAGAGTATGGCTGGACTGCTAGGGAATTTCTGTACTGATTAGTCATTATTTGAGCAAGAGGTACCAAGTAGTATAGCAGGGAAAATTTTGTTTTGGTTGATTGCATTACAACAAAGTACAATTTTCTGAGACATCACTTCATCAATGTCAGAGCCAAGCAAAACAGGCACATCAGCTAGCTTCCATATCTGAACGCCAACTTTTGGACCGACTTCTTGAATTTCTGAAGATACCAAGGATTCTCAGAGTTAGTCTACAGTCTATCATGGCTAGCTTTCACACTACAAAACCAGTCAAGTGACTATGCATACAGTTAACAACACTTCATTCTCTTACCTCCACATCTTCACTGAATTCTCGTTCTCCCCATGTGATCCACTTTCCATGTAGAACAAAAACTAAACACACCGTGCCGATTACTGATAATAGAGTTGTCCAAAAGCTTGGAAAAATCTGAAATAAAAACAACGAAATCTTGTATCATGACTGGAAATATTCCACCTAAGCTATCCATTTTTTATAAGATTTGAGGCTTTGCATGGTGGGGTATCGGTATCGTTTCGGTTTGCGGTAACACCATGTGGTAATAACTACTGCTTAGAAGATATTAGTTCTGAAAAGAACTTGTCCTACTTATTATCAACTTTGCTAAGTAGTTTTTTGTTCTGTTAAGAACAGTCCTGCTGTAAGTTCTAAACGAACTTGTCTTTGGTCTCAACGTTTCGACTAGCCTGCTCTAGTCATCGTCAGGAGACTGACTATCCATTTTTTCTTTTCATATTCAGCAATCGTTCTTCTTCTTCATTCATTCATTTTCATGATGACTTGATGAGTTGGGCCCAACTGTCCCTGTCGAGCATAGTGTTGGAAAGAGATGGACCACTCAGACCAGTTTCTAGCTCGATGGATGTTTTCAGGGTCATGTTGGGACGACCTTTTCGTCGAGGGGCTTCAGGATTCCAGAAGAGAACTTGACTAGCTGGCTCATTACTCCATGATTTTGAAAAACAAAAGGCATAATGGGTTGCCAGACTTACTTTTGAATGTCCGTGCCCCGATCCCAGGCACACGACGCCTTCCCATTCCTTGTACGTCCCTCCGTTTGACCGACCACATGTAGACCAGAGAGTCAGCCTGGCTGTACTCTACGCAGGAAAAAATGAAATAAAGAAAGAATAGAAAAAGTACAAATGACCAAAGTTTCCCCAATACTGTCCAACTACAGGGCGAGTCCAAAAAAAACGGAACCCTAACCCAAAAATATATATTTCATATTTAAGAAAATTTATGTACCAAACATAATAATGACTGTGCCAATTTCATAAGCTATTTTTAGATGAATAAAAAATAGCTGAAATTGCTCAATCCGTTCAAAGAACATCACCATTGAAATGCAATGACCCTAAAACCTGTTTCGTCCCCCCAAAAAAAGCGGTTTAGTTGTGTATTCTGACTGTTTGGAACAACAAAGAAAATTACACAGAATACTTGTTTCAACAACTGTAGTACACAATATCTTTATTAAAGGGAATGTACATCATTGGCTTTTGCTGTAATTTTTAGAAATGATCTATTTGAGGGGTTAGTATAATAGATGAAATATTGTTACCCTAAATTGTTTGAAGTTTTGTGTTTGAAAATGCTGGAAAAACCAAGAAAAACAAAAATGTTTACGCAGTCTTGTTCCCTGACTCCACTCAAGATGAAATAGATCAATATTTATAGATGCCGGAAAATTGTAAGGTAAGGGAACCAGTCTAGCCTACCTGCACCCGTTCATAAACATGTAACCAATAGCAAACAAAATTTGGACTGAAAAAATGGTAAATTTGGATCAGTAGTTGAAAAATAGTCAGGTTTTTTCAACGATGGTCGGCCGACCACCGTTGGAAATGTATACAAAAATACTATTTTCTTGAAAATGACTTCACACCAGGTGCCATAATTTTACAGGATGCTTTCCACTGTCATTTATCAACATCCTAGTAAAGTATTTCGTAAAAACTTGGTAGTTTTATTTTTCCATGTTTGCAAATGATGTATATTCCCTTTAACAACCCTAGTTAGGCAAAGAATATGATTTGTAGAATCCATATTTTTGTAAAGATGGACCATCAAAAGGACTTTGTTTAACTTTTAAACTGAGGTTTTATCACTGGTGATGTTCGAAGACAATTGTGACGATTCTTGAAATTGCATTTTTGGACGAAAGTTTTTAAATGGTGATATTCTTTGAACGGATTGAGCAATTTCAGTATTTTTTTTCATCTAAAAGTAGCTTATATGTTTGGTGCTACATATTTGTTTAAATATGAAGTAGAATTTTGTGGGTTTGGGTTCCGCTTTTATTGACTCACACTTCATGTACAGCCGGCCTTCTTGACAAGGATAACATAAGATTTTGGGGAGTCAGGTTGGCGTAGCGGTACTTTCCTTGCCTTCCACCGCTGTGCCCCAGGTTCGATTCCTGCCTGGGCCAATAAGTGGATTCGGTTTTCAGCCCCTACTTGATTCCTTGGGTTCCCGCCAAAATAATCTTCTGGGATTTTCCTCCCACATCTTAAACTGTAATTTCTTCACACTGTCTTCCCTTTACTGGGCCCCATGGGAGACCAGTGGATTTCACTAGAATGGGCTACCTAGTTAAAATTTAAAAAAAAAAATTTAAAAAAATTAAAAGATAACACAAAATTCATACACACTAGTGGCTCAGTTCTGAAAACCTCATTATACTTACCCAGTAGAAGGACTGTGGTTTGGTGACCTCGCTTATCTTGACACTAACTGCTGATTTTCTGTAGAAGAAAACAATACATCCATTGGAGGAGACCACTAATGTAGATTTGGGGAAGTTGGTAAAAAATACATTCCACTTTTTCTGACAGTCATATATGAAAGTTGATGAATGGGCATCATTCGTCCAATCACGAAAGTCTGAACAATATTCATGTATCTTCATCAAGATCAAATTGGGCTCTGCAACAGCAATGTTAAGTTGGTTCTGTATATGTATGGTTCTGAGTGCAGAAGAGTGGCCAAAACATGTATTTCACAGCTTTTGCCCACGCAAGATTTCCAATGCTTTCTGGCCTAATATGATCTCCAATGAGAACCTCTACAACGGCAAGAACATGTCCCTTGGATCAAGATGTGCAGATTAAAGCCGTGTCCGCACTGGCCTTTTTTTTTGGAAGGTTTTACCGAGATGATGGTAAAACGAGAAATGGTCAAATGTGACCACTGTCCGCACTTGGACTTTCGACATGGGAAATTTTACCCAGACCGCGTGGGAGAATTTAACCGAGCTGTCACTGTGTCGGTATAATGACTCACCGTACGCAGAAAACAAAATTTTCAGCCGCAGATACGCACATTTTCAGCCGCCGATACGCACATTCATATTACACACGCCATTTGCATGCACAACTTAATCGTTGATACGATATTATTTCATCTTGACACGCTAAATCTTGACGAAAACCCCTATATTTCTGACGCATTGTGATGCACGACATCGAAGCCATGCTGCTGTACGATGTTCCGTGCGGAAGCAGTGCCATCGGTATTCGTTGGTTCCCATCGCATGCTAACAGAATCAAAGCTATGATGTAGGACCAGAACCAGTGACTATGGCCTACGTACGGTACCGGACCATGATGTTCCGTGCATGACTACAGTAGGGTATCAGGACGAATTCGGATCGTAGAAAATACCTAACAAACATCGGTGGAGAAAAGGGAATTTCTGCAAATTAATTCCCACAATGTGATCTCTCTTTTTTGTGTATGTATTTCTCCGTTGAAATATATTTGTAACGAGATTTTACCGTTTGGACTTGATGATACACCGCAGCGTGTTTCTACAAAATTTTCGGCCACTGCACGTGCAGGTTTGTGCGGTCTCTGTATGCATAACAGGGCGCTCGGGCCGGATGTACGCTTTCCTGAGCCGCTTTTACCGACTCGCACTGTCTGCACTGGACTTATCGTCTCGGGAAAAGTGACCTGGTCAGTTTTCCTGGACACCCGGTCAATTTTCCTGGGCAGCAGTTGGCCAGTAAAAGTAACCGCTGGACTCAGGAAAAGTAACTGAGAGGAAAACGTCTCAGGCTGTCCGCACTGGACTTAAAATGGGAAAAGTACCCATAGTCTTGGTTAGTTTGACCAAAAAAAGTCCAGTGCGGACAGGGCTTTCGATGGCTTAATTGTCCACGTTAATGACAGGCTACCTAAGACAACTTTCTGCTAGAACCCAATTAGAAGAAGGGAGACAGGTAGGGCTAAGACCACCTAGTGAAGAAAAAGTAAAGTAAAGTCTGTCCCGAGCCAATATGGCCCATCAGGCCGGCGTTTATCTCTGGTTTCAGTGAAAACGACAGAATATTTCTATTCCCCCTGGATGGGATGCCAGTCCATCACAGGTTACTCCCCATCTAATGCTGGTACCCATTTACACGTATACTCCTGGGTGAAGGGAGGCAAGTGGGGTGAAGTGGCTTGCCCAAGGACACAACGTATAGCCAGCAGCTGGATTCGTACCCCTGACCCTCTGATCATGAGTCACAAGCCCTAACTGCTAGGCCACACTTCACCTGGCGAAGAAGTGTTGACTAAATTGAAAGAGATGGGATGAAGCGAGGCGCAAGCCAAAGCTCAAAATAGAGGCAAATGGAAGAAGTTCATTGCAACCTTATGTCCTACCAGGGGCACTGAGAATGACCAAAGTTAACTCTTTCCCCTCTGGTACAATGTATGTCTCTAGGGGTGCAAAAACATTCTACAGCTACTTGTCTGAGGGTGATTTTAACCCTTTGAACCCTCAATTATATATGAGCGTTGACCTCTTGACCCTGAATTATTTACATATATTATCTCAGATTAACATATGTTTTGTTTTCAACTTACTTTGCGCTGTTAAGTGTAATCTATGTGTGTACACATGTCTATATCATTGAATAAAGCTTGTCTACTATCCTACAGGGTATAAATCAATGTGAACAATATATCCAAAATACTGTTTGGTTGGCGTTACCATGGAAACAGGGTCGATTCTGCCTCGTACCTTTTTGTTTTGATACAAAGCTTTAGTGCTGCCGGAGCCAGAGGCCAAGTTGCCGCCTAGCCTAACATTACCGGTTGATGCAGTGCACGTGCATTGTTGTCATTCACCGCACTAACCATGCTAACGTCAGAATCATCGGTAAAATCACTGTCAGATTCGCTTTCAAAATCGGCAGAATTACCGTAATCAGATGCATCCAAATCTTCATCATCGTCATCCAATATCTGCGCAAGTGTACTGGTGGCAGACATGCGTTTGGCCGCCATTTTTTCTTTTTTTTCCGCTCAGATACGGTCGACAACTTCTCGAAAAGACGAAGAACACGTAGCCTAGTGCCCCGTAGACAAACTCTTCCATAACAACCATTCTGATTGGCTTAAGCCCGCTCGATATGTCAAAGGTTATCTGAAGTAATGGAGAAGCCGCTTTTGCGGCTTTTCGGGTTGACGCACTTTCACGGGGAAGCCGCTTTAGCGGCATTTCGGGTTCAAAAGGTTAAATATTGGTGCCATTACATGTGTTCAGGCTGTGCACACACTCGTCACTTCACTTTGTCATGGAGAAATAGCCATGGGTGTGAAGGCACATTACATGGAAATAATTTTGTATCAAACAATGTTCATGTCTACACATTAACAAATATTTCTCAGAGAGTTGTGTCATTTGGGGTATCATTCAGCAACCAAACTGGCATTGCAAAGTGCACATCAAGGACCAACACTGCATAGGACAATGGTGTTTTCCCCTGAAATCATTTTTGGTTTTTTACTTGATTCAATATTCCTCTCTCACAGAGATAAAGCAAACTCACCCTTGCACTGCTTTCTGCACCTTGGATATGCCCACGGCTTCTTGAATAATAACAACTGGTTGTTTGAAGAGCTGCTGGACATCCAACTGGTGTGGCCAAAAAATTCAATTTCTAATTTAGTCAAAGTTTAGTTTCCTTTGTTTTGTTTCATTTGTTTGAAAATCTATATCCTCAGGTACCAGGTCTGACGTACGACCACTTCTAGACTAATGATGTGCATCGGGTCGGGTCGACCAGGCCAAACCGAACCGAAACATTAGAAATACAAACCGAATCCGAACCGAAACCGATCTTAACTCCCTCAAACCGACCTGACCCGACCCGACAAAAAATAAGGTAAAACCGACCCGAACCGAAAAAAAAAGCGAATACCTGGCTTGGACAAAGTGATCACTTTTTTGTGCCTACCCTTACCCACATGGCATGAAGTCTTTTGCAAAACCATCGTCTTTCTCTAGTGGGTTGATCGAGAGTAACTCCAGTTATTGAACAAACGCATGGTCACCATGCGGTATCATGAAAACTGTTACAATCTATCTACATTTGTATTTCACTGTCAGTCCCGATTCTACTGGCGAAATAAATACAGTGGGAACTTGATAGTGCGTTCGTTGGCCAATGGGCTGCGGTCACAGTGACTGTCAATAATATTGCATCACCTGAATTTCTCAACTCTTTTGGTTTATTTCGGTTTATTTCGTTTTTTTTCAAAAGATGGCTAAACCGACCCGACCCGACCCGAAAATGTAAATGCAAAACCGAAACCGACCCAACCCGACTGAAAAGATGAACAAACCGACCCGACCAAACCCGAAGTCGGTTTCGGGTCGGGTCAGGTTGGGTTGCACATCATTATTCTAGACGCCGTGTTTCTGCCGTGCCGAACTCAACTAATTTGACTTTTTGCAATCAGCACGGCGGTGGCATGGCGATAGCACGGCGTTTAGAACCATTTGGCTCGGCGAATTGAGTTCAGCACAGCACCATCATTTAGGGCAACAGGGCTGCTGCCTATCGTCGTTCATAATGGCAGTGGCACGGCACTGTTCTAAAAGCCGTGCCGAATTCAATTCAATTTGAAGTTAGGGCAAACATTTTAGGAATGCGCATGCTCACAATACCTTCTCTGCATCACGTCTGCATCACGGGAAGTGAAATTGGCACGAACAGTTTGATTGCGTTGCAAGTTCATTGAACTGCTTGAAATGCTTTAACCAATACTCCAGATGCATTAAGGTCCGACTATTACGTACGGCAGTTTAGATTAACTGCAGTGCTGTAGACGAGCTATTGCCGCGCTCATTTCAATTAAGTTCGGCGCGACAGTAGTATGCCATCTAGTCTTGGCTTAGGACAGCACAAGATGGGCATGTTGGGACAACACTTCAATGCGATCAAAGCTGGGTAGGCCAAAGAAAATCAAGTTTCTCAGCTGTTTTTACTAACCAACATGTTTGTTTCTTTTACTCCTGTGACAAAAATGTACAGGTAGCCTACTGTGCCAAAATATCGTGGGCTAGGTCACACTTTGGTATCCCAGATAGAAAATAACATCTGAAGTCGGCTGTGAATAAAACAGCACTCTGTATTAGTACAGTGCTACTTGCCTCTTTCAGCAGAGCTGGATTCATGGCCAGGACTATCAGGGCAGAGGCACCAAACAGCATTGCATTCTTGACCTGTAGATGCAATGGATAGAAAAGGTCCTCAAATCAGCCCAGGAACTGTAGATAATGTCGTTTCAGTTTGTGATATCACCGTGAGGTGATAACTACTGTCACTCAGTAGATATTTAGTTCTGATAAGAACTTGCCCTGCTTATTTTCCACTTTCGCTAAGTACTTTTTAGTCTGATAAGAAGAGTCCTGCTTAGTTTTAAAATAACTTGTCTTTGATCTCGACGTTTCGACTAGCCTGCTCCAGTCAGTCAGGAGATTCCTGACAATGACTAGAGCAGACTAGCAAAACTTGATAAAAAGCAGGACAAGTTCTTATCAGAACTAAATATGTACTGGGTGACAGTAGTTATAACCACATGGTGTTACCGCAAACCGAAACGATACTGATACTCCACCATGCAAGTCGACTCTCGTCGGACTGCAACAAAGGCACGCCACACATCACGGTCTCCCATGGCCGTCCTGATCTCGGCTGCGGAGGCTAGCCCAGTATCATGATGCAGAGCTGTCCACGTAGGTTAGCCTGCATGCCATTCTCATGAGAATCAAGAAAGGACTCATCCCACCACTGTTTCAGAGTTTGTACAATTGCATTGGGCATCCAGAGATAGCTGCAAGCCAACTCATCTTATGGTAACCCACTCATGCAGTAGCCTCTCGAGGTGGGCAGACGCTAACCTACATGTACATGGACCACAAAGCAAGAGGCTCGACTCGATGGCTGCTACACTCGCATGCTGAGGATGGTTCTAGATGTGAGTTGGAGAGACAAAGTCAGGAATGAGGTGCTCTAGCTATGGCAACCTGCCAAAGATCTCAACAACTACCAGACTTAGGCGTCTGCGATTGGATGGTCACTGCGTTCGGCATCCATGAGTGGGAATCCACTCATGAAGTAGCCTCTAGTTTCTCGAGGTGGGCAGACGCTAACCTACGTGGACCAGCTGCATCGTGATACTGGGCTAGCCTCCGCAGCCGAGGTCAGGGCGGCTATGGGAGACCGTGATGTGTGGCGTGCCTTTGTTGCAGTCCGACGAGGGTCGACTTGATGATAACTGTAGACTCAAGAAAGGACTCATCCCACCACCGTTTCAGAGTTTGTACAGTTATTCAAATGACGTGCACAAACCCATACCCGTCTTTCATTTGACTGGAATAAACCTTAGCATTAGTGTCAAGTGTAAGTGTCGCACAACAGTAGGCCTAAAGAAGTGTGCCCCCCCCCCCCCCCCCCCGGCCCATTTTGCTACTATTTAGCTCACACACTGTACCTTCAGCCGAAATACTTTCTGGAATGCATGCATCAAATTTGTTAGCAGTACAATGCTTTAAACATTTCCAACATCTTAGATGGAGATGATCACGACTTTCACTACGACCGTTTATAAACTAGTACTGTATTTGGAATTTGTACCTGATCCAACAGTGAGCATGTAGTGGGCTTGGAGCTGGTTTGTTCCTTGATAGTTTCTTCTACTGACGGTAGATATATGAGTCCAATCCACTCCTCCTTGACAACAGTAATTCCACTGAGAGGTTGGGTGGACTTGGTGCAGTTCCTAGGGAGCTGTTGGACAATGAAATGAAATCAGAAAATGTATGAGCCTGATCATACAAACTGTATTGGGGAGTCCATGCCATATATATATATCTTGATGGCGTTGCAGCAACCTTTTCTGTACTGCAACTTAAAGGGAAAATACAACATTTGCAAACATCAAAATATAAAATTACCAAATTATTTTGAAATACCTTGCTGAACTGTAAGTGAATGACAGTCTAAAGCATCCTGTAAAATCATGGCACCTGGTATACTGTCATTTTCAAGAAAAGTGGTATTTTTGTATCGATTTCCAACGCAAGTCGGCCGACCAGTGTTGGAAAAAAAACTGGCTTTTTTAAATACTGGCCCCAATTGATCATATTCAATTAGTCCGGTTTTGTTTGCAATCTATTACACACTTAGGAACGGGTACAAGTAAGCTAGACTGGTTGCCAGACACAAAAAAAAGACCGCATGAGTGCAGTGGGGGCACCGAGCCAACTAGCCCGACTGCGTCTGGCCGTACAGTACTATCGCAAGCTCTGTAGTACGGCCAGACGCCCGATGCTTCCACAGAGACTGAATTTTGTTGGCCGCCGATGTAGCGATTCTGCTACATCTTTCGATCGCGATTATCTTTTCATCCAGGACACAAATTTCCGAAGTTAAGGTTCGTAGTCGAAGAGCAACTCATACCTTTTCGAAAAAACGTTGTTTGGTCTCAATATTTTCATCCATCTGGCCACAAGACGAATTTCAGTCATCAGATTCCACAAATATTGTCCCCCAAGCGATCCCCCATGCGATTTCAAAATGGCGGCCGCGCTGTAATGTATGCAATATGCAGGCGCGCCCGCGCAAACTCATGAATATGCATAAACAGTCTGTGACGTATGACCTCATGTTTTTGGACGTGCGTGCGGCGGGGCCGTACGTCCAAAAACACGAGGTCATACGTCACAGACTGTTTATGCATATTCATGAGTTAATGCGGGCGCGCCTGCATATTGCATACATTACAGCACGGCCGCCATTTTGAAATCGCATGGGGGATCGCTTGGGGGACGATATTTGTGGAATCTGATGACTGAAATTCGTCTTGTGGCCAGATGGATGAAAATATTGAGACCAAACAACGTTTTTTCGAAAAGGTATGAGTTGCTCTACGACTACGAACCTTAACTTTGGAAATTTGTGTCCTTGATGAAAAGATAATCGCTATCGAAAGATGTAGCAGAAACGCTACATCGGCGGCCAACAATATTCAGTCTCTGTGGAAGCATCGGGCATCTGGCCGTACTACAGAGCTTGCGATAGAGCCAACATGCTCCATCACTCATGTGGTCTTTTTCCTTGACTCTCCGTAGACCTTGTAGTTGTACACAACCGCTGAAGTGACATCTTGGATACTACATTCGGAAAGATTCCCATATCTGGCCATTATGATCACTGATTTTTCCTTTCAGGAACCTATCAGCTATCAGAAAGAAAGTGATAACAATATGTCCCAAAAGGTCAAAATTTTAATCAGAGAAAATATTGAAGCAACTAGCAAGTCTGAGAAAACATTTAGAAATTTTATTTTTAATTTTTATTTTATTACACTTCTCCACTGGCTGATGATATAAAAATAAATATTACAAGGTATACAGAATCACAGATAAAAATATTACAGAGGATTTACGATTTCAATACAGAGAATTTACAATTTCAGTCTCATATTCATAAGATTTGAGGATTGTTAGGGTTAAAAGTGATGGCTAGATACATGGGAATCTTTCCCAACATTCTTTCCAACCATGGAGGTAGTGTCAACTGGTCAAGGTAAGTTGTTAATCCGCTTGTTTTCATACACAATGATACACGACATACCATTCGAATGTCTCCCACTACAGACACAGCGCCACCGATATGGGCAAACCGACCCCGTATTTCTACCGCAGATTCATGACCCTTTTGCATCAGAACGACTGCCCCGCTTTCTCCAGCGACAACTTGGACGAAGATGGTAAAAAGAAAAGCCAAATACATCGTGGAAGGATGCTTAATTCGTCGAAACTTTGACACAAATTTCGAGCGCAATGTTTTGACACTGGACAGCTGTCAGCAGTGTCTTTGTACTTTTTGTTAAAACGACGACTGTTTCATAGATTAAACGTCCAAAATCAGAGAACGGCCGTTGTATTGTGTAACGCGTTTGAGGCGGGGCGGGGCCGTGTTGGAACTGAGAAGGGGGGAGGGAAGATCTCCGTGTACTAGTGTATCTAAAAATAAATTAAATGTTCAGTTTCAATTTTTGTTGTTTTATTGAAGTTATGTAGCAACTTACCATTTCTGTACTATACTCTAGGCAACAAAATCCCGTTCGATATTGGGCAGAGTCCAGATGATTGCAGGTCAACTCGCCCCCGGCCGACTCGACCCTAACCGACTCGCCCCTTACCGACTCGCCCTCCTACCGACTCGCCCCCTTACTGAATCGCCCCTTACCGACTCGCCCCCTGGGCGACTCGCCTCCTAGCCGACTCGCCCCCTGACCTACTCGCCCCCTGACCGACTTGCCCCCTGGAACACATTGCATGCCCGGTCGTGTCGTGAATCTCAATGGAGCCAAATTATTCAAACGCCATTTGAAGTGATTCCTGGTACAATAACAATAATTATTATAATAAATGGCAATAATAACCAATAATAAAAAGGTCAAACATGAAAATAAAACAATCCCTTTTCGCAAGAGAAGAGGGTAAAATCACGTTCAAATAAGCTTCGCCACATCTGAGTTTCGGTTTTGATTCTCAAAGTTGAGCCTCAGCTCCTCCTATAACATTTTAAGAACACCGAACAAATAACTATTTTTTTGTTTTCACAAAATACATCCTTAATTCTTGAAATACTTTTTAATGAAACTGAGGACCTAAAGTTGAGATTTACAAACGGTGAACGCGGTACATGCCGCGCGCCCGCAGTCACCATGAACGGACCGCGAATAGACCGGCTGCTACGCGCGATAGGCCCCGGACACTCCGCGAATATCGGTACAGCTGTGCTAATGTGTTTCCAACCCAAATTCTTCATAAAAGATCAATAGTTTCTTGCATTTGTACCGGAAATCCTTCAAAAGTGGCGTTCGAATAATTTGGCTCCATTGGGTTTCATGCTACGATCGGGCAATGTGTTCCCGCACTGTCATTTTTTTTTTTTCAAGATATCCTTGTGATGAGATTATGCATGCAGTATATTCCACTAGATACAGAACCAGAATAAAATGGCCGGTTTCGAAGAGTGCTCCAATTTTTGTAAACTTGGTACCAGCCCAGCCCCCCACACCCCCCCCCCCCCCCCCCCCCATTTGATTTTACGGAGGCCAAGTGTCCGGTGAAAAAACATGTCGATATCAAGTTCAGCACGGATGTGCCCCCCCCCCCCCAAAAAAAAAAGCTGGATACGCTGCTACACCAACAGAAGATGCCTTTTATTGAGCAAGTGTCCCGGTGATCAGTGGCGTCACCAGACTTTTCAGTCTGGGGGGCACAGGGGGGCACCAGCATTTGATGGGGGGCACTTAGGTGGATACGGATCGCCGTCCTGGGGGAGGGGTCTAAGGGGAGGGGGTGCCCCCCTCCCCTTTGGAAAATTTTCGCATACGGAGGATGGGCTAGATGCAAAATGGTGCCACATTTGATGCTAAATTCGATCTGAAGATATCTCCAGAAATTGCTATTTAACCAACTCAGATGATGGGAGTTGAATATAACAAAATATATATATATTTTTTTACCAACCCAAATCTCAGATGGGGGGGCACTCGGGGGGGGGGGGCACTAGGTTTTCCAGGGGGGGCACGTGCCCCCCCTGGCCCCCCCTTGGCGACGCCACTGCCGGTGATGCGACTGTAACCGGTCGGTCCAAAAATTCAACCCCCAAAAGTGGGTGCAGTACATTTTGTTTTCGTCCTTCACAAATGTATTTAAACAGGCAATTGTTTTCAACTCAAGTTGATCAGTATGAAACTGTGCCACCCCTCTAAGTAAGTCTCTTGACCAAAATGTAATCGCCCATCGGAATTACGTCATTAGCATTCTATCCGATTCTCATTTCTAACCCAGGCTTGTGCTGAATGCACATTATGCAAATAACGTGTTTAGAAGATTTCCACTCAGACTCCAGCCCTATTGTTACATTCATGCCTGGCTGATCACCATGGTACAGCGACCTAGCGTGCACGGGCTTTATCTTAAGCTGTTGTTTCGGTGCTGGGCTAGGCCTTCATTACTGTCGTTGTGCTCCTCACGCTCACTGCATGCAACTCATTACGCTGTTCAAAATTATCATTTTGGCTCTGTATGAAATTGTTTATTCTAATTGAACGTGCGCATTGTGTCCTATTTATATTGTATTAACAAAGACATCGTTACCATTTACTCCAAGATCAACACCAAGAGGGGCAATGTCTTCAAGAGTAGAAAGAGGTACGTTACATGTCTCTGATTAATGTACATGTGTATAACGTGTGTAAGCTCTGGTAAAAGTAGAGAGTTTTGTCACCTGAAACAGAGAACTCCTTAAATTTCATTGGATGTTAAAAAAAGGGTAATCCTTACTTTTAGGACCCCATTCCTATATAAGGTTAACAGACTCACCAAAAGAGCTGACTAGATGACACTCAAAAGTGACATTCTGATCTTTCTTGTCATATATCTGAACAGTATGACACCTTCTTGAATGTCAGCAGGTTTAATTTTGTGGAAAAAGGCTTGCGGGGCTTTGATTTGAGAGGGAAATTAAGGGAGAAAGACGACGATGACGAACAGAAACTGACTCTAAAACCAAGATGGCAAACTGCAAAAAAGGGTAAAAAAGTCACATTTTCTTTGAAAATGCTTTCAAAATTACAACTAACATGAATTTATCTGAAGAAAAAAGACTGCTTTAGCCTGCAAAAGTCACTTTGGTACTGGATAGTCATCTGCAAAAGTCAGTTTTGAACAGAACTGGTAAAAAATAGAGGTGTCCTAAAGATGAGGATTACCAAAAAAAGTTTACATGGAAGATAAATTACAGCAGAATTAAGGTTGAACGAAAATTATTATTTTATTCAATAATAATGCAACGCCAATAGGAATTTGACACGTGCAGTGACATTGTGTTCGCACGTGGGGAGAAAATACAATTTCGAAAGAATTCGTCAGACACGTACAGTGACATTGTGTTCGCACGTATTTGCATAGGAATTTGATACGTGCAGCGACATTGCGTTCGCACGTGGAACAGTTGAAGGGTAGCATTCCAGTGGAAGTTTTTTTTTTCTTCAAATTGTTGTTCCTGAATAATTAAACTCGCTAATTTACCTGTGACAGTGTTTCCTTCATTGTCACATTGACTTGCAGGTCTTATGTAACTCCCTTTCTGAAGAAGGTTAAAAGACGCTCTCCACCTCAGTCTCAGAAACTAAAAAATAAATTGAAACAATATAAAACCTAGTCAACATTCTGGGCAAAACGTTGGTGCAAGTGATGCAAACAATTAATTAGTTTTGTTTGTAGGTCAAGTTGGGAGGAGTGCAGACGCTGCAGGCGTGCATTATGCAGCATCCGCAAAGCAGCTGCTGGATCTGTAGGAGTGTTAGGATAATGTTATAGGCATTTAGATTCGGCGAAATATTCTCATACGCGTTTAGAAACATCCGCACCGCGTTCTATCGCTTTTCCGTTCGACAATAAGGCATATTCATACGTAATGTTCGGCAAACTCGTGTTTTTTTTTGGTGTTTTTTTTTGGCTTGACCGGAGACGGTTTGGTACGAAGACCGTGAAGGGACATGGGAGTTATTTAGTTTTTTTTCATAATACTATGACGTATGTGTTATTGTCACGTACGTACTTGAATATTATCACGTACGTAGGTAATAATATCACGTAGGGCCCACGTGATAATTATTACGTACGTAGGGCCCACGTGATAATTATTAAGTACGTATACACAACGTATACTCGTTTAAGGATACACGTATTATCACTAACATATGCAATACATGTACGTACGTAATGTACTTATTTATCAGGTATGTACGCAATAATAATACTAATATTGCGTTAGTACGTAATATTATATTATCACGTACGTATGTGATAAATTAAATGCATCACGTACGTACGTTGTGATTGTCATATGTATAGTAGTAGGCCCTAATTAAGAACAAAATGTTCATCTCCTCTTGGTCTTCGTACCCACGTACCCGCGTATCCGCATATCCGCGTACCTGCGTAATCGCGCGATTTCGTGTACCATACTTCGAAGTGATAAAATCTAGGGAACTGTTTAGCAGTGCAATGAACAGTGTTAGGGAAAATGAAGCAAACGAAAATTAGGGAGCAAGCACAGCCCGCTGCGAGCATGCGCACATTGAGCCTGCAGGAAGTGCGATGGGGAGTTTAGAAGTTTTCTTAAAAAAAAAAAAAGGATAAAAATAACACTAACTTAATGCAAACGAAAATCAGTCTAATGAATAACACTGTCCCCCTAAACTTGAAAGTACTGGTGTATTTTATTTTATTTTCGCTATTAAGAAACTTCACTCGCAAATTTATAGTCGATTTTGTAATTGATTGAGAGTCATTTTGTGATGTTTTATCGATCAACTGGAATGCTGCCCTCTATACGGACATTGGCTGGTACTTTGCTGAACTCAAAACAATAATTAAACAAAGTTAGTAAAACAACGACAGAAAGTGGCAATGCCTGGTGCGTTGTCCACCAACGACGGTATAATTTCTTTATAATTGTATAAAATGTTTAACAGCAAACAAGATTCATAAAATCTAGGCCATCGGCAATTGACAGTGACCATGCCTGGTGCAGTGTCACTTGTAAGGGACACCCTCTTCGGTGCACATTAGTAGCGCCGATTTCCAAGAGGCCCCTTCCTTCAGAAGAACTTGAACATTAAAACTTCAACCATTTAACGAAAACACGGAATGACATTACTACTTAAATAGCCATACAGAGAAAACTGTTGGTTAATAATTAACACTGATTCCTCAATGAGCTCTCTGTTAAGGTGACATATACGCTCTTATTGTAACACTAAAAGGTCAAAAAATCTGGGATTAACAGCGTCTGTAAAAGCGCCGCATTGTCTATA